AATTATTTTAAAATAAACACAATTGCATTACCGTGTTATTATTATCATTAGTTATTGAAATGTTAGTGTCTCCCCAACCAAATGAGCAATAGGGTGGCAATAATCCCTCTCGAGGTGAGACAGTGGTGGAAATTACACGTCTTCATGAAGGATGCCAGTCTCTTTATATGACAACCGCTATTTATTTTCTCACAATGTGGTACTTATTGTATTCACCCAGAAGGAATAATGGACTAAGCAGCAATACATATATTATTTTTTTGTTCATTTGTATTGTGTTAGCCTGCCAACAATCATGCATGAAGATTGAATATATATGAGATATAATTTAGCATCAACAAAAAAACAATATATTTCAGGCTCAGAAAATAAAATCAATGCAGTTTTACTATAAAGTGAGGATTCTATTTCAAATCCTGTCTACGGTCTTAGACCGACTTAGCATGGTGTGTCAGCATGTAAGTACTTCACAAGTTACGATAGCATCTACGCCTGCTTAATCAATGCAACAAGCCTGTTTTGAAAATGAATATCAAAGTGTGTATTTGCTCAAATATTTACATGGAGATCGTATCCATTGGTGACCCTAGGCCGGTGGTGAAAATTCCACATTACCATTGCAGAGGTGAGTTTATCCACAAAATTCCCACTGTAGTTGACACTAATTTGTGTATTTACGTAACTGAAAATGTCATTCCAATGGAGAAGACAGTAAAAGGAAAAATAAATGCAAGACTTTAATTGGTTGCACGGTGGCTCAGCCAAGAGATGGCAGTACAGGAAATGGATTGTGAACCCACCTGTGCAGACTTTCAGTGTTATTTCCTCATGTGACTTTTCTCTGGGCACTCAGTTGAGTTCATACAGCATCCAAAATGTATATGCATTTAGATGCTATATTAACCAATATCGTATTATTGTTCCACATGAAAAACACTCATGAATGGAATTGGCTAAACATCCTTTTGCACAGAGTCTTGAGACCATGTGAGGCTGTTCTGAATACATGAATTAAACTATTTTCATACTCTGATGGTGCATTGTTTTTGAGTTGTGCGCCTTTTGGCGTCATCTGGTCCAACCCATGTGAGACTAGGCTCTAAGGAAAGCTGTCTCGGGTGTGGACCAATCAACTTCAATGACAATGCATACATCATCAGTTATGTTTTTTGTTTGCATTATGACTGCAGGTATTTTGGTCTATGCAAACATGACTCCTCGTAAAAAAGGTGTCAGTTTTGTTGCCAGATAAAAGGGTAAAAAAACAATTATTAAACTATTTTTGCTAAGCAGGTGGTGGAGCACGCCTGTAATCCAGCACTGTGGAGGCAAGGGTTGGTGGACCGCACAAATGCTGTGAAACTCCTTTCCCATGGACGTCAAAGGGTTCATACCCGAGTTCCCCAGGTGAAGGCAGCGCAGCAATTGTACACGTCTCCATCTGTACGGGAATATAGTGTTGTTCCCTCACGTGCGTGGATTTTCTCCGTTACTCTGGCCTGCTCATAAATGAAAACATACATTGGCCGATAGCACCTTAATATACAAAGGACCACAGAGCTTTGGGGGAGGGGGATTTGGTGCTGACTCACCTCCTGGCTGCCCTTCCTGCTTGTCTGTGATTCCTCGCGCCTCTGAGTTGTTTTCTCTCTTCGAGTGAGAGAATACTATGCGTGTTATAAGTTGACAACAATAATTATTATTACACAAGCTATACTGCAGATTTAGCATATCTTAAATTACGTATGTTGCACTTCTTCTTTCGCAACCATACATAGCCAACCATGCTAATCGGAGATTTGCTAGATTTGCCCAAATATTTAAACGTATCGGCCTCATTTGACCTGAGATGATCTAAAATGTGCAGCCTTTTCCCATAATTATCACTAAATGTGTTGACGGGTAAATTGGCAATGGCAGCCTGACAGATAGCCACCCTTAGCCAGACACCTATCAATTCCTGAATCTGGTGTGAGGCTCCCTTACACATTGCCAATCTCAGAAACCTAATTATGGAACGGGAACACTCGAAGCAAATATAGTCTTGCAGGTGTATGAATAGCGATGAGACAAAGTTTCTTTGAGTTCAAGTTCTGGTTGGGAGTTGACTCAGCCCACCAGCCCCCATCATCATTATTCTCATCGTCCCACTTTGTGTGAAGTTAAAAGTAGTTGTACGATGGATAGAGTGGCCCCTGCCACGGGAATGTGGAATTTTCACCACAGCCTTGGTGGCACCAACAGAGATGACAGCATCCCCATTGCTTAATTATCTGAACACAGAAATAATGATATTCCAATAGCATGATTGGCCCTCGTTAAAAACTAAACAATGATGAAAGAAAATGTATCGTTGTAGACCAACGTAAACTACATTTTGAGCATATTATAGTCGTCGTGGTAGTGTTCGATTCCTCATTTAACCCGGTTATAGACCAGTGTGGTGAAGTACGGTCAAACTACCCCCACCACAACTGCATGTGACTCAAGCCGTTATATTAAAAGGGTTTTTAGCTGCCTAAATAAATAGAAACCGGCCGCATTTAAAATCCAGCAATGTGCAACGGTATACATAAGTTGTGTGGTAAGCTGATTAATGGGTATGACATTTTTTTAAATGTTCAATCAAACTTTATTTATTTTAGGTGCATTTCTTAAAATCAAGGCCCCTGTACATATATTTAACACGTAGGCTTAAGCGACCAATATCAATATTAATAATTTATTTTCTTTGGGTCAAATGGCGTAAATAAGATGTGCGTTGTGCACCCTCCCCTACCCGACACAACAAATAAAAAAATGTTGACACGTGAACAAACGTGGCCAATGTATTACTACTAATTCATCAGCACACTGGTGCATTGGAGAGTAATCTCAACAATTAAATGGGGGGGAGGGGCGGGTGGACATCTCCAGTTATAACCAGTGTCATCAGGCATCTGCCAGAACCCGTTATTCGCAGACGGATGGATGGAAACTTATAGTTGTAAGACAAGCATGTGGCATCGGATTTTCACGCCAAAACGACCAAACGGTGAACGTACACAGGCACAGCATGTTTTTCCTACCCGCGTATCACGCGTGTCCCGCGTGGGCCGTGCTCTAGCTCTACAGGGGCACGTGGCAGCTGTCAAATAAATTAGGCAGCCATCCAGACGTACACCAAGACTACCGAGACTGAGGACAGGACCCAAGCCTGAGGACAGCACCCGAACCTGTGCTTGAGACTGCTGCGGCTATTGCCATGGGTTTGCACTTAAGGGATGCGTTGTGGTGTTTGTTCAATAAAGTGCATTTGCTATTGAGGAATTTGGTTTTTTTGTTGTTAAAATGTTTCCCAGGCAAGAGAGAATTTACGCAGTGCTCGGTGGTTGGGTGGTTCTGAAGATTGTTCAAATCTTGATCGGGAGTTGACGTAGATCGGCAGTTGTTTGGGAATTGATAAAACAATGAGTACTTTATGACTATGTAAGTCACCACAGTGGTAGTGTTAATGGAGAGACTGCATGCCATGGGAATTTGGAATTTGTATCACTGGCTCAGGAAGAGATGAGCACCACCCCACACGCATTAAACAATGAGGACGATTTGACATTGATCTATGACTATAAATACAAAGTATTAAACAGACAGCTATTCACATGCAGAATATTTCATTTACATGTTTCATATTAACATGAACAGCCTGTCGATTAATGTATGTATGGCTCGGCAGTGTCCAGTCGTAACTGACAGCTTGAGTCTCTGGGTGATACGAGGTCAGAGCCAGGAGGATTTGGCTCTTCGTTCACTTTGTCCGGGCTGGCACGCTGGCGGATCGCAGCACAGGTCTGCAAACGATAATCGACGGCCTTCTTCAGGACTGGAGGCAGGCCGAGGCTGACCTGGTTTTCACGATTGAGGCCCATTTCAGACTTAATAATCTCGGTGGCTGGCATTTGGTGTGGCATTGGACGTCGGAAGGAGTTCCCTGGCGACGTCTCGTGGATATTGCTACACCCCGGCCGGGGGCCTGTGACTTATTTATTCGTGGCCATGCAGTCTTCTCAGTAAGTTTTCTGCACCACCATTACTACCTATTCAACAGGATAGGGCCAGGCCCCCTACCTGTCTTTGCTCTGCACTAGCTGTGTAGAGGCTGGTGCAGCCCCAGTTCATGTCGTTACTTCATTTTCTTCTTCCTGCTGTTCCTGTAGGACCTTAGGAAGAGAGCATCACCCTCTCTTACATATAGGAGTGGAGGGACAGCCTTATTCAAAACACTATCAGGCGATAAAGTCTGGTGATCGCCTGGAAAATGTACCAGTTGAAACTAAGGTTGTCACCTGTCCTGGTTTTTGAGTATCCTCTTGTTGAGGTAGCCATCCTAGGAAATCTGTAAGCCTTCCCAGGACATTAATAGTCCAAGGTTTTTAATTTTATTTACAGTGAATATTGCATTCCTCTCATCGCCACCAAATATACAGTATCTTTCCCATTCCATTAAAACAATTAAATCGAAGATTGACATAAAAGAGACGACAAAATGCAGGTCTTACATATTGCTCGACTTGGGGGCCAAAGACTGCAAAAACGAGAGCAAGCACTTGTACAATCCTGGATTAAAAACTGGGTTACAGCCACCTGTGATGAAAGAAAGTTCCCAAGTATATAGAGTTGGTCTCAGTCCGGTCACCAATAATTGCACATAACCATTGTTAAATGGGGTTTTTTCTCCAATTGGCATGTGATGAAAATGTTTTGCAGTAACTATAAAAAGTGCACCAACTCATGTGGTTGAGGGAATTGAAGTGACTTAATAATTCGTTCTGAAGAGACGAAGTAACTTCAGGTTGCATTCTCTGTCACGTGATGATGTACCGCTGCTCGCTGGGAGAAATCCTCACTGAAATGTATGCCTCATTACATGGCATCGACAGTGCAATTTGAATATAATGGAGAACTACAACTTAAAAGGTTGAAAAAGCAGAGAGAAATGACAGTACACAAGCCACACAGCATAATACCCCATGCCCTTGTTTATTGCGAACTTATCTGCATTCCCAGGTCATCAAGAATAAAACCATTACACTTAGACCTCGCTTAGTGCTCAAGAAGTGAGCGCGAATTGAATCAGCGCTAAAAGGAGTCATTATACCGTATATATGTGGATGTATTCCTGACAGCGTTAGGTCTTGCGTATGAGCAATGAAGGCTTCACTGGGGTTTCGGTAATAGCGATTATATAGACAGGTAAACATTTTAGAAGTAAAAATATTTGTATTACATCATTATGTGCCTGGACTCGCCAGTGCATCCACCTGACGCTCACCCACCTGGACCCGCCGTATAACTTGCATTTTTAACATCGAAAGTGACACTTTGGTCACATTTCCAGCACAAACACTCGCAAGACCTTTTTCCAGATATTATGGGTCTAAATGTTCACAAAAAAGACGATAAGGCAGAGAGAGACCAAGGCGGAATAAAAACACGTCGGTGGACGGGTGTGCTTTAAAAGAAAAACACTGGCGACCGCTGCTTGGCTCAAGAGCGTTCATCGCTCTCATTGATTGTAAACAAATATGGCGGCGGGTGCCCTTCCTCGGTCAGCACTGCTTGTTCTCATTCGTTTTTTAGCTGAAAGTTTCTCCAGGACAAAAACGCTATAACGAATCGGCGTTCTACAGCGTAGCGCTAAGCGAGGTCTGCCTGTAAGCTTTAAATAAACAATACAATATCAAACTGGCTGGTGGAAAAAAATATAAGCCTTTCAAATAAAAGTTAGCCCTTGAAATGAACAACTCATTACCGTTATAGACCGCAGCATTAAAACCAAATAAGAGCATGCCGAAATTAACATATTTCAAAAAAGTTATGAATACAAAACAGAAATGCAGTCAGTACATTGAAAAACCGACATAGGGCCGGCCAACAGCAGCACATCATAGTCCATCTGCACTAACACCACTGCCAAGTTACTCTCATCTGGCTACTCACATCTACCAATCATACCACGACAATTCCTCGACTTACATACGAATATCTGGCTGGGTGGCTGTGGTAGGGTGACCAACTCATAGGGAGGTTCAATTCAAATCTCAGTTGCGGGTCGACTTGGCCCACCATCCTCAACCCTCCGAGATAAATTGAAAATACTTTGAGCAAATTCACTGGCCTTTGGAGAAACTGGTTCTTGCTATAGTAATCAGGGATTTCCACCAGTGGCTCAGGCCAACCAACAAATATGAACACTGTACAACACTGTATGGGTGTTTATCCACCACAAATGTATATGTAAAGCCCTTTTGCCAATCCACGAATGGATGAGGGCCTCCCCACACTCTGCGGGGTCATGGGCGTTATTTGACAGTCCATACTTCACCACTTACCAGTGTGGGTTGAATGCAGAGAGCAAAGATGTTGGATAGTACATTTTTTATGGTCCTCCTCCCTCCAAAGACGTAACCCTGCAACAGCCTACAGCTTTTATTTATGCATGATTGTCGCCCATCCAAGCACTATCAAGGCTCAAACCTGCTTAGCGTCCGAAATCTGAGATTGGGTGCATTCCAGGTGAATTCTTCATAGGGGTCAAACAAATTAAAATGGATTCCTCCTTAGTCCATCAACCAATTGCTCAACTGTGGACACCTGTATTCTAAATTCCTGTGCACATCCAAGCACTCCTCGAAATGCCACTGGTTACACGAGAAACCTGCATAGCCAGTGGACATCCATTTACCACGTACTAAACCAGCTTGTCTGTCACTTCGTGCATTAAGACTGCAACCTAAAAAAGCAACCACCACTTACCTTGTAGACAGACACCTAAGCTATGTGCCCCAAGGTTGGCCAACACAAGTTTGAAAGTTAATGAGAAGTGTACAGCCCTTTGGCTTTGTCAATCGACTGCAGAATGAAGGCCTCCCCGCGTCGTGTGCATTACGGGGGTTGTTTGACCCTAGTTCGCCACAATTGTCAATGTTGGTTGGTGAATGGGGGAGGCTAGGGCCAGTACATTTATCACTTGCCACTGACGTAAGCCATGGACAGGAATTGAACTCGGGTCACCAGGTTTTACAACAGTGTGCCAACTAACCACTGCGCCACCGCTCGACCCCTACGAGAGCACTGTGGCAGTTAGGCACACTGCCACAATGCTATTGTAATGTTGCCGTGGTGCCAATTCACGCACTTACAACTGTCGCTTCAAGCGCCGTCACGTGTGTACTATGGTCTGACATAGAATCAATTACAACTGTAATTGTGTATTCTGTAAAAAAATTGCAATAAAAATGCAATGGTGATTTCAGCTTAGGGTACTCATGTCATTATAGTGATAACTGACCCCGAATATGATCATGGTGCACCAGGTCAGTCTTAAATGCTTTTATGAAACTCGTGCCTGAACAGTGTGGGCGACACAGTCGAGGCGAGTCTCATTCAAGATGAGAGGTATCCGTTTGATTAATGTGTGTGTTGCATTTTTCCTTTTGACGTCACGATACCAACTAAAAACAGTCGCTCGTATAAAAAACGTGATTTGAGTTAAAAACATCATCACCTTCCCACCAACTGTACAGCCTTGCCTTGAGTAAAAAGTTACACAAAGTAAAAATCGGGCGAAGCATGTTCAAACGTGAATAACTCGCGTTTAAAAAGTGTGGCTTCGTCGATAAAAAGGCATAGTCGCGCACCGTGCAGAACTGTGAAGGTTTCCCTAAGTCCGCACAAGTCTGCTGCAGTAGAAAATTCCTGGATGGCAGGAGAGGGGGCGAGGTGACTGGAGGAGTGGTTTTGGTGGAGGGAGGGATTAGGGCGATGAAATCCCTACAGGGGCTCGATCCAGCTTCTTGCCCTTGGATAGGCTGGAAACTTGCTTTATGAGTTCTCGGTTCTTAGACTGAATGCACACACACACCAAAAGATAAAGGACAAACCCTGTTATTTGTATCAAATAATATATTTATAAACGTATAGCCCTTTGTCAATCCAATGCTGAATGAAGGTCAACCCATGCCATGTTATTCACAGGAGTTTTTTGACCATAGTCACAGTTGTTTGACCACACTTCACATTGCTGGGCAATGTGGGAAGAAGGGAGTGGGGCGAGCCTGTGACAAGTTCAGATATCATGTGCCACCAATGCTAGCAATGGTTGGGAATCAAACTTAGTATGCTGGGTTTGTGTGCATCATTCATTACCAGGCCGAGGCCATCAATTCGCTACACATGGGAACCCAGTGTAATCCCAGCACTTCCGATTCGCACGGTTGGCTTACATACGGTGCAAAAGAAGTTCAACATACATACGTCACAGGTGTCTGAAACACGAATGTGTACCCATGACCTCTGCACTACTGGCTCAAAGATCTGACAATACCAGTGCCTTGAGTTACCCAACCACCTCCATAACTGAGGGCATGATGACTGGGGAAGGGATTGAGGGGGCAGGCTGATGCATGTACTGTCATCATTTCTTACCTGGAGCTGCTCAATTGATTCCTTGTGCGTGCGCTCCATGTTGTTCATCTTGGTTCGGATCAGGTTCTCCTGGTACTGGAAGTCGGCCTTGATCTCCGTGAGCTACATACGCAGGCACACGCACAGAGAGGCAGAGGCACGTGGACAAGTCAGCATCGCAAGCCAGCGTAGCCTGAAGAGAGATCGGCACAGATCGCGCGCCGCAAACACGGTGGGGGGAGGACGAGGGGAGCGGTGGCGAGCGGCGCCACCCACCTTGCGGTCTCTCTCCAGGATGAGCCCCTCCTTCTGCTGGAGCTGCTTCTTCAGCAGAGCCACCTCCTCCTTGAGCTGAGTGATCAGGATGAAGTTGTCCGAGCTCGCCGAGTCCATTGTGGCGTCACCGGATACACTGCACCACGCACGAGTGACACGCAATAGCGCCCGGCCGATTGTCAGTAGATGCGCGGAGAGAACAGTGCCTCGCGCTGACGAGTGACGCGGCGATCCATGAGGAGGAGGGGCAGCGGTGTGGGAGGCAGAGTGCATGAGCCAAATATAAACCAAACACTCACCCTGCACCTAACCTGAGCAACTCGCCAGCCATCGTGCCAACCAGCCACGAGTTGTTTTGTGCTTTTCAGAGCACTCACCCACCACCCAACACTGTCACTCATGCTAACTGAAACCCTGATCAACTAGCTTAACAGGTCGTGTCCATTTTGGTTTTCACAGCAGCACATCACTGCCAGCATGAACACATTGCACACCCGTGCACTGTGTTGTTTAGTACTGTATAGCACTGCATTGTATAGCACCGCATTGTATCGTATATAATCGTGCAGTATAGTATTGTATAATATTGCAATGCGTTGCATAGATGAGTATTGTGTGGTATTGAATCTGCAAGGCACAGGTCTCTGTGGATGGGCACGTGAGCCCTGTGTGGGGGCAGGGGGGGCTGCTCGCCTGTCTCCATTGCTGGGTTTGTTCTCCACCTTGGGCTTCTTCTGCGGGGGATCGTTCTGGGAGGCAGGGCCAGGGGACTTGTGGCTGAGAACGTCACAACACGGCACACACATGTCGGTTATACTCGTGCTGGGCGTACTGACAGTGTGTGCTGTGTGCACGGTGTGTGCTGGTTGCGCTATATGTACATTGCATGCTTGTATACGGTGTGTACTATTCTTGCTGGCGGTGCGCGTACTGTGTGCAACGGCTGTGCGTACTGTGTGCACTGTACATACTGTGTGTTCTGTTTACTGACTGTGTACACTGGCTGAGTGGCGTGTACTATGCATACTGTGTGAACTGTGTGCTTGTGTACAGTATGGCCTGTATGTCCTCGTGTACGGTGTGTCCTACACGTACTGTCGGTGCGTGTGCTGCTCCTTGCGTGCCCCATGCCGCTCGTCCTGGGAGGAGCGGTGCTGCGCCGCCCCCAGCCCTCGGTGCTGCTCTTTGGCCTTCTGCAGCACGCGGCGGTATGACAGCGTGCACAGCCAGCACAGCAGCTTCCCGTCCACCTATAAACAGCAGAAACAAAGCACAGCACCTGTACAGTACATGTAGCACATGCAGAGTATACGTGATACAACCCACCCATTGCATAGCAGCTTCCGATCTTCCTAGAAACAGGAGCACAGAACACAGCACCTGTATAGTACATGCAGAAGATGCAGAGTATACATAACCCAACTCACCTACGGCATAGCAGCTTTCCAACTACCCAGAGACACCAGCAGAGAATATAATCACACATAGTACATGCAGCACACGCAGAATACATAGGCACACATAATTCAAAGCACAGCAGCTTCCAAACCACCTCGAAACAACAGAATCTACACAGGACGTACAGCATAAGCATCACACATAGCACAAACGCTGCACGCAGTATGTGCAGATCACACAGCACACCACACACAACTACACCTATCACATGCAGCATGTGCAGCACACAGCACAAAAGCGCATAGCATATAAAACACAGCACACACACAAAGCTATACAGTACACGCAGCACACCACATACAACATAGCGCAGAGACAAGGGGAAACTACAACACTTGAGCATGGTGGCGCATGCCTAAATATAGAGGCAAGGATAAGTATATTGCACAGATCTGAAACACCCTCGAACTCACTGTGCTACACAAAGTGGTCAGAAGATGGCAGTACAGAAGTAAATTTGTGAACTCATGTGCAACCTTTATATGTAATTTCCTCGTGTGTGTATTTTGATTTGGGTTTTCGTAGCACAGCGCACAAACCACTGTGCTACAGCTCCAACGACCACACAGTGGAGAGAATATTTCGAAGATAATAAAACATTAATGGACCTCGCTGACAGTGGTATATGCGCACACACCCAAAACATCACCACCTTCCTCATTAACACTTACCTTCTGAATAAGGGCCACTGACCAAGACATTACCCTACCATATATTTGCCTGTAATTAGGCAGTGATAAAGGAAGATTCTAACAAATAAATAGCTTTAAACTTGTAGATATAAGACTTGGTGTGATGATGTACTCCTTGCAATATGTTCAGTGTGCCAATCCTTGCATCACAGTAGCTTCAGTACATATCTAAAACCGCTTTTAATGTGTATTTGTCGGGTGTCTTCCTTTCAAGATGACAAAGAAAATGAGTGAATATATTTTCCCATTTTTACTTGTACGTGAAGCCGTGACAGAGTGTGTGGCCGCACTCATGTTACTAAACCAAAATAGTTAATAGAGGAAAGATTATATTCTTGAATGTATTTGTTAACCTGAATCACGACCATAAATTCATGTGGTAAGGGAAAATATTCACATGCTTCTTGTCAACGCATATTGTCAGTTGCATGTTTGACTATGACTGCAATTTATAATTATTTTTAACGAAGCATCAAAGTCTTGTTAGATACACGTCGGCAAACATGTGCTACATTTTTTATTTTAATTTATAATCGAAAGGTGTGGCGGAGTGCATGGCCGCACCTTCTTCTTGCTGTCGTCCTTGCGGTCGAAGGCGCACCTCTGCTTGCACTGCTCGCAGGCGAGGGGCAACCCGTACTTCTTCTCCGAGTTGGTGCAGCGCTGGCACTTGGTGCCGATGAACGCCGCGATTATGTTACAGTACTGGCACGGCTTGGGCTGCGTGCACCACACGAGCACAAGCTGTCGTCAACGCCGATTCACGACCACTCATCACCGCCCAGAACACCGCGTCCCGACTCAAATGACCACAACAACTATATTCGTAACGTCGCAATCGACCGCACAAAATTTACTGAAAGTAAATGGGAGCAAAAACATACGTGGGCGCAATGTAAAAATAAACATACCGTCCCGTACAGTTTTACATTCTGGGCACACTTCTTGCAGATGGTATTGGTCTTGCTAAAAAAAGACACACAAACACAAAACATGTTGAGGGCAGCCAGCCGGCAGCTCAGATGTTGGGTCTAATTCAAGTGTCGGCAGACAGCCGGTTTCCACATATTTTGAAAGCTATCATAGACATCGTTTTCTACTGGCTGAATAATATTTTAAGCCATAAATTGCCAAAAATAAGTGTGTTTTTACCCACATGTTATTATAATTTATTACATGTTATTATATTTGTTATATTATTATAATAATACAAGACAAATATTTTACTCATTAAGCTCGATATTTCACTTTTTGGGTCTGCCCAAAGCAGCAAAACTTTAGGAAAATTAAGAGATTTCGGTGGTATAAGCGCATTAATAAAAATAACATTAATATTTAAACGTCCTTATAAATACTCAGTAGATCACCATTTCAGACAATGACCATGTTGGCTCACCAACTGAAAAAGTCTACCTAACAGTTTCCTAGTACAAAGCTTCGTAAATGACTCAGATGGTAAGTGTTTAGGACATGACTGTACAGACGTAGTCCCGTTTCTGTGCTGTTAAAAGTACAAGGGCCAATTTTTTTTATTTTTTTGCTTTTTTTAAAGGTCTTGAATCATATATATTTTCAGACTATTTAAAAAGGGACCACATGTTAATGTACTCTTATTGGCTATAAGATAAGTATTCCCTTTACAATGCACTGGTGGATAAATACCTCCCCATGCATTTCGGTCAATGATTGTCTGACCATACTTCACTACACTGGTCAGTACAAGTGATCTGAACCATCATAACCCCCCCCTCTTCACCAACCTGCAACGATTATTATGAAATATGGTCAAATAACCCACGTGACCGACACGGCAAGGGGAGGCCTTCATCCAGCAGTGAATTGGCAAAGGACTGGAAACTATTATTAAAATTTTATCCCCCCTAAGTGGAAAAAAAATCTACTCTGGTCTATGGACTATTAAATAGCTGAATGGTACCATGATTGGCGCACTACACTAGCCTACGCTTGCAATCCAAAGGTTACGAGTCCCATACTGGTCGAAGGTTAAGTGGTCACCCCCTATGTGCAGTGAATGACACTCGAAGAGAACACGGAATTTACACTACTGGCTGTGGGGAGTGCAACTAAATCCGCACCGCCTCATGTTCAGTCGGGAAAGTGAGATTATGTTGGGCTGAGAATCGGTTTTTAATCGCCGAATCGTTACATATTGCACTGTGGCCGATGGCATAAGCGTACTAATAATGGCACCCAGCCAGGCAAAGCAGTGGTTGGAGTGCTTGACTCTTAATCACTATACTCCCGACGCTATATACTTGAGGGCACAACTTCGATCTCAGCGGTGCCGGCGGTGTGCTTTGAGCTCTCAGCTACTTCTCCGCTCCCCGAAGTTCATGGAGACGCGAGGCAACAGCAGCTCACCTCTCCTGTTGGAACTCGGTGCGGCAATATGTACACTTGACGACGGGGTGAGCGATGCGACAGTCCTGCAAACAGGGGAAACCACCACGGGGCCAAGTGGGTGAAACATCACAGACGCGGGGGGCCTCGGCTTGCCTTGGGGACCCTCAGCACCGCATAGCCCCTTGGTGTTTTCCTGCGTGGCCTGTGTCTTAGAACCCCCATTGTTAACAGCGACAACGGGACTCTTCTCAGCAGCACAAACCACACAAAGACGACATGAGAACACATTGATATCGTTAAGGACACAGGTGGCTCAACGAATCTGTAATTGATGCTCAAACGAGCTTTAGGCAAACATCTTAGCTAGCGGTGGTGGCAATTCCACTGTGCTCTGGCGGGTACCAATATACAACAGAGCGCGACAAAAGTTGACTCCACTTAAACCAACTCGAACCCATAACTTCCCCGTGCTCCCCTTAATCTCCCCTGTTTGCGCGTAGTCACTTGAATGTTTCTTGTTCATGTTTTTGTTTGTTGCGGTTGCACCCGATTCAAGGGCCGAATGGCTCACAGGGCTATACCAAATAAATGAAACTGACCCTGCGTTCTTCTCCGTCATCCGACGTTTTCTCCTTTTTGATCCCACGCAGTTGACGCTCATTCTCCCGTTATCCCTTTGCACCCCCAGTGTGTCCCCTCCACCACCACCACCACCACCCCCCAGGAACGTTCAACTCCCTTCCCCAATGCCATCTCTCTCGGCGCGATGCCGGCGTTTTCAACCTCCGTCATTTCCCGTCTCCTCTGAAATCTCCCACCCAGCGCTCGCCTCTTCCCTCAGTTAAAGGAGCGAGCGGGCAGGGGGGGGGGGAGGAAAACCACGCGGCAGAGACAGCGTTGGGTGGGCATCGACGGAAGGACGTTCGAAAACTCTCGGATCGAGACCAAGAACTCGGGGAGATCATCATCTCGTCTCAACTTCATCCCACAGGGCCCCAGGCTCCAGCAAGAAGCCCAGGCCTCGTCCCCTCCTCACTTCCTGTGAGCCCCCCCCCCCCCTCCGCTTTCTCTCCTCTCCCAGCCTCCCGTGCCCCCCGTGCCCCCCCCGCACCTTGCACAGCTGCTGGCTCTGCGAGAGCTCCTCGAAGGGGAATCTCTGGTGACACTTGGTGCAGGCGTACAGAGCGGACATCGCGGCGGCGGCGGCCGTAGCGGTAGCGAGACGAGAGGATCGACCGAGCCCAGGGACCGCGCACATTTACTACCCCCGCACTTGTACCGCCACCAACGCCACCAACAACACCGCCGCCCCTCAACGTAGCGACGCCGCGGTCCCTCACTATCGATTCCCAGGCTGGTGACGATCGATTCCCCCCGGCATGTTGAGAGACGCTGAGAGGAATCGCGAAGGAATCGATTGTTGTTGGGTTTTTTAAACGGAGGTGCCGGGTTTTTAAAGGCACCAGCAGGCGTGCTCAGGGGGCCAAGCGACACACAGTGCGGTCAAATTTCGATTTAAAGCTTTCGTGACTGCAGGGATTCATCTGCTTGGTTCTTTCGGTAAAGTCACGTAGAAGGGAAATAATGAAAATAAAACATAATAAAATAATATTTTAACATAATAAAATAATATTTTATTATGTTTTATTTTTGGAAGAGAAATAATAAAATAATAATAAATAATGTATGATATTTATAGATATTGCTTTATTTATAAATTTTATTCTTATTCTTATTTTTCCCTACGTGACTTTACCGAAAAAACCTAAGAGTATATTTAAGTCTGTTTTGAAAACCCATCTCTTTAAAGTGGCCTTCACTCTTTAGTTCGGTCGGTTGACCTGGTTGTTTTTGTTTGGTTCTTTCGATAAAGTCACGTATCAAGATAAAATAATAAATTAAATACTAGCATACGACTGCAGTCACGAAAGCTCCAAATTAAGTCTGGTTGTTTTTGTTTTCTGCTTTCCATGCATCCTGGGATGGAATGCACGATGATAAATTGTAATTATTATTAAAAGTGTGGCGACGACAGTGGGAGAGACTTGGTCGACTAGGAGGTGTTTTCCAAACGCACGAGACAATATTAGATGTTTACCATTTGATGATTATCATGGTATTCAGTTTCCCGTAACTTTTCTATTGCATTTTCATTATTTTTGCTTTGCTGTATTGTACTTCTAGTACAAATTACTTGACAAATGTTTTTAACTGCAGTTCACTCAACATACGCCTGCCAAATCATCGCAGCTCTACACTCTATAATGCACTTGCTACTACAGTGTTTTTCATACCAATAAAGTCATCCATTCATATTTTACGAGAAGAGAGTCGCTTCACTACAGATACTATACCGTGTATATTGTTATTCATGAACGCCTATGTAGATTCCATAGATTCAAAGTACATTATTCCAACTTTTTCCGTGCTGTACAAAGACGATATAAGTTCAGGGTGTTCCAGATTTTTTTTGTGACTCCCAATTAATTGACCCCTAACTTTTTTTACCTTTGAATGTTCGTTGTTGTTTTTTTAATTCACACCGTTAGAAATATTACGTTTTAGAGAATTAAATGAGGTGTGGGTCACAAGATATATCTGGACCACGCTGGAAAGTAAGTTTGTAATTACAAACGTATGAATCGATACGATTGTAGATTCGTAGTGTTGAATATTCATGGTACAATAATCGAATGCTTGCGCATCGATTCTAATACGTCAATATACGGATGGAATCGCACTCGAGACAAATCGATGTTCGATTTATATGCTAATTCATGTCATTCAACAATTGATTTCCGTGTAGGCTGCAGTGCCGTAGTGACCCTCTCAAGCCTCCTGACCTCCCATCCTGAAAAAAACCCACGTGGGCCTCCAACATCCCTAATCCATACCTGCCAACTCCTTGTCAGTGCCTATCTTCGTACAGACCCTATTGGTCACCCCGTGCCTTTATAAATATCAACGTTCATCCTACAGTCCCATCACAAAGAGAGAAACACCAATTGTAACGGCTGTACTTCGTATGGACCTGAAAACTCTATTTCCCAGTACAAGAATACGGGTAACCCGTATGGGTTGACATGTTTACTAATAATTTCCATCCCCTAAGAAGTCCTACAATGGATTATTGTTTCTAGGAATTTACATATATGCACTCCCATCTCTCCATGGTCTCTATTACCCAGTACAATCTGGTTTCTTCTATCAATTCTACTCAGACTCCTACGTGTGGTAGATTAACTTCAAATTGTGGTTCTCTCCTAGATCTAAATTTAAGTTCATTTGATTTGTTACACTGATGGTCCCAGCTGTTTAATAAGAGATCCGTGGTGCGTGAGCACAGCAACATCAAACGCCGACATTACTGAGAACGAGTACAGGGTCACGATTTGAACATTGAGCAACTTGGGTCTCTCTGCTGCTTTTGAGATAGAAAGCCACTCAATCTTCCTTGATTTTCTCCATAACCACTCCTCTTCTGCCCTCTTAGATCTCAAACAGCTCCCTCAATGCCCATCCTAGGACTGCCTCTGAGAAACCCCAGTGCTGTGGGGGTGCCACAAGAATTCATCCTAGGTCCCCTGCTCTTCTAAAATTATCTCCTGCCTCTTAGTAAACATTACCTTCAGCTGTGATGTCGATCATCATTTCCATGCTATTAATGCCCAGCTCGTGATCACAATCTATTGTGAACCCCACCTCACCGTCCACTATCGCATCCTGCATTGACGTGGCCTCATGCTGTACGTATATTGAACTTGTTTAACCAATGTTGAATTGCTGCAACACTTCGATTTCAAGCTTTCGTGACTGCAGGGATTCATCTTCTTGGTTCTTTCGGTAAAGTCACGTAGAAGGGAAGTAATAAAATAATAAAAATAAAATTATTTTATTGTGTTTTATTTTTATTATTTTATTACTTCCCTTCTACGTGACTTTACCGAAAGAACCAAGAAGATGCTGCAACACTACCAAAACTGAAGTCAAACTTGTCCACTCACCGTAACAAACTCCGGTCTAAACGTGCGCCTCCCAAACTCTGAACACAACACCGTACACAGCTGTCCGAGATCCTGAGCTCTCTAATTATTCCATTCACACACACACACATCTCCAACTACGCAGGACCTCGTGTGCCTGCATCTGCACAATATCTCTCGCGTCCACAAACTTCCTTACCACAGCTGCCGCTGAGTGGGAAGTCGCTCATTCTCCTCTGCTGGCCCTAAGGTCTGGAACTCCCACCACCCCCACCTGCTCCCTCGTCCATCTCCTTCACCTCAACCTATGACTGCCTCTTACTCTAGAAAATAAATATACCCACTGAGATGCGGACACATTTAGACAGTACCCATACACAATGTATCGTGGTGGGGTGAATGAATGCAAATGCATAGACTACGCAGCGGTGTAACCCGTTACGAATGTGCGTCGACTCTGGTATTATTCTAATACAAGTGACTGCACAGCGAACGCTTATCCAGCAGTGGAGTGGCATAAAGCCTTCCCGGACATGTCCTGTGGTGGTATAATCTACACGTGTCGAATCGAGAATCTACGAGCAGTCGATTCCGCAGGCGATTCGCGACTGGGCTTTACAACTAACGCGGGAATCGATCGCGTTGTTTAATCGACGAGCAGGAATCGCAAGGATCGTTCCCGGTCTCTTCTTCTCCCCCCCCCCCACTCGCTACCGCCGGCGCGATGTCCGCTCTGTACGCCTGCACCAAGTGTCACCAGAGATGCCCCTTCGAGGAGCTCTCGCAGAGCCAGCAGCTGTGCAAGGTGCGGGGGGGTTGGGGGCAAGGGAGAAAGACAAGGAAGGGAGGGAGTTGTGCACAAAATATGTTTCTTCTGATTCGTGGTCTCGTGGATTTATTTCTCTCCGGGTCCTCCGGTTTTATTTTCCCCCCTCCACGTTTAGAATCTCCGTCACGCGTCTCGAGTGCTTGGCCACTGCTGCTATCCAACTTTGACGAGCCACTTCGTTGGGGCTTTCGTTTGTGATGGCCAGGTCGCTTCTGAAGAAGAGCCGTGTGGCTCAAGAGGGCCTTTGCCTTGGTAAAAAATAATATATATATGATGATGGGCAGAGAGAGATGAGTGTTTGGGGTGGAGGGAGCGACCATGCCTGAGCTCGGCGGTGGAAGGGGGGAAATGGGCGAGTAACGGGATCAGGAGGGGAGCGGAGATGATGGGGACGATAATAGACCCCCCTGGGCGTTTCATGGGGAGTGGCTTGGGATGGGACCCCCAAAGGGATATGGGGGAATCGAAGAGAGAATTCGAGCCTAACGCGATCAAGTTGAGATTAGCGGATCATTGGTAAGAAAAAAAATTGGGATGAAATGGAGATTGGGAGAGTCGAGGGGTGAAATTGGGATTAATGGGATTCCAACGGGATCCAAGGGATATGTGGGAATCGAAGGGAGAATTGGAGCCTAACGGGATCAAGATGGAGGGAATCAAATGGAGATTGGGGATCACTGATAGGGATGGTAACTCGGGGCTCGGGTTACAACACAGTATTCAGACTGTAGCGTGTTTACAGAACCAGAGTAGATTCACAACACCAGAGTTGCACCACGACTGGAGTATCTACCAGGGACGTGTGGTCAGGGGAGGCAGGGGAGGCACAGCCTCACCTGTTATACTCAAATGAAAATAGCTTTTACTAAAAGTAAAAAAAAGAACAATCAATTTAAAAATATATTAAGATTTTTCCACAAATTTGTGTTATAAATGTAATTTCTGTACGATTCCAATCATTTTTATAGTCAAAATCGCCAAATTGTCAGAGCTCTGCTGCAAATACAGGGATAGACGAGAGGTGAGGCAGCGACGAGCTCAGCCTCCCCTCTGATTGCGCAACACCTCAGAAACTGGCAATAAATGCGTGCCTGTTACTATCTCTCTATGTGTCACCAATGTAATGTTTGTAGAACCCTTCATTACATGTCCTCTCGCCTTCCATACTCCAGGTAACTTATTTCACGTATGTGTATAAAAATATTTAGGTTCGCTGGTCTCGTCATGAAACTGCAATGAAAAAGCACCAGGGGAGGCAGCTATCACATCTGCCTCACTGAGGGGGCGTGTCAGCCACGCCCCCTCAGTGAGGACACGCCCCCCTCAGTGTGTAAATCTGCCTCTGACACTAGCCAGTGCCTCCCCAGCCATTGACCTCACCGCACGTCACTGATGTCTACATGGTCAAACTAGTGTAGATTCTGTGGATTCACGCCACCATACAATTCATTTGGAATACTTAGCGTCTAAATGCGACCACATCTCAAGACGTCCAAGAAACAATGGGAATATTTATTGACAAGCTGTCATACATCTATGTGTGGGTTTATGGTGCTCTATGTGTCCTTCGGGCTCTATGTGAGTATAGTCGGTCATAGGCAGAAGAGCAAATACTAATTTAGAACCTGTGCTTGAAGAGGGGCAAGAGAATTGGCCGCGCCATTGGAGTGAAGGGAATTCCAGATTGGAGCCAGAAGAGGAGAATGAGCGACCTCCCTCTGAGTGACAGTTGAATGGTAGTTTCGACAGAATGCCTCGGTTGTTGCAGCAGAGACTACGTGGAGGGGAGTAGAGTGAGATAAGAGGTAGGAGAGTATGTAGAGGGGAGTAGAGTGAGTTGCCGAGTTTTCAAGGACGAGTCCATCTTGAAGACGGTGAGTAAGATCTTGAAATTGATCCGGGATAGAATTGGGAGTGAATAGAGAAACTGGAGTATTGGAGTCCTGTGATCTCGATCATGGGTGCAGGTGAGGAGTCTGGAAGCAGAGTTTTGGATCAACTGGAGTTTGAAGATGAGAGAACTGAGGACGTTGCAATAGCATGAAGGCATGGATGAGGAACTCGGCAGCAGCTAGGGTAAGCAAATGGTGGATTTCCACATAAGACATGTGCCACACACTGTTTAAGTTTATTTGTTCCACAGATGATCCCGTTGAGCGAGTTCCCCGACTATTTTACAAGACAGCACAGCAACAACAACACAAACAAACACATCAATATTACAGGGCAACATCAACAAGGGCTCTGCAGTGCTGAGGATCCCAAAGACGAGCTGAAGCCCCCGCTGGTGTGAAGTTTCATCCATTTGTCTCCACATGCCCCTGCGTGGCCCCCCGTGTGTTCCCTTGTGTGCAGGATTGTCGCATCGCTCACCCTGTTGTCAAGTGCACCTACTGCCGCACAGAATTCCAGCAGGAGAGGTGAGCTGCTGTTGCTGCATCTCGAGAAACCCCAGAGTGGAAGAGGGGCCGCATGGCTCGGCGCTCAGAGCCGGCCACACACACATGCTCATCACCCTTCGTTTTTCACTCGGTTGCAATGTGTGCTTTTATGTATATTGAGCAGGCCAACACTTTGGTTATAGCTCTTAATTAAAAGTCAGAAGATAACAAGTTAAAATCCTTGTTGGAGGGTGATTTGGCACACCAACGCTCTTACCATTTAGTGAGCCATGAACAGTTGGTTATGGTATGGAAAGCCTTGGCCCTGCCATGGAAATGTGGAATTTTCAGCACAAGCTCAGGGCTGGAAATAGAATTCGGTAGTTATATAACTATGTATTTATTCATGTTTTAAACATAATATTCTTAATCATGACACGTGCACATGATAATCGATTATTGACAATATCGGAAAATTATAAGCTCATGTGACATGAAGGCCAATGGCATGAATAAAACAGTATGAACAAGACAAATGAGAATACAAAGTAGATAGTAAAAACACGTGAAAAATTTCCATCTGAACCGCGAATCATGAAAATTAATCAAACTCCAGTGAGTGTGAATTGTTACATGTCTAGAAATGAGTGCCACCCCATTGCTCATTTGAGCAGGGAGACATATAGCCTTTCTCTTGATGTCACGTTTGTACTGTACAGCTATCCCTCGATTTACAAATGGGATGCGTTCTTCAAAACACGTAAAACGAAACTTGGTGAATGGCAATGGCTTTTCCCATGAATACAAAAAAAATAAGGATGTGTTTCAGAGTCATTCTAACTCTACTCCTAACCTAAAAATATACATATTTTTCACTTTCACAATCCAGAAATAATAATTAAAGAACAAAAACCTTCAATTAATTGCATTAAAAAATGTCAGGGAACTCCGCAACAGAGCTGCATGTTGGAATGACTGGAAAGGTGATGTGGAGGCATTTCTGTTGCACTGCGCGGATGCCGTGACTGTCGCGGATGGATGACGCAGCCTCTCGGGTAGTTCTCGTTTGATTTCATGGCGCGTGCCGTGTGAAATTGTGTTCTAGCGGAAATTCGATTTTGTTCATCGAAAAGTGTGCGTAATTAGTCGGATTGCATTTACGTTAAATTTCGTAAACCGAACGTTCGTAAATGAAGGGATGCCTGTATTAGGGTGCCAACCGAAATTCAAGTTTGTTATTTTCGAAGTCACTCTTGGTTTTATTATTTTTTTCCTGTTAAACTGAAGCACAGCGGTTTTAAAGACAATCCCTCAATACTGTTTACAGTCAATACATAGTCATCGTATCGAGGCATAGCCACACAAGAAGAAGAAGAGGCGGGGATTCTGACCAACCTGTAAATGTTAATATATTTGAATGAGATTGTCAGCTGTTGACACCAAAAATAATCATTTGAGAGTAGGATGTGATCAAGTAAAACTGAAACGTCGCTTTCCTTTTGCATATTGAGTGGCACCCAAATACACATGTATTTATGAGTCGAGTTATATATACCCGTGTGTATGCACATTTTTAACTTTGTTATGAGCACTACATATGAATGCAAGAGTTCTGCTTGAATTAGACTGGTTTCTTCCTCTTTTTTAACCATTGTGCACACAACACGACCCAACCATTCCCCACTTAAGATGTTCTACATTGGACTCGTTTCTTAAACGGAAGACAGCTAAATCAACTGTTCTTGACGATGTATTTCCAGGTTATGTACATTGGGGTGCCAATGGGTTGAAGCTTTATTAAATGAGAAAAAGAACACTTGAAAAGCCTGTTTAGGTGCTGTGACGTAACCGCATTGACATTTTAAAGCACATAGTGTTTTCACATTGACGTCACACGAGGATCATAAAGACGCAGGAGCCAGAGTCTGAGTACACTTCTCCAAGATAAGAAATATTTATATTTTGGGGTGATGTTTTCCTTAAACGTTGTGTGCCAGTCGAATTTTATTTCGCAAAAATTGTATCTCTTTTAGCAGGGCCCACTACACATAAAGAGGCTGCTGTGTGACCACATTGAACCCGTGTTCTGCTTGTGTCTTATTTTTTCCTGCAGCAAAACCAATACAATTTGCAAAAAGTGTGCACAGAACGTGAAGCTGTATGGCACGGTATGTGTATTTTTTGTCGCATTCAAAACATCCATGAATCGTTTTGGGGATCTTTGAACACTAAAAAATATTTTTCATGAGCATACACATTTTAGACTAGGATGGAAGAGAAAATGCAATGCACACCTTTTAAAAATTACGTAAAGTTGGTGTCATGTTATGAGATAAAGATATGTCCATTTTATAACTCTCAGAGCAGTACAACACCCCGTGTTAGAGAACAGTCCCGTGGAAGGTGATATCGCATAACTATTTCCGAGATCCCGTCAAGTGACCCCTCATCCACATGCGAGTGACGCTGCACTTTCCCATGTGGCATAATATAAACAGGTCCATCACATGGCAGTCAACCAACATTTGTCATTGCTGGATTTCTTGCATTTAGCACAACAAAAGTAACACGATTTGTTTTGTGTCATGGGTGACTGGACTTAGACCATAAACTCAGTACACTTGAGAACCCCGGTTAATCACAGGTTGTTGAAACCTGGATTCAAGCCTAGAATCTCGGCATTGCCAGCTTTGTGCCCTGGTTAATGAGGATGGGTCACAACAAATACCTACTTAGGTGTAAGAACGCACCTTGGCTCTTTTCCCATGGCTGTATGACACACGTTTGAAGCTTTGTTGTTGAAGCTTTGTTGCTGGAAAATACAACTTTAAGGTGACAAACTGCAGTGCCCTCTGGTGATGTCACTGCAGTTTGACTACTGAACCATTCCACACGTCACTGCAGTGACATCACTGTAGTGTGTTGGCAACTCACTTTAAAGTGTTTTTGTAGTAACCTGTCAGGAAGCCTAGGTCACAACCAAAAATATGTATCTTCAAGTGATGTATGAACAAGCGATTTGTTTCTTGGGTTGCTTCTGTGATGAATTACATTTCTAAGTTGGTAGTTGAGATGGGAAACATTTGTACCCTGGGATGGTGTGGAGGTGGCTCAGACTACTAAACTGGGTTCAAATCCGGGTTTCTGGTTCCTATGATTATACTGGGTTGTCAAGTGTAGTGGGTTGATGGTTTCAGCCCAGTTGCCATATACTGCACACGCAAAAATCACGTATTATGTCTGGGTTTTTCACTTAATTTGGGTGAATTCAGGCTCTGAGATTCGATATCGGTTTGACTGCCATGTGATGAACACTTTTCTGTTGCATGGCATGTGGGACAGTGTATGGATAAAAGAGTAACTCGAAGAGATCTGGGAAGCAATTGTATGATATCACTTTCCATGGACTGTTCTGTAACACACACAGGTCAATCCATTACTGTACAATAGTTCTGAATGGACATTTTTTCAAATGACATGACGCCAATGGTACAATCGGAAGATTGATTTTTTAGAAATGTTTTTTTTTATGTTGTTGATGTTAAATGGTGCCTATTTCGATGCCGTTGACTGCTGAAATCATTCACATTATTTAGCTTCATTGCACAAACAACCCAGCCACAGCCCACCGCTGGACGGCGCCATTTTCCGTGGGTCGGCATTGACGACAGCTTGTGCTCTTGTGGTGCACGCAGCCCAAGCCGTGCCAGTACTGTAACATAATCGCGGCGTTCATCGGCACCAAGTGCCAGCGCTGCACCAACTCTGAGAAGAAGTACGGGCTGCCCCTCGCCTGCGAGCAGTGCAAGCAGAGGTGCGCCTTCGACCGCAAGGACGACAGCAAGAAGAAGGTACGGCCACGCACTCCGCCACACCTTTCGATTATAAATTAAAATAAAAAATGTAACACATGTTGCCGACGTGTTCCTACGCTGTGTATTCGACAAGACTGTGGGGCTTCGTTAAAAATAATAAATTGTAGTCATGGTCAAAGATGCAACTGAGGCGCTCCAGTAACAAAATTCGTTGACAAGAGGCATGTCACATTTTTCCCTTACCATATGAATTTATTAATTGCCATGAATCGGGTCAACAGTTATTATTTATGAGTTTAGTAATATGAGTACCGCTCTGTGGGACTGCAACAGTGGTCATTCTTTGAGTCTGGCTCCGACTACTGGCTCAGCTGCCATTGGAGAAGAGACCACCCTGTTGCAAGTTAGAGCAGGCAGATGCTTAGATGTTGAGTGCTATGGCAGTGTTTCACCTGTGTGCAATTAAAGTGCAAAAACACCGCATTTTTTTAGACACTGCCTCTTGGCTGCAGGTGCTTAGTGTTGTATGCTGTGTATGCCATGTGTAGTGGGTTAAATTCAGGTGCACACTGCACTTTGGAGGCAACACTATTTATTATCTAAACACAATGGGTAACTAATAGGGTTTTTCCCCTTTTTCTGGCAACAAAACTGACACCTTTTGCAAGGAATCATGCTTACATTAACCACAATACTTGCAGTCAAATGCAAACAGAAAACAATATTCTGATAATTTATGCATTGTCTTTGAAACTGATTGGTCCACACCAGAGACAGCTTTCTTTGGAGCCTAGTCTCATATGGTGTTCGACCAGATGACGCCAAAAGGCGCACTTTTTCTAGGTAGACAGGAAGCTGCTATGCCATGGGTGGGTTGTGTTGCGTATACTCTGCATGTGCTGCATCTACTGTACAGGTGCTGTGCTATGTGCTGCTGTTTCCAGGTGGACGGGAAGCTGCTGTGCTGGCTGTGCACGCTGTCGTACCGCCGCGTGCTGCAGAAGGCCAAGGAGCAGCACCGAGGGCTGGGGGCGGCGCAGCACCGCTCCTCCCAGGACGAGCGGCATGGGGCACGCAAGGAGCAGCACACGCACCGACAGTACGTGTAGGACACACCGTACACAAGCACATACGATCCGCACTGTACCTGTAATACACAACACTCAACAAATACATAATACACACAATATGCAAGCAAACACAATCCACACATTTCTTATGGTACACAACACTCAGGCAGTGCACATAGTACAAAACACTCAGCCAATACACGGAACACACAGTATGTACAGTGCACACAATATACACAGCCATTACATAAAGTACACGGACGGCCAGAAAGCAAAGTACACACCGTATACAAGCATGCATTGTACTTCTAGCACAACCAGCATACACAGTGCACACAGCACACTGCCAGTACGCCCAGCACAAGTATAACCTACATCATGGGACCTCCTTAGTAGCTACTCACTCTGCTCACCCCGAGCTCTCATTACTCTGCTAGTGCGTTGTCTTTGAACTGTGCATCTTTTGGCGTCATCTGGTCGAACACCATATGAGACGAGGTTCTCTGGTGTGGACCAATCAGTTTCAAAGACAATGCATAAATTATCAGAGTATTGCTTTTTGTTTGCATTTGACTGCAAGTATTGTGGTTAATGTAAGCATGATTCCTTGCAAAAGGTGTCAGTTTTGTTACCAAAAAAAGGGGAAAACCCCTATTAGAGTATAACCGACATGTGTGTGCCGTGTCTTTCTCAGCCACAAGTCCCCTGGCCCTGCCTCCCAGAACGATCCTCCGCAGAAGAAGCCCAAGGTGGAGAACAAACCCAGCAATGGAGACAGGCGAGCAGCCCCCACACAGGGCTCACGCGCCTACCCACGGACACCTGTGCTTGCAGATTTAATACCACAGAATACTCAGCGCAATGCATTGCAATATTATACAGTACTATACTGCATGATAATATACTATATGATGCAATAATATACAATGCAATGCTATGCAGTACTAAACAACACAGTGTACGGGTGTGTGATATTTTTTGTGCTAGAAGTGTTGCGGTGCTGTGAAAACCAAAACGGATGCGACTGAATGCGAACTGAAGCCCTGGCGAAATACCAGAATTGGGTTAAGGGTATATGGTCAGTGTGAACGCTAGTGCTAGTAGCTGGTTAGTTAGGTTTATGCTTAGAGCCAATAATCGTGACTGTTAAGTTAGTTGATTAGGGTTTCAACTCACACAAGTGGCAGTGTGGGTGGTGGTCCAACCCATATGAGACTAGGCTCGAAGGAAAGCTGTCTCGGGTGTGGACCAATCAACTTCAAGGACAGTGCACATTATCAGAGTTATGTTATTTTGTTTGTATTATGACTGCAGGTATTGCGGTCTATGCAAACATGACTCCTTGCAAAAAGGTGTCAGTTTTGTTGCCAGATAGAAGGGTAAAAAAACAATTATCATATTTTTACTGGCCAATGAGGTCCCCATAGCACAAACAACTCGTGACTGGTTGGCACGATGGCTGGCAAGTGGCTCAGGTTATGTAATGGGAAACTGTTTGGTTTATATTTGGCTCATGCACTCTGCCCCTCTTCCCCGTGGATCGCTGCGTCACTCCGTGTCAGCGTGAGGCACTGTTCTCTCCACGCATCTACTGACGCTCGGCCGGGCGCTATTGCGTGTCGCTCGTGCGTGGTGCAGTGTATCCGGTGACGCCACCATGGACTCGGCGAGCTCGGACAACTTCATCCTGATCACTCAGCTCAAGGAGGAGGTGGCTCTGCTGAAGAAGCAGCTCCAGCAGAAGGAGGGGCTCATCCTGGAGAGAGACCGCAAGGTGGGTGGTGCCGCTCGCCACCGCTCCCCTTGTTTCCCCACACCGTGTTCACGGCGCACGATCCGTGCCGATCTGTCTCCTGGTGATGCTGACTTGTGTATGTGTCCCTCTGCCTGTGTGTGAGCAGTAGTGGAGTGTAGCGGTTAGCACGCTGCGCTACGAACCCGGCGACCCGAGTTCAATTCCTGCTCATGGCCAACACCAGTAATGAATATTTGAACCGGTCCTGGGCCTCCCTTAGGTCGACTCAGCCTCAAATTAGTACCTGGTGTGGTTTGTCAACATTGCCACTGGGGAGACAAAAGGCGGTCGGGTGTGCTGCTGGCTCTTGTGTACCGCTCTGGCCTTCATAGCTGCTCACTAACAGCACTTACCCCAACAGTCTGTGCAGACTATACAGGAGATCTTTGTATATGTGTGTCTGCGTATGTAGCTCACGGAGATCAAGGCCGACTTCCAGTACCAGGAGAACCTGATCCGAACCAAGATGAACAACATGGAGCGCACGCACAAGGAATCCATTGAGCATCTCCAGGTAACCAGTGGTGACAGCACAGTTATCCCAACCAGTTACCGGCCAATCAAAGGCAAGGCCAAGCACCTTCCTGTTCAACTGAGCAATGGGACGGTGTACATTTCTGTCGATAGCCGTGAGCCAATGGTAAAATTGCATATTCCCATGGAGGAGGGCAGTCTGTACACATGAAGGCTTCTGTCAACTTCCCCACAATATGATACTCAATTTGTTGATCTGGGAGGGATGATGGGCTCAGTCGATCCTCAACTCCAGTTTGAAGCTGGGACCCTCTAATTGCGAGTTGAACACTCTAACTGCATCACACCTAGCCTGCTGAGTGCATACGTGTCGAAATGTGCGTGAATATTTATACATATAAAAATTGTGAGTTTTCGTGCAGTGGTTTTGCCCACTGTACTACGAACCCAGTGACTTGGGGAAATCAGCTCGTGTGAAGGTGTTAGGTGGATCCTTACATCGTGGAACCGTGAGAGATGTGACGGCTTGGAGGCCTTCATCCAGGAGTAGATAGATCATGGTCGATAACGTAAGTTTGTCTTTGTGCATTCAGGTGAAGAACCGGGAACTTCTCAAACAGGTGTCAAGCCTTTCTAAGGGAAAGAAGCCAGAGAGGACCCTGACTAGCGCCTCCTCGTCCCCCTAACCTCCAGGTCCCCATGACTCGCTCTCACTTCATACCCTTCCCCATGTCACCCCTGGGTTTATATAAAGAGGTATTTACTAAAAGTCGGTGTTGATGTCTATTGTGCTGACAAACCTACGGTAGCGTGCAATCATGTTCAGTGCGTTACTGGGTTGTAGCGCAGTATCACTTGTCGCCTCGCAGGGTGTACTGCCGTGATCATAAACAAGGTGGCTAAAGCGGATGTGTAGTTCGAGCTGAAAGGCGTTGTGGCGGACTGACTTTATATCTCGCACCACTAATATAATTCTGCCAGCTGGAACGACGGTGCACATGGGGACGAGTGGTGGGGTAGCAGTGCTGTGGGATTTGGGACAAAACTACACTCCGATAGACCATTGTTGTGCTGCCCAACTTCACAGTTCTACCAATTCTGTGCAACCAACTGCCCAAGTGAGGTAGGGCTAAAACAGATGCTTTGTACAAAGACAAATATCCCCCTTCTAGCCTGAACAGATTCTTGGGGCAAGTGCTGTTACTGAGCACCTATGAAGGCCAGCACGGCACACGAGGAGGTGGATGCTCAGCACCACGCCCGGCCGCCTTTGTCTTCCGAGCGGCAATGGTTATGCATCACATTAGATACTCATTTGAGGCTGAGTCGGCCTCGGAGAGGCCCAGGACTCAATTCCGATAATCATCACTGGTCTTGGCCATGAGCTAGAATCGAACTCTCTTTGCTAGGTTCGTAGCGCAGTGTGCTAACCACTACACTACTGCTCCCCTACCTAAACATGCACCCTATCAGCCACCCCTATTCCTGACGGAAGCCAAAATGCTTCCCATAAGCTTGCAAAAACCAGACACAGAACTCTGCTGTCCTCCACAGAACCGTTATTAGTCCCTTTACAGCGTTACCAGCACATGCATTCATTTGGCCAAAGTCTATCTGCATGCAACCACAATTTCCGCAGTCACAGGTAACCACCGTGCCACCACGCTTACAAAATCAAGGTAGGCAACCCAACCATTCCCATGGTGAGCATGCTTCATCCTCTTAAGGGTTGGCATCACCAAGGAAATATGGGTAGCTGCTCGTGCCAGGGTCTGCCTACCCTCAGAGGCGTAGCTAGGATAGTTTGCGCCCAGGGACGAACTATAAAATTGGCGCCCCCCCCTGTAAATTTTAATGAAACATTGTATTTAAAGAAGCAAATTTATAGAAATTATATTACATGGCTCACTCAGTCACTGTCGTAGACTGGTTGGCATAGTCTACAAAATATTAATTTTTCTTGATTTCGCTGTCGCAAACTGGCCAATCACGTAAACAACATCTGTTTTTCCCAATGTTTCTCTTTCAACGCTAAGAAGAGCAAGATCGCTGAGACGATATTGTCCCATTGAAGCACGCAAATACGACAAAATAAGTTTCAAATTGCTGAACGACCGCTCACAGCTTGCAATTGAAACTGCTATTGTTAATACAATTTGCAGTGAAATTCGCAAATTCGTAAATATGTCGTCTCCATAAAACACAATAAAACCAAGAAGATCCAAAGGAGTTTCTGGTAGAACTTCATTCCGGTTACTGAGCAGCATTTTGCAATCTCCAATTTCTGTGAAAAGTTTGTGGCCATTGATGTCGGTGTCATAGAAATTTCCAAAATCTGTGCAATTTCGACGAATTGCATCGATATCTGTGTCGGATAGAAGAGTTTTGACGTCCAGCAGAAATCCAAATTTTGTGTTCAGGTATTTTAGTCGAAAAAACCGTGTTGACATCTCCTGTTGAAGTCGATAAAATACGCTCTTCATAACGCGCATAATTTCTTCTTCTGCTGAAAGTCCTGCATCTCTTGCCAGTTCTCCTGGCATCTTCCGACGTCGCCTAATTCTTCTGGACAGGATATCAAGGCGCACTGGTTTTTGCAGATGACGCCTTCTTTTCCTCATCAGTCTGTGATCTCTAGCGTGCCCTTGAACAGTTTGATGCCGATTGTGAAGCGGCTGGGATGAGGATGAGCACTTCCAAATCTGAGGTCATTGTTCACTCCCGGGAGACGGTGGATTGTGCTCTCCAGGTGAGGGGGGGGGGAAGCTACCCTTAGTGGAGGAGTTTAAGTACCTCGGGGTCTTTTGCGAGTGGTAAGTGGGAGCGGGAGATTGGCCGGCAGATCGGTGCGGCATCTGCAGTGTTGCGGGTGCTGTACCATTCTGTGGTAATGAAGTTGGAGCTGAGTTCTCGAATAAAGCAGTCGGTTTACAGGCCAATCTACACTCCCACCCTCACCTATGGTCATGAGCTTTGGGCAATAACCGAAAGGATTAGATCGCAGGGTACAAGGGGCCAAAATGAGGTTTCTCTGCAGGGTTGCCGGGCTCACTCTCCGTGATCAAGTGAGGAGCTTAGTAATCCGGGAGAGCCTCAGAGTCGAGCTGCTGCTCCTCCGGATCGAGAGGAGCCAGTTGAGGTGGTTCGGGCACCTGGTAAGGATGCCCCCCGGTAGATTTCCGCTGGTTTCCTACCGGGCACGTCCCACTGGGTGCAAACCCCGGGACCGACCTAGGACACGCTAGTGGGACTATGTCGCTCGGCTGACCTGGGAACGCCTGGGAATTCCCTAGGAATGACTAGAGTCTGTCACCAGGGAAAGGGAGGTCTCGTCCACCCTACTCAACATGCTGCCGCCGCGACCCTCACCAGGACAAGCGAATTGAGGACCGAACGAACATCTGCTGCACGATTGTTCAGGTGGAAATCGCTTGCGGTGATTTTGCAGGGATTTGGTCTGAGACTCCAGCCACTAGTCTAACCATATCCACCTGCTCTCAGCCTTACGGGCAATTCCATTCAGACATAATGAAGCGATTATGCGCAATGAGGACATGCCACTCGTCCAACCAAAATGCACCAGCACCAGCCTCATTGGAAATTCAATTCAGTCACTGGGGTAATTGTGCAGTTTAACAACATTTTGGAAGTTCAGCCTCGCCAATGGCCCATCTTGTAAAGGCCATTGTTCTCCCTGCGTCGTGCGAATATCAGATAAATTATAAACCCATTCATCTAACTCGTTCGGCTTTTCTTCAAGGCACCCTGTATAGTTAAAACACACCTTGCCCATAGCACCTGGCTGATCACTGGGTTCCTTCCAATATCCAGGTCTGGAATACATGGGGGGATGTCTAGGCCTTGTGCCAGGTGCAGCCAAAGTTCTACCACAAGGATGTGTTCAGGTCTCTGGCATGATGGTACAATTGCATCGTTTATGCTGCTCACTACCTGCTGCAGAATTAACACGACTATAAAATGACGTAGTTATACATTATGATGTCAATTATATTTCTACTATCAGCATGTTGCGAATAAAGAGACGTTAGTAAATATAATATATAATCTAAAAATGGGTTGATAAACACTTCTGGAATGTCCCTCGTATGGTGGGAAGCGACTATATGTGGACTTTATGGGACCTCGTCTTCTTGGTTCGGTAAAGTCACGTAGAAGGGAAATAATACAATTTTAAAAAATTTAACGTAAAAAAATATTTTATTATTTATTATTTCCCTTCTACGTGACTTTACCGAAAGAACCAAGAAGATGAATCCCTGCAGTCACGAAAGCTTTAAATCGAAATTTATGGGACCTCTCTTGCCAGTATCAGAATATAAGAATAGGTTTTACCATTTCTAGCAATCAAAAAGGTGTTAAGATGTTAAAACACCAATCTGAAACCTTTTGTAAGGAATCATGTCTCAATTAACCACATATACTTGTGGCAAACATGCAAACAAAAAAATGGTTCAGTTTGGTGTTCTCACATCTTAACACCTTTTTTATTGCCAAAAAGGGTAAAAACTTTTCTGAAATTTTGATACTGGCAAGGGAGGTCCCATGATGTAGCTGCTCACCCCGAGCGCTCAATGTCCTGACAGTGGCATTTTGTCTTTATGCTCTTCGCCTTTTGGCGTCCTCTGGTCGAACACTGTTTGAGACGAGGCTCTAAAGAAAGCTGTCTCTGGTGTGGACCAATCAGTTTCAAAGCCAATGCCTCTTCTACCAGAGCATGTTTTTTTGTGTGCATGTTCACCACAAGTGTATGTGTTGATGCAGACATGAGTCCTTGCAAAAGGTTTCTGTTTGGTGTTTTAACATCCCAACACTTGTGTTATTGCCAGAAAGGGTAAAACCTATTCTTATACATGCAGGCTGCTGTTCGACGAGCGGTATGGAAAATGCCTTCTCAGCGAAAAACGCGACGTCAGTTCGTGACGTTAGAACATTCCGCCTAATTTTTACTTTGTGTAACTTTTTTTATTAGTCCTAGATCAGATGTAGAGTAGGTGGAGATTTTATTTTTTTACTCGGTAATGTTTTTATACGACGTTTTTTTGGTTGGTGGATATCGATGATGATGATGATGTGTGGGAGAGAAATAAAAACGTGGACCGCATGGTGGTTCATTGCCCGTGCTGTGCTTCACTGACCTGAGATGCACATTACACACCACATGCCAGCCAGCCAGCAAATCTTATTTTTGCTGGTTTTCCTTTTGTCTTTTTGGTGATCCAGGTCACTCTTGCAATTAAGCCTCATCCTGGTGTCATGAGTTATCACTCAGTTAAACAAAATAAACTTGAATAGTCAGCATTTCATGATTTCGCCCCTATTTTTGACACAAAAATTCGTGTCAAAAGAAATGTCACATACGTGTTGCCTACTTTCGGTCTTGTTTGTGTAATTAGCCTTAAGGAATGTTTATTATTTGCATGAATGTTCAATCTTATCACTCATGATTTAATGCGTGTGTCATGAATGGATTTTAATGGATGAGTCGTTTCGTGCCAAATTGACAACAAGTTGAACAACAGACAGTAGGTGGCGTTACTGATACACACACTAATTTAATGCGTGCGTCATGAATGTAAGAATGTGTTTAAGTGGATGAGTCGTTTCGTATCTAACAGCAAGTTGAACAATATATACGAGGTAGCGTTACTGGTAATGTAGAGAAGTGGAGAATCCCTGCTCACACGAGTTCCTGCGCTATGAAACTCCCAAACATGCTGACCAAGTTGGCAAAGTGGTGGCACGTACTTTACGTGGGTTCCAAACCCATGTGTGTGTGGTCCTGCCGCTGCGAGACAGGCACCGGAAGGGAAGCAGGGACATTGTTCAGTTTTATTGATCAAAATCGCTGATACTCCCGCACATGACATTCGTGAAATATAATTCCACCCACAAAGTTCAAGTTTATTTTGTCTCATGAGAAAGTTTGTTGGGTTAGATCGTGGAAATGTGTCGTACGTCCACGGACCTCCATGATTAATATTGGTCGTGAAAGCGGACATTAAATGTTTCTTATTTGCAAGTCTACCAGTAGGGGGCGATGATTGCTATTTATATTCTGTTTGTGATGTGCAGATAATTTTACAATTTTGACCGTGATGCTAGGGCATAATGTCTTACTCTTGTGAATGGCGTCAGGGTACCGTTCACGTCCACACATCTTTAACGTCGAAAGTGTGACACGCAAGAGCAGAGCCTCACCATTCTGGCGAATTGCCCGATGCTGGATGCAATTACCAGCGAAACGTCGTACTCAAAAATTGTAAATGTTGTGGTTTAACGCTTCAACACACCGGTGGGCTAAAGCAGTGAACTATTTGTCTTTTTAATTATGGAGCTTTCGTGACTGCAGGAATTATTCTTTGGTTCTTTCGGTTAAGTCACGTCTAAAGATAAAATAATAAATTAAAATAAAAGCATATTACGATGTTTCGATTGCAACACAAGCAATCATCATCAGGCAAAAAAAAAGAAATAGCAACAAAAAATCTAACTAGAAAACTATAGACAGACATATAAGCAGACAGACATCACACGGACACACAGAGAGAGGACACATATCGGCACAAAGAGAGGGGTCGTTTCTGTGACGGTCCCTTAAATATAGAGAGGGGGGCAGGGACGGAGAGAGGGAGGGGGCAGAGAAAATTAGCATATCAATGAGTGGCAAAGTGCTGCTGCTACTCTAGTAAGATGACGACGTGGCACGGCACGCAAGCTTGTAAATTAGGAGAAAGGCACACTAAAATTAAATAACCTCGCAAAATATCGAAATGTGATGTAATACAACACAGAGAGTCGGTCAACACACAATTAACGCATAGCCTGGTTGATTACGTATCTCAAAGATTGCTAAGTTAGAGTTTAAAATTTTCTTTTTTCTCTCTCTGGCTATTTGTTCTCTCTCCTTGTGTCCTCTCTTTGGAAGTTTCACACTTAAACTCTAACTTAGCAATCTTTGAGATACGTAATCAACCAGGCTATGCGTTAATTGTGTGTTGACCGACTCTGTGTTGTATTACATCACATTTCGATATTTTGCGAGGTTATTTAATTTTAGTGTGCCTTTCTCCTAATTTACAAGCTTGCGTGCCGTGCCACGTCGTCATCTTACTAGAGTAGCAGCAGCACTTTGCCACTCATTGATATGCTAATTTTCTCTGCCCCCTCCCTCTCTCCGTCCCTGCCCCCCTCTCTATATTTAAGGGACCGTCACAGAAACGACCCCTCTCTTTGTGCCGATGTGTCCTCTCTCTGTGTGTCCGTGTGATGTCTGTCTGCTTATATGTCTGTCTATAGTTTTCTAGTTAGATTTTTTGTTGCTATTTCTTTTTTTTGCCTGATGATGATTGCTTGTGTTGCAATCGAAACGTCGTAATATGCTTTTATTTTAATTTATTATTTTATCTTTAGACGTGACTTAACCGAAAGAACCAAAGAATATTTGTCTTTTGTCAACGTGACACCTTTTTGCTGATTGGCCGTGTCGGGTGGTGGAGGGTTACGACAAATTATAAAATAACGCGATCTAACCCAAAAAACGTTGATTGTCGAATATGAGACTTGAAGAAATCCAGTCGCGGTGGTATTGATTGATTGCCCCTACCAATAGCAATGTGGCTGTCCTAACCACTGACTAACAACAGCTAGCAATATAGTCATGAATTTGTTTGCATGTGGGAAGAAACCAGAGTAACTGGAGAAACCCCACTCGTCCGAGGGTATAATACTGAAAGACTCTCACTGCCACCAATCAGCGTCATACAATTCAATGCGTTTTTATCTGGGAAAGTCTCATCGAGGACTGTATCCAGTCTCTTTTCAATGAGAGACTGCGGTGAAATGTCTGGCCGATTTCAAGGCGTGTTTTGCAACCCCGCAAGACATTTTCTCTGCGGAGATGTGGATAGAGCGCTAAAATCACGTTGGAGCAAATTCATTTTGATCAAATATGAATGCTTGTCAAGTGTCAGTCTCTTTAGAAAAGTGTGCATTGTACTAAGACAGCGAATGGTTTACCGCATGCAAATGAATGTTCAGTTTGAGGTGTTTAATTGTTACACGTAACATGCAAGACCTTTCACACTCCTTTTGAGAACAGCACTTTATTACACAATGTACTGTCTTAAACACACTACATTTATGCAAAAATACAGTGGAATGCATACATTGATATACAATTAGGAAGAAACATTGATAAGGATTATTCCTGAGAAATTAATTCACTGAGGTCGGATGTTAACTCACCCGTGATTATCTTTCAATAATAATAACGTACTTATTTCCCAGGCGAGGCCACACTGATTAAGCAGAAACCGCCCAAACGTTTTGGGAACCATTCTTGCTCCGTACCAACGTGAGGTTTCCTGATATTGCAATGCTGCTCTTATCCAGCGGCAGGAGCTATTCAGTGCACAGGCGGTGCAACTGCACTCGGGCCCCAAGGGGGCCAAAGGCGCCCCACACAGTAAACATGGAACCTTGGGCCAACGGGTCCACCACATGCCAACGTTGACTCAACGTTGGCATATTTACCAGGCAGGCACCTGGGCCACAATGATATGGGACATTTCAATATTTGGAGCCAAGGGGCCCCCCGTTGCCACCACACTACGCCACTGCTTATAACCACATTCGCCTGTGACCAAGGTGAGGTGAGCACGACGAACGGGGCCAAAGGTGCCCCACGCAGGAGGGAATGTGGTCACACAAGGCAGCTGTGTAGTGTCACTCATGAGTGCATGTACACGCACTGTGCACACACATGTCATACATCTAGAATATCGCAATCACACGCAGCATGTAACATACTGCATCATGAGCAGCACAGTGCATCAGACCCATGAGTTGAGGGTGAGAGAGCCCCAAATAATTTGGGCGGGGTGAATGCCATATGCTGTGCCCCTTCAATAACATCTCCATAGAGCCACTTGGCTACTTGACAAGAAACAACATCGATACTTGCCCCCTAAATTTCTAAACTAACATTTTTTTTTTACCAGGATATGCCCACTGGGCTATATAGCTCTTTTTCAGAAGAGACCTGGCCACATGATATCCCAATTAAGTGGCTTATGTGGAAATTTATAGCAGCCAAATACTGAATGCAGGTTTCTAAATGTAGAGGTAAAAACCAGACAACCCAAAGAAAAAATAATTGTCAGGGTTGGGCTTGAACCCACGACCTTCTGCATTCCGGGCGAGGCAGTTAACATCTCACCACCGCGGCACCCCCAGTAACAGTTTCAATGCGTCTGTGTAGACTACTTCATCTTGCCTGACCACAGAAGAACAACCATGTACATGTGGCATCATAATAATACCGGCATCTCTCATCCAGGACTTTAGCTGTGTGCAATATTGAAATCAAAAGTAATCACACTCATTTTGATCTCCTCCGTGGATAAATATGACAGACAACTCGTACAGATGTAAACTCGCTCATACCCGAGGAGAGAAGGGTTTGTGTGTAAATACAGCGCTATGGACGATGACAATTCTTGTTTGAACCTGTTCAACGGAGTTTTTCAACGTACAATAATTTCCCTTCGTTTGTACAATCAAAAAGTTCCATATGTAAAGCAGTCGCACCTCTAGATTACCCATTTACAGGTCATTCGCTCTCACTACACAGCAAATTCGACCACACCGCGCTTGAGTCAGCCATTTGACTGCAAGTCAATCAGATCGTCGTCGGTTTCGTCATCAACAACAGCCTCCTGGCTCTGTCCTGGATCCGTCTGCTCCGAGTCACGGGGACTCAGCTGTTTCACTTTGACCTCCGCGCCATTCCCTTTGTCCCTGTCTCCGTTCTCGACTTCGCTGCCCACGTCCCCGTCGCCCGCACAGGGCGCGCTGGTGTGCCCAGCGCTGAGCTGGCGCAGCACGAGGCGGCGGTACACACCGCCCTGATGCGCCAACAGCGCATCGTGGGTACCACGCTCCACGATCCGGCCCTGTTCCACCACGACCACCTGCATACGGGAATGTGATGGGGGGCAGCACATCCCAGGTTTAAAGCAGATGCACCCGAGAAACCAGCAGGTCTTCCTCCTTACGAGGAAGTGTACATGCAAAAGGTGATTTAAAGACGGCAGAAGACTCGATTGTAACCATCATGCCTTGCATGTCACGTGACGTCTCCATGCTGTGTGTATAATGCCCATGGCCTGTGTCAAACAACCCAATCAAACGAGTCAAACCTGTGGCCATATTGCTTTAGACAGCAGCAGTGCGTGAGTGCATCATTCCTGGAAGCAGACTGTTGCGTGCACCCACGCTCATGAATTGTGAAAAGATGGATACATTTTTAAGGGCTATAAGTCAGCAACTGGATGACACCGGATTTATCCTTGTTAGAAATATAGTATAGCCATCATTGCCTACCATTCATTCATTTATTCCTTCGTCACATATGTAGCGTGCACAATACAAACCTTATAGGGACATTCAGAGGCACGTGGATAAGTTAACAGAGGAAAGTCTTAAGATTCTGAGAAAAGGCCAACACCGACGCCAATGCATGCAGCGAGAGGGGGAGGAGGGCGTGAACTCCGGGCAAGTGGAGCTGCGACAGAAAAGCGGCATTCACCTCGATTCAGAGGTGGGGGGATGGGGGGAGGGGGGCTTTGCATGGTGGAGATGTGGAAGCGTCACCTGTGAAGCGCTGCGCACGGTAGAGAGGCGGTGGGCGATGACGAGCACCGTCCGGTCCTGCATCGCTCGGTCGATCGCCTCCTGCACCAAGTGCTCGCTCTCCGCGTCCAGGGCACTCGTCGCCTGCGATCGACACACGGCCGACGGATGAGGGAACGAAGCCACAGGTGAGAGGGTGTGTAAAAGGACAGTGCGGGGTAGAGGACCGCGCTTGGGAGGCAGTGCCGTAGACACGACGATGCTGTGAAAATGCAGAGCAAGGAAAAACAGTACAGTGAAGATGGAAGGGCAAATAAATTAGTGTAGGTAAAAGAATTACAAAAAGACAGCAGGAGTGAAAGGGGTACAAGAAAACAGTACAAACCATACAACGGTGCACAACACGTTCCTTCGGAGTGGGCAGGTAGGAACTTGGTTGGACAGCGCATTTGTGCGATCCGTGTTGGATACCGTAGTCATGTTGGAGGTTGTAGCTGTTACTATTGCATCTGATGATGATTGTTGATTTATTGCTGTAGGTCTTTAAGTTCATGCTGCTGCTGCAGCAGGTTGCGCCTGTGCTGTGACGCCACCTCCTGCGTGTACCACGCGCGCCAATCCACCTGACCTGGTCTTCTTTGAACGGCCACGATGTTGTCGTAATGGCGCACCAGGTGCATGATGTTGAGCAGGGCATAGACGCCGCAGTCGAGAAAGGTCACCTGCGGGCGTTGCACCGGGGAAACCCGGGGCAGCACGTTGGCCACCTCGACAGGACCGTCTTGCATGAAACAAATGGCGTTCCCCGTTGAGTGGCTGGCCCTTATCAAGATGTCAATATTGAAGGCTCGGGCGGGTAAAATCGCTCCCTGTATAAGATTCAAATACTGTCAATAATAGCTGTATTATAATAAAATACTGTCAATTATCCATTTTCACACTCACGATGTATGTATCATGTCAGAATAATTTCTAAATAAGAAATGCCAAATCTATTTTTTTCAAATTAAGAAATGGCAACCTCGTGTCTTACCCACAAATGTAGCAACTACCCAAAGCGTTGAGTAGGCACGTAAAATAAATTCATCAACTGAAATTGATTATGCTCCTGACAAAGTCACGTGAGATTAGATTATTTACAATGCATGTACATTACATGCCAATGTTCATCATCATCATCAGCCATGCTCAATCTACTGCTGGGAGAAAAGGTTCCCCAATATTTTCCCCGATATTGTCACCATCCCTCATGATCTTGTGATCCACCCAGCTCATGCGCATGAGATGATCTCATTGCTTCATCTCCGTGGTGGTTATTTTCTCACACGTGTTTTCTCCATCGGTTGACATTCCATCCCAAGTTCTGTCCACTTGCTATTATCCCTTTAAGTCACGATGTGTCTTGGCCAAGCCTAATTAAAACTCTACTTGCATTTTTGCAATGATGCATTGAGGAGAAAGTAAAGTAACCAAAAAATAACTGTATGAATTAAAATAGAGATGGTCAAAATGAAAAAAAATAATAATGAAATAATGACTGTAAATCTATCACAATTAATTGAAAAACTGGAAAGTGTGCTGGGAGTGGGGGGGGGGACTCCAGTTGAATCGTAAACATGGCCACAGGCAGCCATTGCCACCATGCACACATGTCCAGTTAGGGATGTTCATTGAATTTTTAAGGGTGTTGCGATAATTGCATGCACAAAAGCTTATTAAAAAAACCATTACCAATCTACAGCACACCCACAATGACCGGAGTGAAATATGGTCAAAATAAGCTCAATGACTGACATGGCGTGGTTAGGCCTTCATCTAGCAGTGGCTTGACCAAGTGGTGTACGTTTATTATATTGTTTATATTGTATCTATAATGATCAGAACAATGACATTGCAAGATGCGTCTGTAAAAATGCGTGCCATGCGCCAAGCAGTTTGATCAAGTACTCAAAAAGTAGAAGATTATAGATTCCATGACTTAGGAATCAATACAATATTCCATAAGCAAACGGTACAAATCCATAATAAAAGTGCAGGAGATACAAAACACTGAGTACGCTTCGCCAGTACTCTAACTTACAATACGATATTATATGTGCATAGGCAGCTTATTCTGCGTCAAGAGATACGAGAAAAAAGCTTATCAATATACTCATGGTGTTTTTAGTGATAAAGCAAATATCTGTGGAGTCACGTACCGCCTTGAGGACTCTTAATAGAAGACTTAATATTTACGTTGAAGCCTATTCGCCATTGTTTGAAGCACCATCGGTGGGGGAGGGAGAGAGCACAGAGGTGGTGGGGTGGGAAAGGACTGGCACCAAGATGGCCTCGAGTGGCATGGGAGAGTTAACGCAGCGAATAAGATGCACGACAGACAGACAAATAATCCCTGGTGGGCAGTGTGGAACCTGTTGTTCCTACCTGTATGTAGAAAAAATAACTTGACTTTAGGTAGCCAGGCAGACAGCCCCCTTAACTATCGCCTCCCTCCCTTAGGCCCCTCCCCTGAACCTCCTCCCTTAGGCCCCTCCCCTCTCCGTACCCGGAAATAGGTTTCCACCAATCAAAGAGCTGTTTATGTTATATATTTATATATTTATTTATGCACGACAAACAAACAGACAGATGGTCGACACACAGACAGACAATAAATCCCTGGTGGGCAGTGTGGAACATTGTTCCTACCTGTAAATCTGTGCTATGCAGAAGGGTGATTGAAACGGCACCGCTGATATATTTTATATTAAAAGCCCGCTCAGTATTATTGATGAGTTTGTCGAGTGTTCTCGTTTATTGTTCCTGTGCATCACTGCCATCGCAGCTGAAGCAAATCATTTGTTGATTTTTTTTTACGACCAAATTAGCTTGAAACTGATCTATTTAGATCTGAGATGTTAGAGGGGATAAACCAAGTAAGTTACTTGGATGGCAGTCTGCCTGGGAATACCAGGTGTTTGCATGGGCTGATAGGTATTTCAATATTGGCAAGAGAACATAGAATGCTTATCCCTAGTGTACACAAATAAGTGTTCACTAACAGCACCTGTCCCGAGAGTAAATGTGACTTGATGTGTTGCCTTCAGCTCCAACGAACCTCATCGAGTAGCAGCAGAACTGGGTTCATGATGAGCGCCCGAGCAATGGCGATCCTCTGCTTCTGACCCCCAGAGAGTCGCACTCCGCGTTCTCCCACCATCGTTTCATAACCCTCCTGATGGGAAAGACATCGTTACAGCCTCCACGGTTGCCACACGGTCTCCGCAGTCGCCACATAGAATCGCGGTAAAACTATCTGTGGGATGGTGTTCTCTCTGCCTATCTGTCTGTCTCCAGCTCTGCATTTATGTTTCTCAACAATGTTCTGTCTCACTTTTTCTGGGTCTCTTTCTGTGTCTCTTTCTTTATCTTTTTCTCTCTTTCCTGTCTTCAAATTATTGGTAATCCTGATACATAATTAGCTTCTGTTACAGCTTACAACTATGTAATTATTGCAGCAATAGTAGTAAATATTATGAAAATTGTTGATCTCGCGTTAAGGAAGAGGGAATCACAGCGGCCGTTCTGGCACCATGACGAGCGGCGATATAAGAAACGCCTTTTATTAGTCACTAGCGGGAAGTAGCCGGCGTTGCCCAGGAGAAAAATATATTTCAAAACTTCTCTTAAAAACATAACATATACATACACAAGTACTAAGCTATTGTGAAAGCCCGGCGTTCCGTTTGTCCATTTGTCCATCAACAAAATTATAAGAGGCTTGAAGAAGTCCTGAATCCAAAAGTAATAGAAAGTGACAGGTAAATAGTTGATCTAAAAGGTTTCCTAAAATTTACCCCCCCATCTATATATATAAAATCGCAAATCTGTCTGTCTGTCTGTGTGTGTGTCGCCGGACCATACGCAGTTTCATTGGACGAAATGTGAGGGATTTGCGAGACGCGATTGGTCCGTTTGGTTTTCCACGGCGGTTGCCCCTGGCAACGGGTAGCGACGCATTTGCTGCGGGGTGGACGCCATTTTTAATTCCCGTTAAAAATATGCGCACGCATTAACACGCGACTCTGAGATAAGTTCATCAAAGTTTCACGTCCTCTCCCCCCCCCCCCCACCCCAATGTGTGCAATTACTATTATAGGGTCGGTAGATAATAAAATTAGAGCGATTAGACAGTATTATTGTAGCGCGGGGGGGGGGGGTTAACGGCCCCAGTACCCAGCCTCAGCCGGGTGGGCAATTTAGGCGAGGCCGGAGGCTCTGCACGGTACTAGGCCTCGACACCCCACCCGTGTCAAGCGACGACTTTGTGGTATAAACTCGATATACCCAGCGTTGCCCGGGGGGAAAATACATTTAAAATCTTCTGAAAACTTTCAAACATTACATACCAATGAAAAAACAACTGTGTAATTACTTTTAAACCCGACGCGCCAAGAATCGATTCTTTAAATGTTGACTGTACAAATAGTCATTAAGCTGGGTGAGCGTACTGGCAGTCTATAATGTAGACTGTAGCCTGGTTATTAAGCTGGGTGGGTGTACTGGCAGTCTATAATATAGACTGTAGCCTGGTTATTAAGTAAAGTTAGTCAATTTGTAACACGTAGGCTTTCGCGACCATTATTCATAAACAACGTTATTGGGTTTAGATCGCCTTATTTATTAATGTGTTGTAACCTTCCACCACCCGACACGGCCAATCAGTAAAAAAGTGTCACGTTGATAAAAGACTAATAGTTCACTGCTTTAGCCCACCGGTGTGTTCAAGCGTGAAACCACAACAATTACCATTTCAGAGTACGACGTATATGTAAGGTTTTTAAGAAATATATTTTTCACCCGGGCAAAGCCGGGTACTTCCGCTAGTAGGCATATATACCGACACACCCTACATACAATAGAGTGAGTAGTATCTGGCCCTACAGTAGTATCTATTGACTGTATAGTAGTATCTATTGACCCTACAGTAGTATCTACCAACTCTATAGTAGTAACTACCGACTTTAGTAGTATACACTGACTATAGTAGTAACTACTAACTCTACAGTAGTATTTACTGACCGTAGTAGTACCTACGGACTGTATAGTAGTGTCTACTGACTGTAGCAGTATTTACTGACCGTAGTGGTATCTCCTGACTGTAGTAGTATCTGCCGACTATAGTAGTAAATACTGACTTTACAGTCGTATCTACTGAATATAGTACTATCTACTGAATCTAGAGTCGTATCTATTGACTCTATAGTAGTATCCACTGACTATAGCAGTAACTACTAACTCTGTCGTAGTATCTGCTTACTCTATAGCAGTATCTACTTACTCTACAGTAGCCTCTACCGACTCTGCCGTAGTATCTACCGACTCTACAGCAGTACCGACTCTATAGTCGTAACTACTGACTCTATAGTAGTTTCTACTGACTGCAGTAGTATTCTTGGTTCTTTCGGTAAAGTCACGTAGAAGGGAAATAATAAAATAATAAAAATAAAACAATTAAATAAAATTCTCACGACGTTTCGGCCACAACGCAAGCAGCCGTCAGGTGAAGACAGCTGTCGGAAAGACAGCAACTTAATGAACACTGCTAAGCTTGGCAGCGTATTTTAAGCTGGGTGGGAGGAGGAGAGCGCCTTGACAAAGGAGTTTACATATCAACAGAGGAATTTAGCATGTTGATGACAAATGCAGCTTTGGGGTTAGTCACTCCTTGTGGAATGCGTACGCGGTGGGGGGTCTCAAAGTCATATTATGCTCGTGTATTATGTAGGATTAGCAGTAATAAAGGGAGGGAAATTTTCATAATAAAAACTGCAGCAGCCAAACCACTGTGTATCAAGCTAGTGCATTATGTGGAAAACAAAGAAGGAGTTTCTAAAGAACTACAAATACCCTACTACCATACAATAAACCGATGTGAAAAAAACTAAATATAAACTACATCAATATAATCAATGTATACCCAGTATACCCAGTTACTTAATGGTAATAGCTCAGCTTATTGGAGAGTATATTGAGTACATTGATTTACAATCTGAGTACGACGTTTCGCCAGTAATTATAACGAGCTTCACCAAATGTTGTGGCTTGGCTCTCCAACACACCGGTGTGCTGTACTTGAGACGAATTGGCATGTTCTGTTTACATGACAACCCTTACTAGTTGGATTGTCGGGTGGTGGCGGGTTTTAACGACATTTATATATGTATGCAATCTAACCCAAAATCCTCTATTATGGATGATATTGGTCGCGAAAGCCTACGTGGTAAACAGAACGTCACAGAGTGTAGTGGTGAGCCCATGTCCCGTGCAGAGCCCCTGGTCTCGCCTAGATTGCCCAGCCGGCCGAGGTGGCACCTTGGCAGGCTGGGGCTGGGCTACTACCCCCCTCCACCCACGATCCCCCCGCCCACTCTGCAGTAACATCTACCGACTCTATAGTAGTAACTGCACACATTGGGGTGGGGGGGGAGAAGAGGACATCACACTGTGAAGAATTTACCTCAGCGTTTTGTGTATTTTTATAGCATTTTTAACGCGAATGATAATCTTTCCCCAACTCCATGCACAAATGCGTGCTTTGGCGTGCGCTGAGCGGCATAAGGAAATAAATAAATCATAACAAATTGCACTAAATTGTTAATTTAACTACTTTAAAGTTGACGGATGTGAAAATGGAATAGCGCTGGCTCACCACGGGGCTTATCGCGTGGTACCCGGGTACTTTTTTTTAAACGTAAACCCCACGCTTCGCGAGCCAAATCCTTTGCAAGTTTTGTCCACAGACAGACAGAGAGACAGACATAGGTAAGATAGGCACCCCAATAACAGCCGCTCTGATTAGCAAGAGGTTTCCCCTCAGAGCTGAGTGCGGTCATTCATGATTTAAAATAGGGGGGTGGACAGTATGAGTATTAATTACAAAATAATGTAAAAAAACACGAAGAGGCGCAGGATTGGTGGGACCTGGACCTTTTTCAACAGTTTTACTTAACTTGACTCCTATGTTTGTCGTGGTCAAATCTTATAATCAAAATTTAGTCTACTTCCTGTTGTCCAATGAATTCCAAATTTTGCACACGTACTCAGATTCGGTGACAATGCATGCCTGCATCAAAATCGGCATCAATTTATTGGCTCTTTTAAAGCAATTCACATTTTGTATGGACGGCTTATTCATTTCATATTTATGTGGGTAGGTCAAAAACGCCGTGGTCCCTAAACTCTGGAATCGCCTCGCCCAAGAAGCAGGTGCCACGTGTCTCTTGTAAGCATGATGTCGTCCACTTCCCGTTGTCCAATCGAGTTATTTACTTTTGAGTGCACTTTATAATAAAAACGTTGTTTAAAAAAATCTTTTTTTAAGAAGTTTTTTTGTTGTTGAAATCTTAAATTAATCACGCGAGACCAGTCTGTGTAGAAAATGTCAGCTCTTTGGGCTTCGTAGATCCGAAGATATTAAGCGTTCAAGATTTGAAAGAATATAAACATGCACCAGGACAAGTTCAACGAAGTGTGTAAAAAAAATAGACCTCTGTCGATTCACCTCTAAAGCCCCATCTCACCGGTCCCAGCAAAGAGCGCAGCCATCACAGCCTTCCAAATTTTCTGATGGACGCGCTGACTACTACTGGCTGACTTCAGTGCACGGGCCCCGGAGCAGTTGCACTGCCTGTGTACTCGACAGCTACTCCACTATGCGGAGTCCTTGTACGCCTTCAAACGTAGCTTGAAATGCGTTACAAATGCTGCTGGGAGATAGCCCGATGCCATGGTGGAATCTAAATGTAATTTTAGTTTGCAAATGAAACAGACCCTTGCCGTTTTTAATTATTCATTAACCACAATCACCATACACAGGACAAGGTCAATTTTGTGTAACTCTGTTTGTTGATTGTTACCTCGAAGGATGAGATGAAGTCGTGCGCATTCGCTTGCTTTGCAGCCTCCACCACCTGTCTCGCACAGTTGAGCAGATGGACGAAATATGCCGAATAAACAACATTCACGGTCACAAATTCTGGGCGTCAATATTTTCATTATCTGTTTGTATTTGCCCGCAGGCATGCGGTATGAATGGTAAATGTCTCGCCTCCTCAAAAGTGGCCTCGCGACCGTAGGAGATATTCTTGTGGATCGTGGTCGCGAAGAGCACGGGCTCCTGGCTCACGACGGCCATGGTCTGGCGGAACCACTGGGGGTCCAGCTCCCGCAAGTCTGTCCCTCCTGCACTCGCACGAGTTTCCACAGCTCAGCGGGTACCGTGGCGGCCAGAGGAAGCAATGCAGTTCACCACTATACTTAGACATTATCACAAGGCAGAGTTCCTCCCTGTTAACCCTTTCACGTACGTCATCGGAAGTAAAAGGCCATGTGGGATGGCGTGTGGCACAGTCTGTCACCAACTAGCTATCGTTGAGTGCGGTCATGTCGCTACAATTCTCTGTGGCGAGTACAATGTCTTTAAAAACAGCGGCGCTATGCCTCTCGAAATAACAGGACCCTGCGGGGTGGGCTGGTAGGAACGAATAACCAAAGAATATAAACATAATGTATTATTACACTTGTTTAGCCAGGAAAGCCCCACTGAGTCTAAAGGTTTTTCTAGGGTCCTGCCAAATGTTTGCAGTAGGGGGCGATGTTGCTACACCTAATCGGACGATACGAAGGGAGAGTTTGAGGCCTAGTTCTAGGATTTAGGCCTAGCTGTAGGCTTTAGGCCGCTGTGAGTACATTTTTTATTTAAATGTTTTAATTATTTATGTAAAAGCTTTAAATGTAAATGTTTCTATTTAAAAACATCAGGGAATGTAACATTGTTAAACATTAACTCCCTTTCACACACGCGGGGGTACGATACGAAGGGAGAGTTTCAGGCCTAGTTCTAGGCTTTTGGCCTAGCTGTAGGCTTTAGGCTGCTGTGAGTAAATTTTTAATTGAAATGTTTTAATTATTAATGTAAAAGCTGTAAATTTAAATGTTTCTATTTAAAAACATGAGGGAATGTAACATTGTTAAACATTAACTCCCTTGCACACACGCGGGGGTACGATACGAAGGGAGAGTTTGAGGCGTTGTTCGAGGCTTTAGGCCTACCTGTAGGCTTTAGGCCGCTGTGAGTTAAATTTGAATTTAAAAGTTTTAATTAAAAGCTATCTCAGGGAATTATAAAGGAATGTTACACTTGTTTAGCCAGGAAAGCCTCATTAATTTAAATGTTTTAATTAAAAGCTATCTGAGGGAATTATAAGGGAATGTTACACTTGTTTAGCCAGGAAAGCGTCACTGAGTCTAAAGATTTTTGTAGGGTCATGCCAAGTGTTTGCAGTAGGGGGCGATGTTGCTACACGGACGGACGGACGGACGGACGATATAATCTATTGTAGGCTGGTTCACTTCGTTCCTACCAGTAAAATTAACGCTTACTGCTTGCGCATTCCAAGATTCAGACGTCTAGGGAAAGGGTTACGGATTAAGAGGTGGTAGTGTGGTTCAAGCATTCGAGGTGCCGAGTCAGCACCGCTGTGATCCTACGAGGGTATTTGGATTCCAGCCACTGAGTTGTGTGCTTCGACCACCGAGCCACCCAGCCTTGCGTGTAAGGATATCTGCTTCTGTTGAAGAATACGAGCCGAGTTGTATGGCAGCGACATTTAGGCGAAAGTGAGGTCACTGGGGTCACAACAAACACCCCAGCTTCATGCACACGGACAAAAGCACCCGATGTGAGACAAGGAGCGGTGGTTACCGAAGATGATGGATCCGGTGCTGGGGTCGTAGAAGCGCTGCAGCAGTGCCACGATCGTGGACTTTCCGCCTCCCGATGGCCCCACGAGTGCCACGACGGTGCCCGGCTCCACCGAGAATGACACGCCCTGGAACGCGCGGAGAGACGATCGCTCGCTCGGCCATCACAACCATGCCGCGCTCGCTCGTTCACAACAGCCACGCCACGCTCGTTCACTACAGCCACGCCACGCTCGTTCACTACAGCCATTCGCTTATCGTCAGTCTGTCACCTATTTTCTCTGCTACTGCTACTATCATTGGCGGAGCCAGTGGGGAAGTGGGGGGTGGCACGTGCCCCCCCAATAATCCGATCGATATCCCAAGTTTCGATCAGATCATTGGGTTTTATTAGTAATAAATCGGCATTTTGCGACCCCCACTGCCACTGTGTAGCATATTATTACGTGCCAGGGACTCTATGAGATGATAGGACAATAGTCTGAGTCCATAATTGGCAATAAGTAACGGCAAAGCAGTTATAAGTGACTCACAGAATTGTGCGCAGTTGCGTATACAGTACACGACTTCCCTGAAAGCAATCACCTTCAGCGAGCGCGATGCCGATCACACACGGTTGAATTCGACCCTCGGTCAATGGCTGCGCCATCGCCGCACACGCTTCGAATAAAAAGCAAGGGACAAGTCCTTACTTACTAACAACTATAATTTTTCATTGATGGAGGGGTTACCCCCCCCTACCTGAAAATCCTGGCTCCGCCATTGGCTACCATCATTACCCACAGCCACCTGCTCATCATCGGTCTGTCACCACCTTGGTTCTCTGCTACTGCCGCTATCATTTCCACAACCACTCGCTCATTATTGGTCTCTCATCTCTGCCACTATCAATTTGACAACCACTCATTCATCGTCAGTCTGTCACCTACTAGTTTATCTGCCACTGCTTCTGTGATGCCACATTATTGGTCTGTCACCTCCTAGGTTCTTTGCTATCGCTACTATTATTACCATGACCACTCGCTTATCATCGATCTGTTGGCTTAGAAAATATATGATATGGTGGTGGACAAGGAATTGTGATGGAAGAGGTGGACAAGCATAGACAGAACCCCCAGTGTACATATAAACCTACACACTAAATAAAAGGAGAGGGTTTTTTGCTGGTCAATAACAGATAAAACAAAGTTAAAGTAGTGCCTTGGTCAAATGAAAATGAGGAAGCACTCATCTCCCGTTTACAGCTCTGAGTCAGTGGTGGAAATTCCACATTCCTTTGTCAGGAATTCGTATCTATGGGAAGACCACTGCTGGCCCCGAAACAAAAAGGGCTGAGTCGATCCCTGAATAGGAATTGAACTCGCACACTTTAGCTACTGTCCCACCCATCCAAGACAAGAACAGATCAAGGGGTCAACACAAGGGACGGCAACACCAACCTGCAGAACCGGCGTGTCAGGGCGGGAAGGGTAGCAGAAGTGAATGTCGTTGAACGAGACTCCTGCAAATGCAGATACGGTCGACCGTTACAATGTCCACATTCACAAAGTCACAGTGAGCGATGGAGTGGACCCCTGAGCCAGTGGCAAAAATTCTACATTCCTATGGTAAGGGCCAGTTCATCTCTGAGATAACTACTGTTCATTTTCATGAAATGCAGTATTCATTTTATTTGCCCTTAGGGGTTGGCTGAAATTATAACCTTCCAAATACAAGCAAAGCACTTGCCAATACATTGCAAATGCCCCTATTATCGCTGCAAATGCCAGTATTCAGGTTACCATGTGTTGCTATGGGGACTTTTTCTAAATTTGAACACTGAGGTTCGTAAGCCACGTAATGCCTTTGGGTGGCGGTCTCATCTACACACTCAAAGTTTCCCGTGAAGCATCGCGTCTGGCAAGGGCTGACAATGCATTCCGCCGTTCGGCCTACCGTCTCTCCGCAGTCACACTGTGTAATGTATTCTGTGATCTTCCACTTGTGCGAACAGAAGGCCCTACCGCGCCTGCGACACTCACTGCCATCCATGCGCACGCTGGGCGGTGCTCGTCCGCCCGCGTTGGGGATGCGAGGCTGCCGGTCGAGTAGCTCAAAGACGCGCTGGGACGCGCCGACCGCCTGCATGAAGTCCCCGTAGAGCGACGCGAGCAACGCGAAGCCCATGGCCACGTTCAGCGTGTAGAGCATGAACGCTGGCCACGTCAAACGCGTGCAACAGGGGAGGCAGGTGGAAAGAAGGAGAGATGACACCGTACGTCACAAGGAAAGCTCCCAAACGTCCTTGATTGGCCAGGACAATGACGCTTTAACAAAGGCTGCAGCACCACCACCCCCAACTCGGTGTCTCAAAGGATTTAAAAAAATCGGGAGTTAGTCTCGGTATTACATTTTCTGGCCTCTTGAGGTTTATACGCATAGGTGGGGGCAATGAGCAGGAGGCGGGGCTAGTTCTTAAGTGGGCGTGCCTATATAAAGAGTCGGCAGAGCTGAAACAGGGAGGGGGCTGTCCGCTACCCACGTGTTCAGGTTGAGCCTCAAAAATTGGTAGCCTACATTACACTACAATTTGCCATCTGGGTGAGACTGCAGTCGTTGAGCTGGCTTATGTGCAGTGTGTCCCCCCCCACTGCCGAATCTGCCCGACCCGTGTTTTAGATTGTGGAATTTTTTTTTTTTTTAAATGTCCGTACGTGCCGTTAGTGATTATATGACAACTCGCAATAGGAAATTTGAACTCGCGAACCTTCCGGCTGCGAGGCGAGCGCCCTAAACGACAGCGCCACGTGGCTTATATCACAGCCCCGATACTTTATTGAACAACAAAGTGCACTTTGCATTCGTACTGCACAGGCATATAGAGAAGCCTCTATGCAGGATGATGACGATAGGGAACAAAGTACCCACCGGTGAGAGTGCCGACCGAGATGCCCGTTTGCCCGTGCAGGTTTTCATAGACCAGCTTCCCTCCGTACCACAGCACCAACACGACCGCCCCCTGTGCGGGAAACAAGAGAGGGTGGACGGAGCACGAAAGTCAAGCGTGAATGAACGCATCCAGTGGAGAGCTGCCGGTTACGCAGCAGCGCGTACACGTCAAGCCCCCTTTTTTTTACGTACTTCAACCTTGAAACAAATCGGGCCGTGCTGCTGCGGCTGCGTTGGTAATGGTGCACAAGCACATTTAACAAGCACAATTAACATTTTTTGTCAATAATGCCGTGGCCTGTAAGAAAAATATATAATCGGTGAGGTTTTAGGCAGTGGCCCTTCACCTGAAGGGGGAAAGTGCTGTTCGCGAGCACCTATAAAGGCTGGGAAGACACATGAGGGGATAGAAGGCCAACACCACGCCCAGCCACTTTTGTCTCCATATTGGCGATCTTTACACATCGCACAAGGTACCCATTTGAGGCCGAGTCGACCTAGCAGAGGCCCAGGACCGGTTCAGATAATCGTGATGCTTGTTGGAATCCTAATGCTGAACTGCCGATCTTATTCGCAAAAGACGCTATGGGGTATGTTTGTTCCCTGAACATACTTTACCATGCTGGTTTGTGATGGTTTGTGAAGAGGGAAGTCCAAATGACTGGTTTAGATATGACTTTAGATATGACTTTAGATATGACTGCTGAGTTGATCTAGCAGAGGACCGGGACCAGTTAAACATGTCCGCAACTGATGTTGGCCGTAAGTGGAAATTGAACTCATAGCGCAGCGCACTAACCACTGTACCACCACTCCGCACACCTTTGTAGCACATCACCTTTTAAATGTATCTGCTGTAGCACATCAAATATATGTATTTTAAGGCAGTATTGATGAATGTCTCGAGTTTAATGACGCGACAAATGGCTCGTCTTACCTGTGCCACTGTTCCAACAAGCCCGCTGAATGCACCTGTGACAACAAACGCACGCAACTTTCATCATCCTCTGCGAAGCAGGCTCCAGAGTAACATCCAGGATTGCGCCCGTTAAAATCCTTAGCCATTTGACATTAGATATATATTTTTTCTCCCAGTTTTCTCAGGGCCCCGCAGTGTAAACTACAATCTCCAATGATAAGCCACTAGGTAACTCTTTCCTCTTTCTCTCTCTGCTCAGCCGACTCTACATTACTGTTGTAAGGTAGCATCATGAATGTGATGATTATTTTGATTAATTTTGTACAGTTGAGAGAGAGAGAAAAAACACAATATCATGTCAAAAGTCAACCGACATTCACACAACAGTTCAGTCACAACTTGTTTGCTAATATAACATTTTCTTTCCGTGCGATTGTTCTCGGCTTGCTCGAGGTGGCTTCCTTCAACCCTAGTCCACCTACAACAATTGTAACCGAAGCAAGGGTTTGCCAACCTCACTCGGTGAAGCAAACCTGACACTGCTGATGAGACAGCGTATGCCGAAACCCGGTCCAGAGTTTTCTTGTTTTGAATCAATGCTGCTGAAATTATGAACTCCCAGAAGGCCGTACAGCTCATGGGTTATGCGAGAAATACTTAGTAGTTTACATGGAGAGGCAAATATCCGACAGAGATAAATCTTCTGCTTATTTATTTTGTTTGATCAATCTCAGGGAATTACTGCACTAATAAACAACAACAATGTAAATGACCAGATCGTGCAAATAAGAGCTAGTGAAACGCCAGATGGTGATCAATCATCCATTAGTTAAGGGGGAGTAACATAATGCCAACATTGTGAAGACACTCCAACACATATTGTGACGAAGTAACTTCACAACAAACATTTTAGATTTAGAGAATATAGATGTGAGCCAAATAACCATAATGGTGACGCATAATGACTACGTGCATTATATTGCCTTTTCCTTTCAACAGTCAGCTCCTAACAGCCTCGAACAACTCAAGGTAGGAATACTGGCGACATCACAAAGGCCTGGTAATAATAATTTAAACTTATAATGCCCCGCCAAGTATTCGCTCACTCTCGAAGACAGAGATTGACTCAGAGAGTCGCAAGGCAGGAACCGTAGAGAAGCAGGAAGGCAGCAGCCACGCAGTGAGCCGGCGCCAACAATCTGCAGCCCTCTATATCTTAAGATGTTTTTAACCAACTAATGAGTGATAAAGGATAGCCAAACAATCTGGTAAAGATAGGGGACCAGCAATGACTTATGGTAGGGGATAAAACAAATCAGACAAAACAAATGAAAACAAATTGAAGATGATTGATTAATTTCAGACGATGATCAGGGGTATTGGATGGGAGATTGTTGAGCACAAAAATAAGTTTGAGTTATGTAGGGGAGACATTGTTTAAATAATGGAATTGAGTGAATCCTTTGGGCAGAGCTCTAAAGAATCCTTCGTGGAAACCTGGCAAACTCTGTGTGAGGGAGAGACAGGGGGGCCTTGGGTCTGGGTGTGTGTAGAGGAAGAGACAGGGGGCCTTTGGGTCTGGGTGTGTGTAGAGGGAGAGACAGGGGCGCGCCTTGGGTCTGGGTATGTGTAGAGGTGGCTGCTGTGAGGTGGTGCTGCAGAGTGGTGTGAGAGCGCTGTAATGATGACACGCATGGGCAGAGACTGCGATTAAACTTTTCAACATCACAGAGCTGTGCTCCAGGGTGAGTGATGGTATAGCGGTCCCCGCACTGTGATCAATTCCATCAACACACACTACAAGCGTGGTGAAGTTATGGTGAAACGGCTAAGATAATCGACATGGCATGGGGAGCTCTTCTTCCATCAGTGGATTGACAAAGGGCTGCATTCACGAAAAATTGCTCCACTGCTTGGGACAACTTTCGATTTAAAGCTTTCGTGACTGCAGGGATTCATCTTCTTGGTTCTTTCGGTAAAGTCACGTAGCAGGGAAATAATAAAATAATAAAAATAAAACATAATAAAATACAATTCTCACGACGTTTCGGCCACAACGCAAGCAGCCACAAGTAGTGACTAATCCCATATCTGCATTTTCAATAAATATGCTAAATTCATCTGTTGATATGCAAATTCCTTTGTTAAGGCTCCCTCCTCCTCTAACCCAGCTTAAATATACGCTGCCAAGCTTGGTGGTGTTCATTCGGACGCTGTCTTTCCGACAGCCCTGTTCTTCCCCTGAGGACGGCTGCTTGCGTTGTGGCCGAAACGTTGTCAGAATTGTATTTTATTATGTTTTATTTGTATTATTTTATTATTTCCCTTCTACGTGACTTTACCGAAAGAACCAAGAAGATGCTTGGGACAACGTCGCTATGTGGGCTTTGTCGTGGTCTGAAATCCCCAGAGGGAGAGAGACAGACGCGTGGCTATGTGCGGTGCTTGTGATTGGGCTGTGGCGATGGCAGCGGCGGCCACGCACCCTCCGCCAACGCGATCTTGCGTCCGATGTTGAAGCTGCGCTGCACATCGCTGTCGTATTGCGCACTCATGCGTCCCTCCCCGCAGAACGCACGCACCGTGCGCACGCTGGACACGGCCTCCTCCGCCGTGCTGCCTGCCGACGCCAGCTCATCTTGAAAGTTCTTGCGCAGCCGCTTCACAAAGTTCCCTGCAGTGCATACGTACATCCATGTGTCCGTGTGTGCGTACATCCATGTGTCCGTATGTGCGTGTGTGCATGCATGCGAGCAGGCGTGGGGAGGACGGTAGCGTAGTGGTTAGCAAAGATGCGCTATGAACCCGGCGACCCGAGTTCGATTCTTGCTCATGACCAATAACCAGGGGTAAATGTTTTGAATCGGTCCTGGGCTTCCCCTAGCTCGACTGAGCCATAAATGAGTAGCTGATGCGGTGTGTAAACATCAGTATTGGGGAGACAAAGGCGGCCGGGTGTGGTGCTGGCCATCCACAGGACTTGCACCAACAGTCTGTTAAAGGCTCTGCGGGGAGTCACAAGCAGGGTGACTCACGATGCATCATTTTATCGATTAACATTTTTCACAAATCCTTTCCCACAATGTTATCCTGATTGTTCTATGGGCATTGTCATAAGAAGAAGAATCTATTCAGATCTCCCACAGAGCAATGCAACACAGTGTGTTAAAAAAACGGTCCACTGAAGCGGACTTCACAGAGCTACCTCTGAGATCCTTTCAAATGACCTATCGTCCATACAATTGGGGCCAGCATTGTCCCATTTGCCATACCACAAAAAAAGTTATGTTTGTCGCCTGATAGTCCAGCTGATATTTTTCATTCTCATAACTGGAATTTAGCCCAATGAAGTGCATAAACCAAACTCGATGTGACGGCTTATATGTGCTCTCATTGGTGACCTGGCTGAGACCATCAACTCACTGCATGTGAAAACCTTCTTGAATCACAAACACTCCACCACTGACGGAGCCAAACAAATTCAAATGCTTGGCTATGTCCTGCGGAAACCTGAATACTGCCCGGAAAACATGGTAATTCAAGGCTTAGTCCCAAGAAGGTTAGGCCGAGGCCGAACGAGAACAACTTGGATTGTTTACACGGGTGCTTGGACAGGTCTTCGTGTGTGACAACCACGCAAAAACTACCAATGACGAAGCCCTCTGGACCGTAGGGTAGTCCACCAACGCTCGGCTCGGGGAAGGCTGAAAACGAATGCATGTCGAGTGGCGGAGGGCGTTACGTCATAAATTTGGCAAAATAATTGCGTGGCTGAACTCACCGTACTGCACGGCTCCGATGGCAACGAAGGGCACGGATGCGATGAGGACCCCGCAGAGCGCGGGGCTCAGCACAAACATCACGACGAGTGAGCCCAGGATCTGCACCGCGTACCGCACCAGCATGGAGATGTTCACCTGCAGGGACACACCGAGTCCATCATGGCAGGAATAACGGTGTCACACCGAGTCCATCACGGCAGGAATCAGAGCGTGACAACAAGGGCTGCGCGTGTTCATGGACCACTCGCAGAGGTGCTCTGTGTGTGGCTGTGAACGTACTGTGACGGCGTTCTGTATCACTTGGGTGTCGTTGGAGAGGCGGTTGGTGATCTCGCCGGTTCTGTGGCAGTGACAGCACACGGACGAAACTCCTGAGATGCTTTATTGGCAACGAACATGACAGAATAAGGTATCCAACTTACACAGCATCCAAAGCCAATCGCATCTTGAGACAATGTACAACAGTGAAGGAAACACGAGCACTAGAAAGAGAATTATAGGATGAGGGAGAAAGCCAAGAGAAGCCTGTGATATGAGACGACTGGCGTAATGGATGAGTCATAGGTGGAGAAGAGAAAGATCTTGAATGCCAGACTACCTATGGGAGGGAATTTCAGATTCAAGAGCGGCAGCAGAGGAGTGACCACCTTGTGAAGTGGCTTCAACTGCGGGTTTTAAAAGAAGATCTTGCTGAAGCAGAAGGCACGGGGAGAGGAGAAAATCAAGATGGAGATGGTAAACGTAGGAGACGACAAGACAACGCAGATTCTTTGTTTTTTTCGGTAAAGTCACGTATTTAAAACAATAAATAAATTAAAAATGAAAACAACTAAATTAAATCACGACGTTTCGGGTGCAACACAAGCGTCCGTCTTCAGGTGGGGACAACGCAGTGAAAGCACAACCGCTTAAGTGTGTCTAAGAGATGGCTGTGACCAGGAATTATATAGTTGCGGAGGAAGGAGAGGGGGGAGAGGGCATGGTGAGTGTGGGGGCGTGGTGTTGGCTGGGAGGTAACGCCTGGAGTTCAAACTGAAGCTTTGTGATGCCGGGGGCGGAAGTAGATAAGAAAGCTAAGTTAAGCCAATTAAAAACATGCTTTGTTATGCTGCAGGGGGGGGGGGGGGGGTAAATTGTAGTTGTGCAAGCTAAACTTGCACGCTCGAAACAACGTGTGGCAAATTTTCCAAGTGTTGGAAGTAAGCCGGGCTTGGAGTCAAATTTCATAGTGATGGTAGTGTGTAAAGCTGGGAGTAAAAGACTGGGAATATGGATATGAATATGAAAATAAAAATAAAACTGGCTGCCTTGCAGTAAACTGCACGGCAACTAAAGTTGAAGTTGGTTAATTACATCCTTCCAATGATTGCTCAATTTGAATCCATCCTCTCGGTTGAAGTTATGTCTATGTTTGTATATCTGGATGGCTTCATGGACAAATCTTTGGTAGTATCCAGGAGGCTTGTAGAGTACTTTGGTATCGGAGAACACAATGTCATGAGAACCCGCAGTGTTATAATAGTGGTCAGCTACGGCCGAAGAATTCATCCTACCGTGTTTCAAATCTGACTTGTGCTTGCGAATGCGGTCAGAAATATGTCGTTTCGTTTCCCCGATATAACAATCACCACAGGTGCAACTTAGTTTGTAGACACCAGGGTACTGTAAGTCAGGAATGACATCCTTTACGGATGGGATCAGATCACAGAATTTGTGTACTGTACTGAATCGGAATATTTAATTTAGTTGTTTTAATTTTTAATTCATTGTATTTTTTACCTAAGTGACTTTACCCTGCAGTCACGAAAACTTCTAATTTAGATGAAACAACACCGATTCTGAAATAAAGGGCGATATTTTAGCTAAACTGGAAGTCAACGAAGGGATCGGAGGATTGGGTTGATGTGGTCACATTTCTGGCTGTGGGTGAGAAGCGTGAAGTTCCAGGCTGACAACTCGCAGCATTGGCCCATCACCTGTTCTCATCAAAGAAGGCCACCTCCTGGGCCATGACGGCCTCGAACAGCCGCGTACGCAGGCGTGCCACCATCCGCTGGCCGGCGAATATGAAGAGGTACGAACGCACAAACGAGCAGAGAGCCCCACCCACGTAGATGCCGAAGAGGATGAGGATGGCTTCGTTCAGCTCGTCTGGCAGGCGAGTAGAGGAAAGCGCACGCAACACAAGCAATCACAAGCAAAATGGCAAGGTCACACTTTCAGTTAGTTTGAGCTGGTCATCTGGATACGGCCGAGAGCTTTTTTGTGCACGCAATGCTGCACATCCTTTGCGTTTTGTTGAATCTACAATGCCAGACAATGCCCAACAGCTGAGATTCAAAGTGCCTCTTTGCGCAAGTGGGAAATGCGGTGACCCTCATCACTTTTTGTGGCCTTGAGTCGGTAACATAAACTTCCACTTAGTTTAACAGTTGGTCAACCTCCCCATCGGATGACCACGGTTCGACTTCCCATCAAGTTCTGCTCGTTTTTTTTCCATCAACGAGGAGGGATAAACGTCGAAAGCCGTTCTGCAAGGCTGCCTTGTTTACAAGATGTGACGGTTTACAACGTTCTTAGTCTCATCAGCGGTGTGGGTACACGGGTACAGAGGTGCCACTCACTCATGGAGGTCCTGGCAGCATCGATGACCTTGCCAAAGAAGAGTGGGGAAACCATTTGAGTGGCAGTGGAGCCTAGGAGGGCTATCATTCCCAGGACCACAATGCCGGTCTCCTGTCAGACACACCCAGAGACAGCAGGCCACACAGCAATATTGCACAGAGCACCGTAGCAGACAGGGGCCATCCAGCAACATATCAGACAGGGGTTACAGAGCACCGTAGCAGACAGGGGCCATCCAGCAACATATTAGACAGGGGTTACAGAGGAACATAGCAGATGGGGGTCACAAGCCCCTCCCCCCACCCACTCCAATACCAATACCCGCCATTCACCACTAAGTGACGGTGACATCACCATGGCGACTGTGCCAAGCCAGGTGCACTTTGAGGCCATGTGAAGTGTCGAAGGCTCGTTTACAGGTCTCGGAACAGACCCAGCTGCCATGGGTTAGCCGACTGAGATTACTGGTAGATGCACCAGCTGTACCCCTAATATGCTAACTTTTTGTATTTTAGACGCCAGGCACTCCACTCGTTGTTGTGAGCGTTGCTCCTCTGCCCTCCATTGTTGCTGGAGGGTGAATGCCTCCAACTGCCCAGTAGCGTCTTTCACGAGCCTCCTCCATAGAGGCTGATCTTGACATCGCTGGTACTAGTCGTCGGCAAGTCAATTCAGCTCCAAATCCTCTTGTATCACATCAGTCCACCTCTTCTCCAGCCCATGTCGTGCCCATTTATCCCCCTTTATGTGGCCCAACAAAAGCTGCTTGAGCATTCAGTGGCTGGGCATGCAGGCTACATGACCCAGCCGATGCAGCTTTGCCTGCCGTAGTATCTTACTGATGGGTATGTTTGCAGATATTTCAAGGATTTGTGAGCTCCTCACACAATCCAGCCTGGTTAAACCCAGGATGGATTGGAGGCAGACCAGCCTGAATGATTCTAACCAGCACAGATGTTCCATTAGAGGGGTTCACATTTCACAAGTATAGAGAACGGAGGCCATGACTGTGGCCGAGAAGACCCGAAGCTTCGTGTAGAGCGACAGGCCAGGTAGCTTCCACACAGCATTACACAACCAATGAAAAGATAATTCCACCCGACTGATTCAGAGTGAGACCTCTGCTGTTAAACCGGAGCTGGTCATAAGCACACTGACCAGGTTTGGGAAATGTGGCACATTAGGAATGGACCACTCTTTTAATTATTTCCTCGTGCAGCAATGGAGTAAAGTGTAGCTTTGTACCGAGCTCAGCCTGTAGGTGGCTAGCAGGGTTATTGAGTAACCTGACCTGTTCACCAGTCACGTGGTTAATGGCGACTCGGTTGGAAATTGCTGTGTGTGATACACGTGCTGTTGCATTTTACAGATTACCACAATAAATGCGTTTGCCCTCGATTTGGAGCACCTGCCCACGTCCTTAATTTCGAGTGTTCAAAATAAATTCTCAACTCTCTCCACTATTGCGCCTTCACCAATACGGAGCTGAGGGAGTGGAGTGGTTGGTGGCATAAAATACCCAGGCAGGTGCTTAGTTTTGGTGGGACAGATGGTAAGACCCCACCCTCTTAGCGCCACACTCCAGGTTCTGCAGCAGTGCCCCCAACTCCTCCTCTGAGTGAGCAGCATCACCAGATCATAAGCATACAACACATGGTTGACCTATAGGGAGCCATCATCCCTCGACCACCCACTCCGCCAGCCCTTCCCACTACACAGGTAGCTCTGCCCTTTGCCTGCATCAGGAGTCACGCACGATTTTTGCTAATTCTTCATGGGCAGACCAGAACAGCCTTTAAGAAACCACAGGGACAGTCTTGCCCAAACTGGGATGTTTGGTAGCTTCATCATCACAAACCTCTTTGGCCAGAGACAGAACCCTGCAGATACCGACGTTCTTTTTCTTCTTATCTTCCTCCTCCTGTGTGTCCTCCACCTTGTGAATAATTCTGAGCAATTGCAGCTTGTTCAGGAATCTGTGAAGAATCATTGACAACTTTTACCCGATAACAACCAATTCATAAAATTTGATAAACATTTCGCAAACAAAGCTGGATGTAGTGGTGCGCACCTGCGGTGACCCGGCGCTTTGGATGCAATGGTTGGTGGATCACACAGATTTGTGAATCTCCCAAATCCACCTGACTGCGAGGGAGCCAGATGTTTTCAGTGCAGCAAGTGGATTGGTGAATCTGTCTCTGTGTGGATCTCTGAGCGATAGCCCCTGGTATGCGTGATGAGTTGTTTCTCGGTACTCTGACTGTCTCTCCCATGCAAAACTTGAATTGAAGAATATTTACTCAGACTAGAGCCAGCCTTGGCAATTCAACCACCACTGCGGTCTGTTGCTATTCGGGTTACCGCAATGTTATTTTTCATGAAACCATGAAACAATGTCACGATTTGACGATTATAATAATAATGTATAGTTACACTGCACCTTTTATTGAAAGATCAAAAAGTGCTGTACATGTGAAAATTTCAACACTCCATAAATAGACGATAAAAATAACGAAGTCTATACAAGACATTCTAGATTTGAAGCTTTCGTGACTGCAAGGATTCATATTCTTAGGTTTTTTCGGTAAAGTCACGTAGGTAAAACATTAAAATTAATAAAATTAATTTATTTTATTAATTTATTTTATATTAATTTTAATGTTTTACCTACGTGACTTTACCGAAAAAACCTAAGAATACTATACAAGACAGTAATGTACGGAGTTAGATTTCACCGAGTGACTGACCTCGTGCTCCAATAGCGATATCAGTTTCCCTCAACTTTGAAATTGTTTTCTTTCTGCTTTCCGGTACTTCCAGTGTAATGAAAGATCACTTAAGCCCTTTGAATGCTATTCACTAAACTTAAGCCAGCGAAGAATATTCTAATCATGACAACTTTACCGCCTGGGATATATGTAACGCAGACGGTATCAGTTACACGAGAATTTATTAAGAAATAAAATTAACTATGGAAATTATTGTCATAGAATTATGATGCAGTGATTTAATCAAAGTACTAATTAAATTGGAAAAATATGTATAGTTTTTTTTTACTATTATTGTGAACGTTAATCATGATAATTTCGTAGATATTTGGAGGGGAAATTTTATATTTAAGGGCAATTAAACGAGAAAAAAAACTATCACGATATTCCGAAAAAAAATTAAATGGATGATACGATGACCATGGATCGTACAATATTTTTCCATATTGCGGCAGTGTTGCGAATGGCTCTGCAGTGATTCCCACTGACCTGATTATCACGATAACAACTCCAACATTATTATGGTAAGTGCTATATTTACGTTGGAGATGCATCCCTGGAACATGCGGCGTTCGGCAAAACACCATAAGTTGAAACCTAGTTTACCATTCATTTAATTATGTAAATTTAGGATACGTTCCTTTGTATAATTATTTGTAAAAAAATTACAAAAACAATATTAAATACGTACTAAGAAGAGAGGAAGGATTCTCAAAGAGATGTTATACAAGGGGTCCGCAATATCCGTTGTTACGCACTCACGTCGCTGACTCTTTGGGAACCCAACGTAAAATTTCCCCGCACACACGTCGTTTCGACTCAGTTCAGCTTAGTATAGAAAACGTACAACTTTTATTTCGTGCAATGCACCGCCATTTAAGGATCAATCCCCAGCATCCTGTCTGCTGCTTCTCAGTCCCGTCATGTTCTCAACACGTTGTGCGTAGTAGTGAGCGCTCATTGTAATCGGCTTGGACTTTAGCGCAAAATATTGTTGCAACCCTTCAACAATGAACAACAAGCGTAGTGCACATTGAAGGTGACAGTGCAGGTGGTATGATAAAAAAAGCACTAGTATTACGCTCGATGTTAAAATGGCAGTGGTAAAGCGTAGTACCGTAAGTATAAATGCTGCTTAAAGGTCCTTGAACTCAGAATTCGTTTTAATGTGTGCATTATGTGTTGTATAGTATATTACAGGTACGATATATATTATTTGGTTGCTAGGTATGAAGCACAACATTTCCCGAAGTTACCGTCCTCATCCCTGCCTTATTCCGTGGTTTCTTATGGGAGAAATTGCCCGCACTTTGGAGCACAGAGGCAATGTTTATGCTCTTCCCGATCCCCTCCCCCCCATTTCCCATTATATTTATGGCAAGAAAATTCCCCGTTATACATCATTTCGTTATAAGTACGGTCCTTAACCCCCACTTATAACGTAGATTCCCAGTAATAACAAGTTCAATAAATAAAACAAGTGAATTGCAGTACAGAGTACTCACCAGAGATGGCAGTGGAGATTGCATTTAGAGAGGGTGGTACAGTACAGTATGGCGATGTAAATACTGCCCAAGCGACAGTAGAGCGTTCTTTGCATTAAAATTTTCAACAACATCAAAACATTAAAGTGAATCGATGCATTTTAAAATCAAATTACATCACCTAATTCGTTGGCTGATGTTATAGTGAAACAACATAAATATGAGCATGGGAAATAGAGGACTCGCTTTATTATAATCCGCTTGTTCGTACAAGACAAACGTTTTGGCATGATCCCCAAAAATCAACAACGACGATATTATTTGTCTGTTATTTTAAGTTTTGCAAGAATGGCAACTGCCTTTTTTGTTTCTACATTAAAGCTGGTCTAGTCCAAATTGTCCTATCGATTGATGAAATAACTGGATGCCCTTTGAAGATTAGATGTTTGACTGTCTCACCTGTGGCAAAGCATGTTCAGGACAAACTCAAATAAGCTGAACACAAAGGAACTGATGAGCATGATGTGGAATGTCAGAGGCATCTGAAAATTAAAAAAAACATCGGCCAGTTCAGTCAAACTAACATTTATACAAATGATTTGGTGGTGCTGCTGCTGCATTGGCAGTGGTGCACAAGCACAATTAATAATACAAATTCTACACATTCATCATAAACACTGTGACATTAAAGATAAATATATATAAGTGGTGTTCTGCGGCAATGGCACCTCTTCACAACAGATAAAAAAAATAATTGAAACAGGTAAATATGTAATTGTTTTAAAAAGCTGAGAAACGCTTTTTTAAAATTAGTCATCAAAGGGTTTTAAACTGTTAGAAAGACTCATAGCTGGATTGTTGAGTGAACTGCAGTTGAAAAGCTTTCAAAAATTATCCTCATTCATACTTGAAGAACTGTACAGCAAAGCACAAAAACAATACAACAAAACAGCAAAACACAACTACAAATTTATGGGAAACTGATTTTGTGATAACCATCACTTTGTGAAATTTCATATCAAATCGTTTTGTCCGCAACAATATCACTGCAATCCTAGAGGCCAATTGCTAGTTGGGACGAATATATGTATGTGCTAAGAAGACGGGCAATTGCCTGAAACCTCACCTTTTATACACTTATTCTTCTAAAACCAAACAAAAGTAGTTTTATTGATCGTGTTGAATTTTTTGTTTTTTTAAGCGCTTTGAGGCCTTGTGCAAATTGTGCTATAGAAAACTGAGTTTATTATTATGATGGTTGAGTTGGTGCGACTGTCAAAATTGGGCAGGGCTGCGAGCACACATCACGTGTCCTGGTTGAGCCTCCCAGACATTTTAGAGCCTTACGCCCGAGCCACCCCGCCACCTCAGGGCAGCAGTGCACCTACAAAAGCAGGCTTTTACTCACGTGCTTGTAGCTGCCACTTTTTAGAACGACTGCTCCCTTAGCCGCCGTGTACGAGAGCCACATCAAGGACAGGAACCCACAAACAACTTGAAGGATCCTTCTTCGCCGCGCCGAAGTCAGATCATCGGGCTGATCCAACTGCTTCAGCGCCGCATGCTCGAGCGCCGTGAACAGACCGATGAGGAGGCATGTCTTCATGGCTGACAGCCCCGCCATGTCGAAAGCGGACGTCACGAATGACCAGTGCAGGATGTCATTCTCCAGGTAGTGGTCGGGACCTCCTGTTAACGACCCCACAGCACAGTTAGAGTTGACTCTGCTAGCAGTGATACTCTTGAGAATGAATCTAAATATCATTGCGGTGAAAATGTTAATGAATGCCAGATGTTTCTGCGTTTGCAGAAGCAAAGAAAATGCGTTGTTCACCCTGAGAGGACCAGAAGTTTCTACTTTGAGAATCAGTCTCAAAAACATTCACTTTTGGCAAATCAGGAGACTCTGTGAGCATGACACATCGATCATGTGACACAGTCATCGCTCATGCCACTATGTACAAGCTGATCAAGAGAGCTTCTCGACAACGCTTCCTGCCAATGTTTTTGCCTGAACATTGTTTAAAAAAAACTTCACGGAAACATTTTTCCATCCTTATCGCTGGGTTTTAAAAACAAGTAATTTGACCTGCAGTGTAAAACCAGTGTGAAGAGTGCATGTGGGGTACAGTCGACAGCACAACATTTACTCTGATAGCCCTCAAACCCTCACTTGCTGCACACATTGTCAACCCCTCTAAAATGATTTTGGTTTTTTTTTGTCACTGGTAGACTGGAGTAGGCATTTAGTTTTAGTTAATTTATTTTTAGTGATTTGCTTACATTTCCTAAACGTTGCACTTCTGGCGTTTTTTTAAATTGTTTGTTATCGTAACTTTATGACTCGCCCCTCCTCGACATCTGTGAAAAAGAACTTCATAGTTCATCGGATTTCTCCAGGATAAATTAAAATGTTGATTCTAATGTGACTAGTGGCCATAGCAATTGTGAGAGGTATACAGAATGTGGTGTGCTGGGTGCGGAAACATTTTCCAAGTCACTGATCCAGACTCGATTGAAATTGAGCCTTGATTCATATTTTTTTCATAATTAAACAAGAGCCTGGTAAGCGATGGGGAGGGAGGGGGAGTGGAGATATTCCACGAACGACAAGCCCAAGGCCAGGTCCCTCGGTGGAGTGAAACGGTAGGGTGGTTGAGTTCACTGACCTATTCACATGGGGGCAACGATCGGGTACGTGGTATTTTTTAAGGGGGGTGGGGGGAAGACGAGGGAAGGGGGCAGGAGGCCCTGATTAATTGATATAATTTTAAGTAATCAGTGGACTGCGCATGGTCTAATTCAGGGATCGGAAACCTGCAGCTGCGGAGCGACATGCGGCTCTTTAAATGACTGCTTCGTGACGTTATGTATTAAGGACCGTCTCCTGTTCACGTGCATTGCAGCTCTTTAAATAGAGCTGTTAACCGAATTCGAAAAAAAATGTTTCTTCTTGTTGTTATTTTTGTTTTTGACCCGTGGTCTAATTTGACCGTTTCTGGACTGGGAGGTGGTCAATGCGCCCCGTGTTTCCGTGCCACGTGAAACGTCTCCTAATCCTTGGCTGAGCTGGGACCCGTGCCAGAACTGTCCAGAGCCACAGACCCATGCCAAGGCCTGTTTGTATGTGCAGAAAATGATTATGCAATTGATGGGGACAGATACCAACTCAATGAAACCTCCATGATAAATTATCTGATCAAGTCCAGGACAAATATTTACACGTTTTTATTTAGTATTTTGCCTTCGACCAAATCACTCAAACACGTCCAATCTCGACAGATCTTGGACGCTGAAGAGGGTTGAGCCTAGATAGTTACTTGAATGGGTGACCACGAAGCATGATAGGTTGCTATAGGCAGTGGGCTAATGTGGCATGCAGCAAAGGCTATTGCAGCAGGGCATACAATACAGGACATCCTCTTTTGTCTATATTTTCAGTGAATGCGTTTTGGAATCTATCCAGCACTTTCACTGGATAGGTATCTAGGCAAGGTTGGGCGAGTGGTGGTTGGCAAGTGACGATTGTTAAAATACAATTTCTGATACCGAGTCTAATCATGGGTGGAGTAGTGGTGCAGTGGTTCATGAATTGCACTTCGAAACCGGCAGCCTGACCTTATTCCGGGACTTGGCTAACATCAGTGGCAAGTGAAATCTGAATCGGTCTTAGGCACCTATACTGACACGCTGGGTGAAGTATGGTCAATCATTATCCATCACCGTCACAGTGGAGGGCAGGCCTTCAAACAGCCAGTGGATTAACAAAAAACTGTCAATTATTGTAAAATAATTACTATTCGAGGTACTCATTTGATTCATTCTACAGGTTTTTATGGGCTGAGTTGAATCCAAATCAAAATGTGAACTCGCAACCTTTCAGATCGCTCTGCCAACTGTGTCACCGCCGGTTCTGCATGACTATAGCGTGACTCGTATGTTACGCAACGTCATATTTTTGTAATCATGACAGTAGGCGCTCTATACATAATCAGGTTGTGCTGGAGACTAGTGATAACTGGACAGATAGGCTCGGCGCTAGGAGGCATTCCATTCAGATTTTTTAAATAAATATATCACCCAGGATCCACAGCAGAACTGCGGTCAGGCCATCAATAAAGTAGCAGAGGTTGGTGACGGAGATGAACCGCACGGTCGGCAGGGTGTAGATGATCTTCTGCTGGGCCATGCTGCCGACCGAACTTCTCTCAACTGTCACAGCGCCGCCACGAAGCCACCCTGTGAACCAAAGACACACACGCAACTCTCACTGCATGACAACGCTTTTGCTACATTTCATGAATCTGTATTTGGTATTTCAATCAGCAGGCCTGTTGAATTATTCATGAGGGTCAAGGTAAAGAGGTCATCATCGTGGTCAATGCCATTATGGGACCTCCTTTGCCAGTACCAAAATATGAGAATAGGTTTTCCCCTTTTTTCTGGCAAGAAAACAGATGTTAAGATGTTAAAACACCAAACGGAAACCTTTTACAAGGAATCATGTCTGCATTAACGACAATACTTGTGGTCAGACACGAAGTCATTAGTCCCGGGCCATAGTAACAGTTACGTAGTAACCAGTGTAGTTAACATGTTGGTCACCACCCGGTTAAACTACACTAGTAACTGTTGTAACTAGTGTAGTTAGCCTGGTGGTCACCACCTTATGTTGTTATTCTGTTAATGGGAAGTTACCCCGTGTGTTGGAACTGAATAAATGTGTTGCCTACAAAGTCTACGTCTGTGACTCAGTTGAACTCATTACATTTATATAAACCGGCTGTATGTAAACTGTACATATACTACAACTCATTACAGGTTGCCTACCATGTCGTAGACCCTCAGAAGTTTCATAATCATCACTCCCGCCGCTGGGTGGGGCTAAACCATGATGCAACACTGCAACACCTGTGCTTCTTTGCAATGTAAGCACTGCGTATTCACCTGTAATCACATGCACACACCTCCGTCCATTGTATTCACCTGTAAACACTGTGTTTATATATGCACACAGGTACACACATGTAATTACTGACCCAGTGTTTACCTATATGCACACACTTACACTCACGTGCACACCTCCGATTAGCGTGGTTTTTCTCCGTACGGTGCTAAAGAAGTTCAACATACATACACCTGTGCACACCTGTGTAACTCATACGCATCCGCACATACATCTGCCTGGCCTGTATATCTGTGTTCATATGTACAACCATACTTCACCTGAACACATACGCTTCTGCACACTTGTACACTGGCACATGCTCGTCTGCACACATCAAGTGTTCACGTGTGTTCACGTGCGTGTATATACCCATACGCATGAAACTATAAATCCCAATGCCACCGATTCTCATCTGTACACGTCAGTTGTACACATTCTGTACACACAGCGCTTGCCTATAATCACCTGTATACACCTGTGCTTAGACGTACACCCATACACACCTGAAGGCAGGTACACCCTTGTACTCACCTATACACACCCTAACACAATTGTGTTCACCGATATACACCGAGAAACGAGTACACATGTGCTCACCTTGACACCATGTTTACCTGCACACGCCTATACACTGTACTGCTACACCGGCGTTCACCTCAATCGACTGTTCTCACATCGTCCTGTTTAACACGCAGTAGTAAGTCGCCTTTCGCGATCCCATATTATCCATAATAGAGGTGGTTCGGTTAGATCGCGGAAATATCAGTGTCGTTAAACCCACTACCACCCGACACAGCCAATTAGTAAGGTTTGTCACAGAAGTAGAACGTGCCAATTCGTGACAAGTTCAGCGCACCGCTTGTGTGTTGGAGAGTAAACCCACAGCATTCACAATTCGAGTACGACGTTTCACCAGCAATTACAACTAGCATCATCACATTCCTTGCTTCACCTGTCAAAGATAAACATCTCCCATCGAGCCCAAAGGGGCTGTTGGGGCGAGTACCTCTACGAAGGCCGGCACGGCACACGAATCATCCACGCCTACACACAGCACCGGGTTACTCGCTAAAGGCCGAGCCGACTTAGGGGAAGGTCCAGAACCGGATCAGATCAATCATCGGTGATTTTAGCCAATGGTGACAGAACCCCAGGTTCGCCGTTTCCATATCACGGTGTTTCTCATCTGTGCCCACGTAAATAAACACACGTGTTCATATATACAGAGAAGACACAGACCCCCTCCCCGTATAACATTGACAGACTGCAGGGGCAAGTGCTGTTAGCGACTCGCACCTGTTGAAGCCCGGCACGGTGGCACCAACGTACCTGTGTACACCTGGAGCTATACAGCATACACCTCCATACACCTGTAAACGACAACACATCAGTACACACACACACACACCTGTAACACCATTCGTAACTGGTACACACACACAAACACGTTCACACACCAACACCTGTGCTCGACGCACCTGCAACGCAGGTGCGTCACGTGGCCCCGCGCCGGCACCGTCCTCTGCTGCAGCTGCCCGCCCGCCCTTCTCTCCACGCCTCCCCCAAAAACGCAGGGTCCGTCCCTCCCTCTTTTTATTTTCTCCTTTTTTTTCTACTTCACGAATTTGCGTGTCGTCCTTGCGCAGGGGCCATGCTAATCTTCTCTGTATCGTTCCAATGTTAGTGTTTGTACTGCCGGAGCAAGCCTGCTTGCTCCTCTCTCCCCCTTTCTCTCCCCACCTGTCCCTCTCTTTCCTCTCTTCCTCCTCCTGCTGCTGCTGCCTCTCTCTTCCTTTCTCTCCCGACTCTCTCTCCCTTTCTCTCCCCACCTGTCCCTCTCTTTCCTCTCCTCCTCCTCCTGCTGCTGCTGCCTCTCTCTTCCTTTCTCTCCCGACTCTCTCTCTCCCGTCTCTCCCCGACCCTGTCCCTCTCTCTGTCCCCGGCTCCCGGGCCACGGGGACTGTGGTAAGGGGAGAGACGCAACTCCCGTGTTGGGGTGTGTGGGGGGGGTGAGACGGGGTGCTGGGGCGGCAGCGAGAGTCACGGAGTGGGTGAGCACGTGGGGTGACGACGGATGGAGTTGTTCACGCTGCTTCCTGCCGCTAGTGCAGTGGGAGCGGTGGGACAGCGGTTAGCGCTACGCTGCGCTTCGAGCCCGGCGACCCGAGTTCGATTCACGCTCACGGCCACCAACACCGGTGACGATTATCCGAACCGGTCCTGGGTCTCCCCTAGGTCTACTCGGCCTCAAATGAGTACCTGGTGCGGTGTTTAAAACATCGCCGCTCGGGAGACAAAGGCGGCCGGGCGTGGTGTTGCCCCCCCTCCTCCCGTGTGCCGTGCCGGCCCTTCATAGGTGCTCGCTAACAGCACTTGCGCAACCAGTTTGTTACAGTCTGCTACAGGCTATGCGGGCGTTCTTTGTCTTTGTGTGTGACCCGTCCTGCCCAGCGCCAGCTGACCACGCTGTTCGCTTACGGAACCGCGGTGCGACAGCCCCCAAGGCTCTGGGACGCAGCCGTTGTTGTGTTGGGTTTCGTGATGTCTCAACACGCACAATGTTTGTCTGCGGTGGCAGTGGTGCGAAAACACAATTAATCCTCAACACGTCAATCAATGGCACTGCCCTAAAAGAAAACAAATCTATAGTAGGCGACGTTGCGTCGTCCAATGTCCTTTCTTCATAGCACGTGGAGGGCGTCTAAAGAGTTAGAATGGTTAAGGGTTGGAAGACTGCACTTTTATTATTTTTTATTTTACACGCTTTTACTTAACTCACTCTGTTGTTGTTGTCGTATTCTCAAATATTGTAACTCAATTTTAACCCACTTCCCAATGTGGTATCGATTGCAAACTTGGTATACTTATGTCATACTGATGACAATACCATATTCTATCATAAAAAATAAACATTTCTTTTTAAACAAATCTTTTTACGTGCTTTCTATGAACTCACTCTGCCTGTTGTTGTTGTCGTATCCTCAAATCTTGTAACTCAATTTTAACCCACTTCCCAATGTGGTATCGACTGCAAACTTGGTATACTTATGTCATACTGATGACAATGCTATATTCTATAAAAGATATATATATATTTTTTAAACATTCATTTTTATATGTTATGTTTCGGCTTGGCTCTAATTGTCCACGCTCAACTCACGTTGGCTGTAAATCACCACGGCCCCTTACGTTGTGGCAAGCTTCGGGGCCACTTCCTGGAGTCCTGCCATGACCAGTACGGTACATTTCATTAAAGCGTGTTTGAAAAAAAAGTATTTTTAAATATTACTTATTACACCATTATTCACATGGGACTAAGAAACACCCACATCACAAATAGATGTGGCTTAGAGACACGTATAGATATGGATGTTTGTGTCCCTCCCCTGCACAATGCGAAGCAAACTCAACATGCACACGAGACGCACACACACACACATCTCTGTGATCGCATGTCCGTTCATCCGTCACGCTCTGGATTTACCAGACGGTACGCAGGGAGGGAAACGTGCCTCAAGCCAAACATTGTCCTTCGGCGATATCCTGCACTGTTTCGACCAAGACGTTCTTGCGACCTAAATACATTATTTTCCAATCCATTTGCAACGAGAACTGACCCCAGGAATGCACCACACTCAGCTGATTATGCAAAAACTGTTCATCGGTGTTACGCAGCGGTACGGATTGCAGTGAAATATATTTTTTTCATTTGTTTGGTAAAGCCCTGTGAGCCATTCGGCTCTTGAATCGGGTGCAACCGCAACAAACAAAACATGAACAAGAAAACATCTTAAAGTGACTACGCGCAAACAGAAAAATCCATGAAAAATCAGCAAAATCTTCCAGAAAAAGCATCGTACACCAACGCTGTGTGCAAAAATCGCAGTGGGATGCAAGTCAAACAACAACAACAAGACGACTTAAATTAAAGCCATCAGTTTAACTCCGTACTACAACAAACAAACATTGCCAAACCCAAAAACTTTTCGAAATCACCAAAATAAAGCCATAAAAGCAATGTAACAGTGATCATAGGAACTGTGACCGAAATTTCACTATAAACGACATAAACAACATGTACCACCAAACCTTGTCGCCATAGCTGGCTGCATGAGTCACTCCACAACAGCAGGAGCATCAGTAGGAGTATCAAAAATTCCCAATGCATCTTTAAAGATCAGCACACTAAATCAAAACACAAGATCAGACTTTGCAGCGGTCATCCGGAGCGAAACATTTTATTTTAGTTTTAGGCCACTGAATAGCAGTGGCAGATAGGGGTGTACAACTCCTCTAGAGAAGTTTTGAATGAAGATCTCATAGGTAGTGATTCAAGTTCCAGTTTATTGGTAATAGCATTCCAGACCTTGGGGGCATCAATAGCAAAGGCCCTTCCTCCAGTATTTGTACGGCTGTAAGGAATGTGAAGCTGGTAAATGAGCGAAGACCTTAGGTCACATTTGTTCTTCGAAACATAGAGGAGATCCAGCAGGTAGTCTGGGGATTATTTTGTAAGTACATCGTGAATAAATAAGATCTGATGCACAAGCCGTCGAACATTAAGAGATATTAAGTTTGACCCTGAACCGGTCATGGGCATCCCACAGATCGACTCAGCCTTAAATGAGTACCTGGTAGGGTTTGGAAAACATCGCAACTCGGGTAGTGTAGGGGAGCAATAGTGTCGTGGTTAATGCACTGCGCTACAAACCTGGCAACCCGAGTTCGATTGTAGCTCATGGCCAACACCAGTGACAATTATCTGAACCAATCCTGGGCCTCCCCTAGGTCGACTCAGCCTCAAATGAGTACCTGGTGTGATGTATAACATTATCACGAGGGAGATAAAGGCGGTCGGGGGTAGTGCTGGCCATCGACCACATTGTGCACTGTTCCGGCCTTCATAGGTGCTCGCTAACAGCATTTGCTCCAACAGTCTAAGACTAGTTTAACATGTAGGCTTTCGCGACCAATATCATCCAGAATATAGTTTTTTTGGGTTAGATCACATCAATATAGATGTCTCGTTAAACCCGCCACCACCCGACACAGCCAATTAGTAAGGTTTGTCACGTAAACAGGACATGGCAATTCGTTACCAGTACAGCACACCGGGTGGCGGCTGTGTCGAGTGGTGGCGGGTTTAACGACATTTATTTTTATGCGATCTAACCCAAAAAAACTATATTATGGAGTCGAAGAATACACGGATGATCTCTGTCTTTGATGTGGGCGAGGTGCACGTGAGATCAGGAGCATCTCCCATATATTTGCGTACCACGAGACAACTCAAATCAAACCCAGAGCATAATCACACACACATTAATCAACGAAGTCTATGCCAAACAAGGCCCCAACAATGCAGTTTACTCGCAACGCCTCTTTGCACTATCCCCACACAGCAATGCATCAACACGACTTATTTGTCAGCCTGAAGCCCCCGTCTCACACTGTAAGACGCAGGCTCTATGAAGGGTGCGAAGGCAGGATAGGAATGTTGCTCTGCGTGTGAACACAAGCAGGGGTTCCAGTGGCAGGCAGAGTTCCAGAGTTCTTCAAAATCAATCACAACCACCACCTTGTGGCTTTCTTCCCCACAATAGCAGGACACCTCCTCGGGGGGGCTGGAGGGTGCACGCCCTGGGAGGTTGACCTCAGCCGAGTTACACACGCATCCACCTCCACGCAGCCTCTCACTGGCTGCAGCTCCACGCGATGTGGCTGGTCAGTCCTCGGAGCCATTTATATCAATGTGTGTTTTTTTAAGAGATGGCCATGTGCCTCTCTCCACGTGGTAGCTCCGATTCAATACATTCTGGTCTGGCTTCAGTCTTTCTCCCTCCTCTCCATTTGAATGATTACGCTATTCGGGGCATGCCATGTCCATGACTTTCAGCCGGGTAATTTCTCAAATGGGTCACACCATTTGCAGGGTTTTCAACAGGGTGGGATATGTTCAAACTTTTTCCCGTTGAATTAGAAAAATTAGTTTTATACGCATAGTGCAAATCATGACAAACACCATTTCGCCACAATCAGGAAACATTTTATTGTGACATTCTTATCAGGCCCCGTTGCTGTCTCCAATTCATATCCACTTTACTTTTCAAGCCTATGGACTGCGAAGAATTGACTGAAATGTTTCCCATTTTTCTTTTTAACGCAGTGTTATTGACCAATGTACTGAGTTGTTTTGTTATTTGTGCTTGTGCACGTCTAGTGGGTTCCAGGAGACTTGAGACTTAACTTTAGAGGCAGCACATTTCTTTATAACAAGGAAACACAACTGCCCTTACCCCGCTCTCTAGGGAGGTACAGCCTCCGGGCTAACGTGCCCTATCACTGGGATTAACTCAGAGCCCTCCGGCTAAGGTGGAATTAGATCACGGATTTTATGTACTGTACTGAATCGGACGTGGATCTTATGTTTGTTTAGAATTTTGGAGATCTTTTTGGTCACGCCTGCTATGTATGGCAACGTGATAGTTTTGATCGAAGTTTCAAGTGGCTGTTTCTGTATGGTGGGAGAAACAGCTTGGCGGATGGTGCGGTCAGAGTATCCGTTCATCCTGAGGGCCCAATGTACATGTCTCAATTCACTGGTCAGGTGGTGTTGATCAGAAATGCCATGAGCTCCGTGGTATAGCGTTTTGATGAGAGAATTATTTTGAGACGGGTGGTGGTGGGAATCAGGTTTCAAGTAGGAATCTGTGTGGATAAAATTATGCAATTAATATAATGTATGATGCAATACCAGGTTCAGATTGCATCATTCATTGTTTTGCCCAGTCATAGATTTATTCATAGATCCAATAAAAAATATACTTTAGTCATTTCTGGTTCAAATTGAGATTCTTTCCCTTTATAACTCACTTATCCTCCGCCATCTCCAAGTCAATGGTTTAGCCATGCGCTTCAGATGTGCTTCTGCGGCCGTCTGGAACGTTCTTCCTTCCGATATTAGGAAGCTGCTGGAGCTATGCACTTTTCAATGTAAATTGAAAACTACTTTCTTTAGAACTGCTTTTTGTGTTTAGCTTGTACTCACACAATTAAACACATTCTTTTTGTGATGCTGCTGCATTGGCACAAGTACGAATAACAACAAAACACCTCAACACATTAATCAATAACAATGTGGGCTCATAAGGAGACATTTTTTTACAGCATATGGTTGGGGCAATGCCCCTTCTTGAGAGCACATAAACTCCATAGCACATACAATGTATATTAATGATTATAACACATTATTTGGGCATACTGACAAAAATATATTACAATAATAATGCAGCTTAATTGTCAAATTATTCCCAACAACAAAACTCAGACGTCACCTGTCTGAAGCGATTGGACGTCCATTTAGTGTCTTGGACTCATCAGTAATCCATGGCCAGGAGTGATACAGCAATAGTGGACTCACAGAAAATTACAGGGTCTGGAAATCCTCTTAAAGAAATGGGCAATACACTTTTTATGACATTATAATCGATATTCCAGCAAGGAAGACGTGGATTACACGTAAATTAGCTTGTGTCATTAAGGGGCAATGTCCTTGCGTTGGTTTTTCTGCAAAAGTCAACTTCACTTCACGTGTTCTGTGCTGACTTCCTTCTGTTCACTGTTGTTGCAAGTCAGTGCTGCTTGCCCTGTGTTGTCATTCCGCATGTTTACCCACTGAGTCTCATGACTGCCGTACAGGAGGATCCTTTTACCATCCCCATCAAAGACTTTCCTTCCATTATCTGTCCATTCGAAACTTCTCAACCACATTCTTAACGTGTAGAGGCTTTCGCGACCAATATCATCCATAAAATAGGGTTTTTTTGGGTTAGATTGCATAAATATGATGTGTGGTTAAACCCGCCACCACCCGACACAGCCAATTGTAAGGTTTGTCACGTAAACAGAACGTGCCAATTCGTCACTAGTACAGCACACCGTTGCGTTGGAGAGCAAACCCACAACATTTACAATCTGAGTTCGACGTTTCGCCAGCAATTACAAGCGCCATCATCAGGCGACAGCCACATTTCCGCCACCGCATATAAACAAAGCTGGCAAATCATCGCGGTCCCTTAGCCGCCCGCGGCGTCAGAACGACTCCCCCCACTGCACGCGGCCCCTCCCTCAGTCGTCCTCGCGCGTGCCGCCGCGTCACGTGGTACGGTGGCAAAATTGCCGCGGTCCCTTTCGTCGGTGGGCCCCCCCCCCCCCACACACGTGGCGCGGGTTGGACTCGAGTCGCCGGGCCTCGCCATGTTCCGCAGGAAACTCGCGGCGCTCGAGTACCACGAGCCGGCCAGCTTCAACCACAACGGTGAGCGCGCGGGGAATACACGGAGACTGGTCGCCACCCTCCACCCCCAGGGTGGGCCCTGCCGTGGAAGAGACACACAGAGACACGCCCGAGTGACAAGAAGCTTTGGGCCTCTGTATACAAAACAACGCCATTCGCTACCGGGTGACGTTTGCGTCGCCACGGTGCCTCGTGCCAGGCTGGGTGCACTTGGAGGCAACCACGTGAAGTGGCGAGTGCTCGCTGCTGACAGCAGCAGCAGGAGGAGGAGGGTATCGGGAGAGACCCATCAGGTGCCATGGGGTTTGGCTGGCCGAGGTGACCGGCGCATGTCACCGCCAGTCTGCCGTGTTTATCCCCCTTAATGTGCCAACAACGGTGGAAACGGCAATAGCAGCCTCTTGTACGTTTCAGTTTTTATTTCATTTATTAGGTATAGCCCTGTGAGCCATTCGGCTCATGAATCGGGTGCAACCGCAACAAACAAAAACCAAAAACATGAACAAGAATACATCTTAAAGTGACTAAGTGCAAACAGTAAATCCAAGAAAAGACAGCAAAATATTGCAGAAAAATCACCGTACACCAACACTGTGTGCAAAAATCCCAGTGGGATGCAAGTCAAACAACAACCACAAGACAACTTAGTTAATTGACGCAGACTGGCGTAGCCCGACTTGAATGAGTGCTCATATTCCCAGGCCTCTTTTTGTTTTCATATTCTTATTCATAGCAATGCATCAGTGATTGTGATGTAGTAACACATTAATCATCACTGCATTATTGACGTCATGGTAATAGCAATGCATTAATTGTGATAATGATGGCTATCGTAGTCCTAAAAAGTAACATCAATTAATGAGGGTAACAATGATAGCAATATGTTGGTTGGTAGTGCTATGGCTGTATAGGTTGGAGCAGTGTTCTTTCAGAGGAGGCCACTTTCGCCGATAAGACATCATCAGTGTGTGGGCCGCCACAAATTTGGAACCATTGGGGGTTGGGGGTGTTTTCACATGTTGTGTATTGTCAGGGGCCACACTGAAGGCCACCATTCGCCCGTGGGCTTTGCAATGAAGAACACTGGGTTAGAGCTGTCTGCACTTTGACATGTAAATACAATACAGTATTTACAACAATATTTATAACAAAATTTAATACGCGATCAAGTCACTGCCTTTGTTCCCCTTGTATCGGTCCACGAAAGCCTCACCGAGTCTCAATGTTTTATTATTTCACGGAGGCACCTGCATTGGGATGTTTGGGCAATTCTTCTTTAGTGGCTGTTTTGTCTTTTTGTGTGGATTGGTTAATAGGTCAACGTGTTGTGAACAGGTTCTTTTAAAAAAAACTGTAATTTAACGTTGCAGTTCGACATGGTTTCAGACGCACATTTCAGGTACTTTTTTAAGATGTGGATAATCATTCGTGTAATCATTTATGCAAAACTAATTAAGATGTAGCTGGCATATTGAGTTTTGCATATTGATATTGAGTACTGTATATCTGTCTTGATCCATCATTTGGGCTCTTGGCCAAGGGAACTGCCCATTACACCCATGGGTGTCCCTTCATTGTTCGTTAGGAGCAGTGTAATACTCCTTTGTGTACAATGATGCCTAATGTATTTGTTAGCTGTTGGGTGTATAACGCGTGTGTCTATCTGCCCACCGTAGATGAAACCGAGTATAGAAATTTCATCCTGTGGCTGGAAGATCAAAAGATCCGACACTACAAGATCGAAGACCGAGGCAATCTGAGAAACATCCACAGCACTGAGTGGCCAGGCTATTTTGAAAAAGTACGTTCGTCTAAAGGTGGTTGTCTAAACCTTTGCGGGTGCTTAGTTCACAAATCATGTGATTAAAAGCAGCCATGATCCATCTGCCTTTGTGTCCCTAGTGACGTCATTTACACATCGCACCAGGTACTCATTTGAGCCTGAGTCGACCTTGGGGAAGCTCAGGACTGGTTCAGATAATCATCACTGGTTTTGGCAGTGAACGGAAATCGGGATGCCAGGTTCGTAGAGCAGTGCACTAACCACAATAGCGCATGCCTGTAATGCAGCGCGCGCTTCGGTTCACCCCGTGGCTTGCTTTCCCGATTGTCTGTGGTTCCTGGTGCCCTCTGATTCGTTTTCGCTCTTCGAGAGCGAGCGAATGCTTTGCAGCGCATTACAAGTTTAAATTATTATTAAGCCCTCCCCTAGATGTTGTCCTCTCTCAGGGTCTTTGGTGCAACGCTCCATCCAGCTTTCTGCAGACGGGTTGAATTCATTGCTCCACTTCCGTGGTGGACATTCCCCTCCGGCATGGTCCTCGCTGCCAAAGTTTGTTTCTGCCCAAACAAGAAATGGGGCAGTGCTCTGGCACTATTGGTGATTGTCTAAGCCAGTGGTGGAAATTCTACATTCCCTTGCTGGGGGCCAGTTTAACCATGAAATGGTCACAGCTTGCAGGTCAACCAATCTGCCATCCGATTCTTAGCAATTCATAACTTAATGGGATCATTGTGGATAATCTATACGGATAACAGGATCCACAATAGGGTGGCATGTAAGAGGATTTAACTCAATGGGCACGATTCACATGTTGGTCAAATGACAAACACACGTTACCTTTGTAATGGACGTAGGCATTGTTTTTACCAAATGTGCATCTAAAATTAACATTCGTAAACATGCAAGTTTAACCGTGTTTGAGGACAGCCAAACATTCCGAAGGTGGAAAATTGTCAAACTATTAATTTATAAATTTTAAAAATTACATTTGTGAAAAATCTGTATATGGCATAGGGCATACAACAGCCATCTGAACATTTTCACGGAGGTGAGGCCCCCCCCCCAACCTCTGTAAAAATATTTATACCCCTCCGGGTGCATCTCTGCACGCACATGCACATCTGAGGAGCGGTGGCGCAGCGGTGAGTGCGCTGCTCTACGAACCCGGCATCCCAATTTCCCGCTCACGGCCAACACCAGTGATGATCTGAAACCAGTCCTGGACCTCTCCGAGGTCAACTCAGGCTCAAATGAAAATCTGGTGTGATGTGTAAATGTTGTCACTAGAGAGACAAAGGTGGCCAGGCGAGGTGCTGGCCACCCACCCCCTCGTGTGCCGTGCCAGCCTTAATAGGTGCTCGCTATTAGCACCTGCCCCTACAGTCTGTTCAGGACTATGGGGGGATCTTTGTGTTTGTATTCATTTGCAGCTGTGGGAGGACACACCTGTGTGCTTGCATGTGAATCATATACTCCGATTTGCGTCTTCCCTTTTTACGTCATTTCATAAATACGCCGTCACTTTATTTATACCACTACCTGATTTGCATCACCTTAATCCACACGTCACTGACAGCATCCGTCCTTTCTTCTATCTGTCGTCTCGGCCTTCGCCTCCATCTACTCTAAATTGCTTTGATTTACATCGTTTCGATATGTCGTACACGTACGTCATCGGAGTGGGATCGGAAGATAAAGTGATTACTTACACATGTCGTCGGAATGAGAAAGGGTTAATACCGCGGTGTGGTGTTTTCGACGAGCACGTTGCATTTAACGTCTTCATCCAATCGTTCACAGTACTTGGCTGACGTGTGCTGCCCGTTCATTGCAAAGGAGAGGGCCGAGGTGACGGACTGGCTCCTTGGACTCGGGGTGCGGCTGGAATATGGAGACAATGGTACGATTAAATCCGAAATGTCAACCCACACAGCGATTAACGGTCTTGCTGATTAATTAACCTGCGTGTTAACAGCAAAGCAAAGCACAGTGATGAACTCAAAGCGAAAGTAGTTTTTTTTGGGTGATGTTTGCAAAATACATTCGCGTGATCGTAGGCGGATTGAATCTGTAAGCGATAAATTCAACACAACTTTGACTGTATAGTTTATATGCAGATGTAATTAGACCAGACGCGGAGTGAATTTATTACGTGTCAGAATTAGAATAGTGATTTATACTGGAGGAATCTGATGAGCGATAAAGCTCTTTTCCACAGATGCCCAGTGTTGAGGCAGCTGGCCAGTGTTGGGCAAACAATTGACCCACTTTTGACCAAGGTAACCAGAGAGCACAGATGTAGGTGTTTTTAAACTCATCACTCACACAGCCAACAATGATCTATATCTAAGAACGCACAAGTAAAGAAACAAATATACTGTTGAGAAGAAGAATTGTAATTCATTATAATCACAGTTACATTAGCGTTATTAGCTGACATTCACAATTAATACTGGTAGGAACCTCCTGGTTACACCAGCCCACAGGGGATTATTGTGTCTGTCCATCGTGCATCCAAACATGGGAGGGGTGGGGCTGGGTTGAAAGAGGAGGGTGGGGAGGGGCTGGGTGGGGAGGGGCTGGGTGGGGAGGGTGGGGCTGGGTGGGGAGGGGCTGGTCACCCCGTGGTGCCCTTATAAAACTCAACATTTAACCTACTCACGCCGGCTTGTGCCCGCCCTCACAGTCGGCCATATTTGCGGAATACACCACGCCGCCATTGACCCTGGCCATTGACCGAGCAACCCAACGTTCCTACCAGCTCCCTCCGCAGGAATGTGTTTATGGATGGCAGATTTGTAATTTATCCTAGCCATGGAGGAGTGAGTAATTTGTAAAAAAAATTATTGTATTCAAAGTTGTTGTGAGTGAACGGAATGTATGTATGTTGCACTTCTTTCATACCGTACGTAGCCAACCGTGCTAATCGGAGGTGCGGAGGAATCATGACTGGTCAGCTTTGTGAATAGTTGATGTGTCAATCGTTACCGTATTTCCTTCACAGTTGAGAAGTACAACAAGATTTCGGCAGACAGTCTAAAGTCATCCGGAGGAAATTCCAAACCTTCAGACCACCTCACCAATCTCGATGGTAAGCATGTAGGAAAGTTTCCATTGCGTATTCTTATTAAGAGTAATGTATATAAATGAAGACAAACAATATAGCCTTAACAGACTTTTGAGGCAAGTGCTGTTAACGTGCACCTATGAAGGCCGGCACGATACGTCTACACGTGTACGCTTACACTTGTGTCGTGTGTACACGTACGTCATTGAAAATGAATCTGAAGAAAAACTGATGACGTACTCGTACAGAATGGGAAAGGTTTAACAGTCGCTGTGAGTAACTGGGGAATGCGTGCCGTCTGTACCGCATCACCCTCTTGCCCGTCCAGTGAGCAACCCCGACGTGAAGGCGGGGGTGTCTGCGCTGGCCAACCTGCTCCAGATTCCCCGACATGACGACTACCTTGTCATGCTCAAGGTACTGCGACCGCTTGCCCATTGTGTTAATTTCCAGTCTAGAGTCAAAACACATTTTCCATGTCTCCAGTAGGTTGGATTATGCGCCTAACTAGTAGCCACAGCCATTGGTTGAGGTGTACTGGATATGTTGTGCCCGTTGCGGAAATATTTTCCGGGTCACTGACCCAGGAAGACCCGACTGAATTTAAGCCCTGGTCACAAGTCAAATCCACACTGTCTCTCTGATCGTTTATTAAGCACAACGCTCCGATAAATGTACGTCACGTATCTACTTCCGAAGTTGCTTCAGTAGGTCCACATTCTGTGTAACACCTTTTAAATTTTCCATATAAAAGGTGTTGCACAAAGATATGACGTTGATCGGGTAATATTCTGACCTGTACTCAGTTGATCCACTTGTTTGATTTCTTATATTGTTTGTGCTAAAATCGGATTGAATTAGATTCTGAACTGAATTGATGGTACACCATGAATACATATTCAACGATTAATTCGGCACAACACTTTACTCATCGCTCCATCTCCTCGGTACACGTCCAGTCGGACGCGTTCCATCCCTTGGCTGTCACTCCGTTATTATTCTCGATCATAGTCCATCATTCCGTTGCTTTATTATTATTTTTAGTTGTGGCTGCTGTGCACGCGCATTGCAGTGACCGACTTAGTTGTAGAATTGGCACTGTTTGCAGGGCAAGCAGCAGGGGGTGTGGACCCACACCGAGGCTGCGGTGGTAGTTGGGTTACCAAACCTTGCTTCCCGCATAGGCCCGCCCGTGGCCATCCGCGTGTGGTGCTGTGGCCACAGCGCTCGACTCATCTCTGGGGTTGATCAAATCAGTGCCACTTTTTTGCAAAGCCAACCTAGGGCCAACAACCGTATCACCCTGAATGCGCCCGATCTCGTCCGATCTCGGAAGCTAAGGAGGGTTGAGCCTTGTTGGTACTTGAATGGGACAGTCAACCTTGGGTTGTGCGTAATTCTGGACGCAGACTTCCCACAGGGGATTGTGAAATTTTCACAATTGTCTGAGGCTTATTAATGAAGAAGAGTGCTGCAGTACGGCTTGTTTGAGCAAAGAGACACTTAAACTATTTATTTGTTTTCCCCAATCATATCTCCCTCGGAGCAATGCCACCTTTCGTGTTATAGATTGGCCCACAAAAGCAGATATCACAGAGCTAACTCTGAGATCCCTTCAGATAACTCTTTGTATGCCCAGTTGGGGGCAGCACTTTCCCACTCCATGTACCACGTGAGAGTAACGTTCGTCACATGACAGTCAATCCAGTTTATTTCTCAGAGTTTAAATGTTGCCGAATTAAGTGCAGAAACAAATGTAACGGAATTGTTTAAATTGTGCGTTCATTAGTGATCAGGCTGAGACCATTAACTCACTACAGTCTGGATTTGCACCCCGGATCTCAGCGTTGCCAGCTCAGAGCTGTGACCTCCGAGCACTCCACCCTGCAACCTTATCTCAATTTCTTTTTACATACAGATAGTCCCCGAGTTGCGATGGGTCCGACTTACGATATTTCGATCTCGCGATAGCGATACGACAAAATTGTAAAATATTTTACATTTCGCGCGGCAGGCAAACGCAGCAGCATACGAGGTACGATACTGTACGTTGGGACGCTGCCGGGATGTACTGTACGCATCTCCCGCCTTTGTATTAAATTGCAGTTCATATCGGTAGGCTAAGAATTGACCTTGTTTTTTTACTTTACATTTTACTGTGCAATACAGTATTGTACTTAATAAATACATACAGTATATAGTTTATACAGTTCGGTACTGTAAATTGCTCTGTTTTGCTAAATTATCACCATTCTTTAAGACTCCTGGGTAGGCTAGGCCATCTTCGACTTACGATATTTTTGACTTACGATGGGGTCGTCGTAACGCATCTCCATCGTAAGTAGAGGACTACCTGTATATAGCACTTTTATTGAGGTATGCGCACAAGTCCGGTACAACACGCCGAGGGTTTTTGGGGAGGGGGACAGAGGGGGAAGAGGGGGAGCTTTCCAGCGCTTGCACGGGCCTAGGAATGGGGATAACAACATGCTCGGTGCACACCTTGAGGGGTTCCCCGATAGGGGGAGTAGGAGTTATTTGTGCTTATGGGGGGGGGGAAGGGGGGAGGGGAACACTGTTTCTATATTAAGTAAAAATGTTTGAGTAAGCGCACGCGCGTCACGCACACCGCCGGTCTCGTCCCTCTGTTTGAGTTGGACGCTGCCACTCTCCTTCCGCTGCTCACCAGATCATCGCCGCCTTTGCCTTCTGTGTTTGCCCTGCAGGCCGTTCACATCCTGGTGCAGCAGCGTCTCTCCACGGAAGCCATCGCCAAGGCGAACGAGAGCAAAGCGGTGAGATGCTCGCGCGGACGGCAGCACAGCAAGTCGGCATCTAGTGACTCGGCCTATCCCGTTGATCAACATCGGTGCTCGTGCTCGCGGTACATGCATCAAATCGTGCGTTTTAGAACCAGTTATTTACAAATGATTGCAAATAATACGTGAATGTTACAACTCGGGTAATGGGACAAACCACTTTATAAACGAGACGGTGAACGCGATACGTTCAAGAATCTACAGCTCAATCGAATCGCGACCCGGAATCGTGACGATTCATTGACTCATCGAGGTAGGTGGGTGAGCGGGGAGGGGGTGGTGACAGTTGCATGTTGAGAAACGAGGATTGAATATCAGCAAGATCCGGACAGTATAAAGAAATATTCTTATTATGAAGATCACATTGAACAAGATGGAACATTTAATATACGGCTAGTTTACAGATATTATTTAATAATTCTGCGACCTCACCTTGCACACAAGTCTAGCACAAAGTGTTCAAATCCGATTTGTTGATGGTTATCACTCTGCACTACGAACATTATCACGGCTATCAGCAGTGAAGGGTGAAATATTAACCGGTCCTTGGCGCCACTTATTCTCCTTCTCTAACCCGCACTGACCAGCGTGGTGAAGTATGGTCGTCCCTCCATGGCCGACACTGCAAGGGAAGGCCCCCATCCAATAGTGGATTGACAAGGAGCCGTAACAATTGTAATGTCTAATGTTGCGTCTTCGCTATTTTCAGGGCATCCCGATCGCTCTGGATCAAAACATTCTTGGCTTCGACACCGGAGGTGAGCGTTATTAACACTCTTGATTTTCAAACGCACGATTGTCATATTTGGACATGATTATACTATACAGAGAATGGCAAGCCAGTCGCAGGTATAAACTGGCTAAAAAGCCTGGGCCGAAATATCTGAACTTATATTCGACTTGATTTAGCCATACACAAGAAGAAGTAATAAGCAGCGGGGAAAACATTTCTTGAGCCTGGACGTAACAGGTACAAAGAATTGATGGTATGGATGGGAGTGGGAAAGGAGTTGCGGATCCTGCGGTCATTTGTGTTTTATTTGAGTTGCTAAAAATCATGTACTGCTCGCCAATATAGCAGCTCCGTTATAAGCCCAAACGCAAAATGTGAAACATCTGTGCCCCACCAAAACTGAGAATGTAAAACTGCCTATTCACCTTCACGTATAGCATTGAATCAGTCGGGTGGTGCTGCGATAAGAGCACTTGGCTGGCTATCGAAAGGTCAAGAGGTCAGAATCTTGTCATGGGTCAACCCAGAGTTGATTAAATAAGCACTTCTGTGTGGGCACTGAACAGAGATTACCCCATGCAAAGACTGGACCCCATCATGGGAATGTGAAATTTACACCTTCGACACATTCTACTATTTACTACAATGTTTATTTTACCAGGTACCCACGAGGCAAAATAGCTCTTTTTCAGAAGTGACCTGGCCACAAATGATAGCTCAGCAAAGTGGCCTATCACATGGAAATTTATAGCGGCCATATACTCTAAACGCATGTTTCTAAATGTGGAGAGAAAAAACTTTGTTGTCCTCCCACGCCTCCAATTACCACGGTTGTCTGCGTAGAAGTCCGACATACATACGTAAACGCCGCGGTGTCATTTTGTCTCCTCCATGCAGATGCCACCGTGAACGAGGCGGCGCGCATCCTGCGGCTGCTGCACATCGAAGAGCTCCGAGAGCTGCAGACCAAGATCAACGAGGCCATCGTGGCCGTGCAGGCCATCACAGCCGACCCTAAAACTGACCAGCGGCTCGGCAAAGTTGGGCGCTAATCCTGCTGCGTTCTCGCGGCACACTGAACGTGCGCCGGTACCGGGACTTTTCCTGGGCCGTTCCCGTGCTGTGGTTGTTCCCACGATTGTATGATTGGCTGCCGTAAAGTAACTGTTTTGGGGGGGGGGGGGGGGGGTGCCCTGTTGCTATCGAGTAAAATATTTCCGATTCGTTTCTGAAATCCTGTTTGACCGTTCCCGACGTGTGAGTGCAGCCACCGTGCGCTTGAAGTTTCCCAAGCTGCTCTTCGTTGGCTAATATGGCACTGCATATCTGCAGCGCCAGACCTACATAACTGCAGCACCGGCTCCCATAATGCACCACGTTATGTGACTTGCATGTGTAGTGCCGTGTTCCCTACCTCGTGTTAAAGGGTACAGCAGTCGTAAGTGGCAAGGCATTGCCTAAGCATTGCTCCTAAAAGTTGAGTGACCATCACTTTCAGTTTTTTTTTTCCATGAGCAAAGATTTGAACCTGTGGTAAAGTCTTCAAACATCATGGGTATGCAGCTCCAAAACGAGGACTGCGTCCTTAGCTCAGCATTGTCTACCATACATAAATTAGATGTTGGTTTCACGTAATACACTGCATCTCAAGGCTGTACGAGATCAATATGACATACACATGCTGTAGATGGTGAAGAGAGTCATAGGCAGAGGGGAAGAGGGACGTCTCAAGCCTGGATTTGAGCCAGGGAGTTAACAACACATTGCTTGGGGAGGAAGTTCCATATAGGGGTAGCAGTGGAGAAGGAGCAACTTCCCACTGATGAGGATTTCGTATGGACAATGAAGAGCACTTTTTAAGTAATTTGCCAATTTAGTTGCTTTATTACAATTGATACATTCAAATATATTAAACTTTCCCATAAACCAAAGGCGAGGATGGGAAGGGAGGAGATGAGGCCTCGTGGGTTTGTGGGGACACAATTGAGTCCAGCACGGTTTAGTCCCAGCCCGGTCGCGGTTCCAGCTCGCGTTTAACTCAGCCGTGATGTGTGCAGCGATACTTTAGCAGGTGGAACGGCTGCGTAAACACAAACACGCAACGGTGCACTTGCTTCATCTAAAGGTTGTCCAGATGAATTGTAACATTGGGTGTATGTCTTCTTGGTTCTTTTGGTAAAGTCACGTAGAAGGGAAATAATAAAATAATAAAAATTAAACAATACAATTCTAACGACGTTTCGGCCACAACGCGAGCAGCCGTCCTCAGGTGAAGAACAGGGCTGTCGGAAAGACAGCCCTCATCAGGTGCGTTTTATTATTTTATTATTTCCCTTCTACGAGACTTTACCGAAAGAACCAAGAAGATGAATCCCTGCAGTCACGAAAGCTTTAAATCGAAAAAAAAAAATCGGTTTATGCTTTCAAAAAACCATACGAGTGATGTAAAAAAAACTTAGAATAAGTCCCACGTAATGTTTCTTTTCTAGTTAAAGTCTATTGAAGTTCAAATGCATACAAGCACCAATTCAACACAAGACAAGTTCCCATCTTAACGTATACAGGAGTGAGCTGTGCAAAAATGAGATGCTGTGTTTGCACAGTTTGCGTCTAAGAATACTGCTGTATAAAGATTAAATAAGGAATAAAAACTACTGGAGCATTAACGTTACCTTGGTGTCTCTTTAGTCAAAGCCATAACATGGAACACATCGTCCAGCAATGCCCATTGCTCATTCGCTGGCGGCGTCTTGGACGTTCGCAACTTTGCTCCCATAGCCCTTCAACTGGATCGGCGACCTCATCAACAAAACACGTTATTAATCGCCTTCCCGTATAAGAGATGAACTGAAGGTTCGCGCGAAATGGGCATTGGTCTTTACGTGCATTGCACCCAGCAACACGATAATTGTAGCAAACTGGAAAGCAAACGATGCACTTCCCGCTTTTCTGCTGAATGTTACGTAAGCTGGGGCGCAATTCCAATATATCGCAAATGTTTACATTCAGCAGAACTATCTTTACATTAAACACAGCGCTAAAGTTACTATGGTATTCACGTCGAAGAGTAAATCTACCGGAGTTAAATGTGTTGAATTTTAGAGTTAACGGTTCCACAATGTGGTACTAACGTGTCCCCACTGTGAACCGTCGCACAGAGTTACACAATTTAATTGGCCTTGCAGTGAAGGTGAGCCGATTAGATTCGCATCGGGGATTTGAACTCAATAGCTCAGGGTGAGTCGGGTCGAACAGCATGCAGGGCCACAAGCCTGCTAATGTTAAAGGAACATGGCCGGCCTTTATCATAATTTGAACTTAAGCTATTTAATGTTAAAAAATTTACCAGGCCCACTGAGCTTTAATACCGCTCTCAGACGCGACCTAGCCACAAATTATAGCTCGGCGAAATGACATCACGTGGAACTTCATAGCAGCCAAATACTCAAAGCGCATGTTGATTCTAAATGTGGAGGGGAAAACCGGAGGACTTGGAGAAAAATCCACGCGACCACGAGGAGAGAGATACGCAAATTCCAAATACACAGGCTTGTTAAGTGACGCCCAGTATGCACAATATTCGCTTGCTCTAGAAGAGAGAACGACTTGGAGGTGCGAGGAACCACAAACAAGTGGGAAGGCAGCAGAAATGACCGGACTTTCATGTTTGGCACCACTGGGATCTCCAGTCCAGATCTCCCAAAAATCGAAAGAGCAACGGTGAGACGAGGAACAGTGAGAGTGCCAATCTCCGTACACAAGACTGAGGTCTCTCCTACGATGTTCGCAAACTCCGTCCAGGCAACCATCACAAAGAAGAAGATCCAGAAAGGCAATGCCCATAGCATGATAAACCTCACTCTCCAGAAATGCCGTGAGTTCAGGAGGAAGCCATTGGAAGAGCGGAATAATATTCTGAAAGTATTTGGAGTGTGCTTCAAATGCTGTGCTTCTACAAACCACCTTGTAAGGAATTGCAAGGCAGATATGAAGTGCGAGGAATGTGGCAACGACAAACACGCAACTGCTCTGCACACATTTGACTCCAAACCCAGTGGCACTAAGGCTTCCAATCCCGAAGCAGAGCACGGCGGGGAGCAAGGTGAGACCGCCGCATCCACTTTGTCAGTCACAACCAAATGCACAGACGTCTGTGTAGGAGGCTTCAAAGCAGAATCTTACTCAAAGATATGCCTCGTCCGAGTGTATCCCAAAGCACATAGTAAAAGGGCAGTAAGGATTTCGCCATAATGGACGATCAGAGCAACAAGTCTTTGGCAAGGTCATACACGTTCAGAACATGCTTAGAACTGATGGAGACAGTGGGAAGAAGAGCGAGTTGCCTCATGGTAGAAACCATGGATGGCACCATGAAGCTAGCCCTTCCTACGGTGATAGAGTGCAATGAGATACCATACGACAGGAGTGAGATTCCCATGCCCGAAGTCGCACGTCATCACCCACACCTGAAGCCCATAGCAGAGTTCATCCCACCATTGGATCACGGGGCACAGATTTGAATTCTGCTTGGCAGGGACATGCTCTTATCGGTCCATTCGCTCTTTCTCTCCCCCGGCCGCCGCGGGGTGGATTTCTACACAGCTCTCTCATTGACATGCTAATTTCTCTCCCCTGGCCACTTCGGGGTGGATTTCCACACAACTCTCTCTAAAATTGTCTTGCTGGGTCCTTCTCTCCCCCGGCCGCTTCAGGGTGGATTTCCACACAGCTCTCTCATTGACATGCTAATTTCTCTGCTCCAGCAGACCCACCTCTCTCTCTGCCTCCCCCCCACCTCTCTCTATTTAAGGCCACGACACAGAGGCATTGGGTCTCTGTGTGTCTATGTTGTGTGTCTCTCTCTGTGTGTCTCTGTGTTGTCTCTCTGCTTGTGTGTCTGTCTGTGTGTCTCCGTGTCTGTGTTTTGTTTCTCTCTCAAATTTAGTTCTACCTGATGACGATTGCTTGTTTTGCAATAGAAACGTCGTATTATATTATTTAATTTACTTTCTTTCTACGTGACTTTACAAAAAGAACCAAAGAGTGACTACTTCTCTCTCGCAAAGATATGGACAAATAAGTTAACCCATTGAAGTTTCATAATAATTCATTAAAGTTTGTTGCACATTTGTTTATGCAATAGAAAAATAAATGGTGGTATATCCTAGATACCAGATGGGGAGTTTTCTGTCCCACGGCAGATACGGGGGTGTGTTTACACAGGAACTTCCTGATATGATGATGTTGTGTTTGGTCACGTGACCAGGAAGTTACGAGCTAAGGGTCTCGAAGCCACGAGGCCAGGCAGGGGTGTCAGCAGAGGTCGCAAACGGGTTTTGATTCCTTACCTGTACCCGGCCGCACCAGGGTCGCAAACGGGTACCCGATACCCGTACCCTACCCGATACCCGGCTACCCGTACCCAACCGGGTATCGGGTAGGGTACGGGTACCCGATTGCGACCTCTGGGATGAAGCCATGTTGCAGGCGTGGGTGGGTTGCTTCTAGGAACTTGAATTGTGAGAAGAGACAAGACGTTGGGAAATGAGTGACAAACGGTTACTCACCAGTGAGTCACGACCTACCCGTACCCGTACCCGGCCGCACCAGGGTCGCAAACGGGTACCCGTACCCGGCCGGGTATGTCATCGAGGCGGCGGGGTACTTCAGGGGGACCCCGGGACGAGGGCGAGGTCGCCGTGGGGAGAGTGAGGTGGTGGCCGTAGGGGGAGTGAGAGAGAGAGAGGCCTGCGTCGAAGACATCCCAGCCGCCGCCGAAGAAGGGCTAAAGATGTCGAGGTCTCACCTCGTCGCCGGGCGGTGATGGGTGAGCCCCCGCCCGGGGCAGACGAGGGGGTAGACATAAGGGGAGCCTTACCGGGGCGTAGATAGCTGAGGGATGTCCGTGTAAAGGACAGAGTTCTGACGGGCGTAAGCATCGAGTGTAGAGAGTGTAAACAGAATGTATATGAGAGTGTAACATTTGTGAATAAATGGCAAGCAGCCCTATCGTCTCTGTCTGGCTCTACAAGTCTCCTGGGTGTCAAGAGTTAGTACACAACACAAGTATTAACAGATGCTGCATTTTGTGCTGTTTTTCCCGTCAGTTTTACCTCGCTGTATTCATTAAATACGCGGAAGTCGGATGTTCACCCTGGCTCTGAAGGTTTATTGAACGCGAGGTTAACTACTCGGATAGTGGTGCAACGCAGCGCACAGCGAGGCCGAGACAGGTTGGCTGGTATGCTGAATTTTAAATTGTAGTCGTTGCTCTGCATCGACAGAAGTAGCCGTACGAAAGAATAAGGTGTTTTAAAAAAAATCTGCTCAGTCAAACACTGGATCGTACACAATCGTCATTTCTTCTATGCAGTTGACTTTTTTTACCGTTCTGGTTCGACCACAGCAGATGCTTCCCACGTGGGTGTTTAAAAGTATTTGGCTGTTATACATTTCCACGTGATAAGCCACTTTGTATAAATGTCAATTGTGGCCAGGTCGCTTCTGAGAAAGAGCTATACAGGTCAGTGGGCCTTAGGGGCCGTCCATAAATGACGTCACGCGATTTTAGACGATTTTTGCTCCCCCCCCTCCTTCGTCACACGGCGTCACAAAAAGTCTGACCCCCCTCAAATGTGACGTCACAAAGCTCTGCCCCCCCCCCCCCCCCCCCCCCAAAATAAAACGTGCTTCTGTTGCGGCCACTGGCCCCCGAGGTCTCTCCCTGCTGGGTGCTTACTGCAGGGGTCCTGTCGTTTCCCGACCCCTCGCTGGTATGCGAACCACTGCTGCCGCCGCAGGGCTCATCGCTCGCGGGGTAAGGGCTGTCGCCCGACGGCTCCCCTCCCTGGGTCGCACCCCCGCGAGTTCGCGAGAGAGGCATGGCTCGTTGCCGGCTCCCGGACGCCTGTAAACACTGCGTTGCCTCTCCACCAATCAAACGCGATGCCTCCCTTCACACAGCCCCATGCAGCAATCACACGCTCAGAACGGGGGGTCAGGGGTCGGAGGGCGAATGACGTTGCTCGCACATGAGCGGCCGCCGCGAACGGGTGATAAAAGGGTCTGTACCCGATTGAGCTAATTTGATAGGCTCTAAGCGGTTTTGTTTTCTCTAGCCTCAATCCCAATACTCTCTTTCCTCTTACACACGGTTAGATGCGCACGGCGCTCCGGTGGTTTCGTCCTCGCTGCTCACCTCGACGCGTCACACGGACATTCGAGTGGCCGTGCTGGAGACCGTCCTGAGGGCTGACTTTTGGAGCAAGAGAGGGCTCTACCTGTCTGCGCCCCCCTTTTATCGTTAACCTACATCAAAGAAAGCCGACCCGAGGGCCTTCTCGGCCAATCAGGTCACCGCGCCTGTTCAGCCGCATTCCCGGTTTCCCTAATAATGGGTCTGCCGCTGACTGCGGCGCCGGCGGTGGTCCACGGGCGCCTTTGCTATGCTAATCAGCCGCGGTTTCCGTAACAAAGGCTCGCCGTGGGCTGCTCGAGCACACCCGCTATGCCAATCAGCCGCCCACCCTGGCTTCTCCCTTCGTTCGTGGCTGCGGACCCCTGCCTGCCTTGCCGATACGTGTGTGTGGGGGGTGCGTTTCAACCGTGGTGGCTGGACAGCCCCCGCCGTGACCATGCATTCTCAACCCAGGTCACAGCGCCGCGTTGCGAATTAGCATCGGGGGAGATCGCCCAATTCCCTGGCCGCAGGAAACCGTGAAGATTATCCCTATGAGGGCTTTTGGGTGAAAACCTGTTGGCGAGGTGACCTCCCCTCGGAGCTCTATAGGGGGGAAATGCATGAGGGTGTGTTTATGTGGGGGGCGGTGAGGGGGAAGCGGGGTCGGCCCCGTCGCTTGGTGGTGGCGAGGTCGTAGATGGGGCGCCCGCCGAGCACACTTACAATCGCTTTAAATTATTGTCATTGTAGTGCGTATTTAATGTGGCGCTGCACTCTGATGTTGTAGGAGAAAACATTTATTTAAAAGTCTATTTAATTAAGTATAACGTGTCGTCTATATTTATTTAGAGTTGCGAATTTTGATGTGACGTCACATTTCTCAAACCCCCCCCCCCCCCCCGTCGTCACACATCGTCACAGATGTCTGACCCCCCCCTGCCGCTAGGTGCGTGACGTCATTTATGGACGGCCCTTACCTAGTAAAATACAAAACAATATTAGTTTCATACCCTTTGGGTCTTTCGAGTCACGTAGATAGAAAAATAATTCCAAAGCGTATTAATTCCTGCAGGCACGAAAGCTTTAAATCAATATTAGTTTCGTTTTTGTTTAGCTCCGCTTCGTTCTATTTCCCGTGCATTATTTGGAGCGTCAGATCTGTCCAACCTCCGATGTTATCCATTCCTCTTGTTCATTTTCAGGTGCTGCAGATGCTCTCAATTGCCATGTAGTCCCCTGCCTAAACCTACGTTTCTTTAACGGCCAAATAACGTTCCACAATCGATGTGTTTGATTCCTCTTTAAGTTACAGTTTTAAGTGTGCCCTCCACCGCTCCGTGCTTACTTGAAGTTCACACCATGCTAAAACTCTTTAATGTCATGGCCCATGTTGCAGAATTATCTGGACCACAGGGCAATGCCGTCTCTGAAATCAAACGGAGTAAATAGAGTTATCTTATAGAGTGCGCCTATTAAGATGTGCCCGGCAGCTACGCAGTCCCCTACATTAGCGGCAGCACGAGCAGCATGAGTGAGTAGCAGCAATAATAGCAGCAGTAGCAACATCGGTAGGAGCAACAGCAGATGCAACAGTAGCAGCAACGGAAGGACTAGCAGCAGTAACAGCAGTAGCATCAGCACTAACAAGAGCTTGAGTACAAACAGTAGCAGTAACAGCATCACCAGTAGCAGCAGCAGCAGTAACAGCACAAGTAGCAGTAGTAGCAGCAGCAGTAACAACAGAAGCAGCAGTAAGATCAACAGCAGCAACACCATCATCAGCAGCAGTACCAGTAGTAGCAACAGAAGCAGTAGTCGCAACAGCAGCAACAATATAAGTAGCAGCACCATCAGTAGCAACAGTATCAGCAACAGCAGTTACAACAACAGCAGTAGGTGCAGAAGCAGGAGCAGCAACAGCAGTAGAAGTAACAGCAGTAGCAGGAGCACCAGCAGTAACAACAGCAGTAACAGCAGCAGCAGTAACAGCAGCATCAGCAGTAACATCAGCAGCAGCAGTAACAGCAGCAGTAACAGCAGCATCAGCAGCAGTAACAACAGCAGTTAACAGCAGCAGCATGAGAAGCAGTAACAGTCGCAGCAGCAGAATGAGCAGCAGCAGCTGCAGGAGCATGAGCAGCAGCATCATGAGCTGCAGCAGCTGCAGCAGCAGCATGAGCAGCAGCAGCTGCAGGAGCATGAGCAGCAGCATAATGAGCTGCAGCAGCAGCAGTAGCAGCATGAGCAGCAGCAGCTTTCAGCAGCATGAGCAGTTGCAGCAGCAGCATGAGCAGTTGCAGCAGCAGCATGAGCAGCAGCAGCAGGAGCAGTTGCAGCAGCAGCAGCAGCTGCAGCATCATGAGCTGCAGCAGCAGCATGAGCAGTTGCAGCAGTTGCAGCAGCATGAGCAGCAGCATGAGCAGCTGCAGCATCATGATCTGCAGCAGCAGCATGAGCAGTTGCAGCAGCAGCAGCTGCAGCAGCATGAGCAGCAGCAGCATGAGCAGCTGCAGCATCATGAGCAGCAGCTGCAGCATCATGAGCATGAGCAACAGCAGCATGAGCAGCAGCAGCAGCTGCATCATGAGCTGTAGCAGCAGCATGAGCAACAGCATCATGAGCAGCAGCAACAGCAGCATGAGCAGCAGCAGCTGCAGCATCATGAGCTGCAGCAGCAGCAGCATGAGCAGCTGCAGCATCATGAGCAGCAGCTGCAGCATCATGAGCATGAGCAACAGCAGCATGAGCAGCAGCTGCATCATGAGCTGTAGCAGCAGCATGAGCAACAGCATCATGAGCAGCAGCAACAGCAGCATGAGCAGCAGCAGCTGCAGCATCATGAGCTGCAGCAGCAGCAGCATGAGCAGCAGCAGCATCATGAGCAGCAGCTGCAGCAGCATGAGCAGCAGCAGCATGAGCAGCAGCAGCAGCTGCATCATGAGCTGTAGCAGCAGCATGAGCAACAGCATCATGAGCAGCAGCAACAGCAGCATGAGCAGCAGCAGCTGCAGCATCATGAGCTGCAGCAGCAGCAGCATGAGCAGCAGCAGCATCATGAGCAGCAGCTGCAGCAGCATGAGCAGCAGCAGCATGAGCAGCAGCAGCAGCTGCATCATGAGCTGTAGCAGCAGCAGCATGAGCAGCAGCATCATGAGCAGCAGCTGCAGCAGCATGAGCAGCAGCAGCATGAGCAGCAGCAGCTGCAGCATCATGAGCTGCAGCAGCAGCAGCATGAGCAGCAGCAGCATCATGAGCAGCAGCTGCAGCAGCATGAGCAGCAGCAGCATGAGCAGCAGCAGCAGCTGCATCATGAGCTGTAGCAGCAGCATGAGCAACAGCATCATGAGCAGCAGCAACAGCAGCATGAGCAGCAGCAGCTGCAGCATCATGAGCTGTAGCAGCAGCATGAGCAACAGCATCATGAGCAGCAGCAACAGCAGCATGAGCAGCAGCAGCTGCAGCATCATGAGCTGCAGCAGCAGCAGCATGAGCAGCTGCAGCATCATGAGCAGCAGCTGCAGCATCATGAGCATGAGCAACAGCAGCATGAGCAGCAGCAGCAGCTGCATCATGAGCTGTAGCAGCAGCATGAGCAACAGCATCATGAGCAGCAGCAACAGCAGCATGAGCAGCAGCAGCTGCAGCATCATGAGCTGCAGCAGCAGCAGCATGAGCAGCAGCTGCAGCAGCATGAGCAGCAGCAGCATGAGCAGCAGCAGCATCATGAGCTGTAGCAGCAGCATGAGCAACAGCAGCATGAGCAATTGCAGCAGCAGCGCGAGCTGCAGGTGCCGAGGTCAACTCGCTGCCGCCTGCAAGTGCCGCCTGGTGGTGTCGTTGTTCTCCGCCCGCGTTCTCGCGCCAAAACTTCCTGACCGCTGCACGGGGGTGGGTACAGCGGGAACCCGTGGGGCTCGCGAGTCCCGTCATCGTCGTCATCGTCGTCGTTACATGCGTTCTAATAATGATCATCTCCATCATCATCATCACCACAACCACCACCACCACGAGCGCATGGCCCGAGCTGCCCAACTAAAACTTCATTCTCAGCAGCTGCGGTGCTGCGTTGTGTTGCATCATCGCCGTCGTCCTTTATTTCCTTGGAATTAAAATAGCGATCGTCGTCGTCGTTATTATTTATATCTCAACGTGTGCAAGCCTCTCAGGGGCTGCTTCAAAGGTGAGTGTCGCCTTTGCATCGTCAGCCGCGCTCCATCCGCTGCGTCGTCGTCCCTCTCGCGCTCCTCCAATGTGCTCGTCGTCACGACACCACGCGCCGTCATCGTCCACCCACAGCGCTCGTCGCACACGACGCGGACGGCGCGTTCCCTGCCGTGGCCTCTCCTCCTCATCCTACTCGTCTTGCTGCTCCCCTCGTAGCGGTGGAAGCTTTATCCACCATCCCCATGGGGGCATTGACCCCGTGGGGTCATTGGGGGTCATGGACCCCGTGGGGTCATTGGGGGTCATGGATCCCGTGGGGTCATTGGGGGTCATGGACCCCGTGAGGTCATTGGGGGTCATGGACCCCGTGGGGTCATTGGGGGGCATGGATCCCGTGGGGTCATTGGGGGGCATGGATCCCGTGGGGTCATTGGGGGGCATTGACCCCCGTGAGGTCATTGGGGGTCATTGACCCTCGTGAGGTCATTGGGGGTCATTGACCCCGTGGGGTCATTGACCCCGTGGGGTCATTACCGTGAGTTTACAGGCACTCGAGTAATTTCTTTTTAAAGCACGCGAAGATGATTATGGGATCCGTCGTGTCTTCGACCGTTTGAAAGCGCTATTTGTAGGCGATATTTACAATGATCAATAATGTCCATAACTTTGTCAAGTCCGCTTGTCGCATGCAAGCTGCGTGGGTCGTTGGGTTTATTTTGACCATACTTCACCACGCTGGTCATGGGAAGCATGCAAATAATGTTATAGACACAAACACAGCGTGGTAGCTGTCATAAGTGTACAACCCACGTGCTGGATACACAAACAAAACCATTCAACAAATTTCGTCCATAATACCGTGGCCATGAAAGGAAAACAATATATGATAGGCGACGTTTCGAGCAATGACCCTTCATGTCACGTTAATAGATCGACCAGAGACGTAGAGTCTTATGTATGTTGAACTTCTTTCGCACCGTACGTAGCCAAGCGTGCTAATCGGTGGTGCGGGGTAAAGACAACTAAACTAATCACACACAAAAAAACTGTTCTAAAGAAATGAGTTTTCGTTTTAGATTTAAAAATGCGTAGCTCCAGTGGCTTCCGAAGGAAAAGAGCTTCCACCATAGCCGAATGTCATTCTTGTTTGTGTACCTGGAGGCGCAGTGCGTGCGCTAACCCATTCACACACGCACACACTCCCAGGTAAACCAGTTGGGTCACAACACAAGACAAGAAAATGAAACTCCCCAAATGAGGAAATGCATTCGTCTGGTGGGTTCATCATCAGCAGCAACAGCGGCCACGGCCGATCCACTGCTGGATGAAGTTCTCCCCAAAGTCGTCATTGTCTCTCACGGTCCTAGCTACAATGGAACGATAATATAATCGATGTCATGGAAACTATTTGCCAGTATCAAAGTATGAAAAATAAGAATAGGTTTTAACCTTTCTGGCAATACAACAAATGTTCAAACACCTTTTCAAAGGAATCAAGTCTGCATTAGCCACGCGTACCTGTGGTGAACATGCAAATAGACATGCTCTGATAATGATATATGCATTGTCTTGAACATCTTAAAACCTGTTGTATTGCCAGAACATTTTAAAACCTGTTGTATTGCCAGAAAGGGTAAAACACATTCTTATTTTTTATAATTATCTATCTGTCCAACATGCGTATGAGCTGATGCGATGGCTTCATATCCATTGCATTAGACGGCCGTCTCGGGTTCCTTAGAAAAAAACATGCCAACGTTGGCATGTTTCAATCTGATGTAGTCCCCTGCCTAAACCTACGTTTCTTTAACGGCCAAATAACGTTCCTCAATCGATGTGTTTGGTTCCTCTTTAAGTGAAACTTTTAAATGTGCCCTCCACCGCTCCGTGTTTACTTGAAGTTCACACCATGCTATAACTCTTTAATTTTATGGCCCCTGTTGCAGAATTATCTGGACCACAGGGCAATGACGTCTCTGAAATCAAGCTAAGTAAATAGAGTTATCTCAAAGACCGTTGGAGGACAGTAGTTAACATAACAAGCATCTTTGTTCCACCTCAAGCGCATGGGATTTATTTTGGATTTGTGAGGGCCGGGCTACCCTCACCAATTTCCACACTCGACGCTGATTAGGGCCATAGTTTATGTTGTCAAATTAGAGACTGCTATGGTTTTAATCTTATGCAATTATAGTGTTTTAAACCATGTGAAGATGTGTTTTTACGTTTCTGTTATCATCTCCAGCTACTGCTGGATAAATGATTTCCCATGTCGTGTCGGTCCTGCGTTGTATAATAATCCACAAGAGCTGCTTTCATCGCTCTATCTCTACGGTGGATGTATCTCTCGTCTCGGGGGCACATTCACTCCTCTTGACTGCCCATCATTATTCATGACCGCTATTTTCACTGTCGGTAATGGGGGTTGCTTGACAATGCTTCACCACGCCGGTCAGTCAGTTAAGGGGCAGCTCAGAAATCGTTCAAATGTCACTGCGTCACTGATGTCAGTCATGGCCATGAATCAAACTCGGGTCACCGCATTCAGAGTGGAGTGTGCTAACCACTACGCTACCACCACCAACAACAACCACTAAGTGGCGGTGACCTCACTACGCTGCTTGTGCTATGCTCCGTTCACTTTGAGGCCACGTGCAGTGTCGAAGGCCCACTGGCAGGAGGTCATGAAACAGACCCAGGTGCCATGGGTTGACTGAGATGATTGTCAGATGCACCAACTGTGCTCCCCACCCGGCGCTCTGCTTGTTGTGAGCATCGCTCATCTGCCCTCCGTTGTTGCTGGAGTGTCCTTCACGAACCTCCTCCACAGAGGCCGATATTGACACTGCTGGTACCAGTCATCGGCAAGTCCAATCAGCTCCACATCCTTCAGTCCCCATCTCTGCCCCCAAATGACATACAGCCTTCATTAAAATGTAGCAGCGTGTTGGGTAACAAAGGGTTACTTTACGGGATCTCATAAGAAATTCTGTGATATCCCATTCTGCCGGCCATTCGCTATCAACACTCCTTTGTGGAATTCCCTGGGCGGATTCTGGGCTTTGTCTTGAGCACAACTGCATGCACGTAAAGTCTCAAGGTTTGTCACCCTTAAGATTCACGGTTTTCACAATGTCGATTGTCTCACGACCGTGCAATGGCTTCTCACGTTTCGTGGGTGTTTACCAGGTGTAAATAATATATGATGTCCTATTCATTGCAATGTACTGGCAGCTGCTTACAGTTCCTTACAGTCAGTGCCTTATCTTTACACACAGCCTGTAATAAAAAACAGCAGGGAAGTAACAAATATCTAAGGTTTTTATAAATAATAATCTGTATTTATGAAGTGCCTTTTATACAACAAAGGTACAAGGCCCCTTTACACAAATTAGGGTAAAACAAAGCACGAGCAAAGACAAATGTAAAAACACTCATCATAAAAATGAATAAAAAGGACATGTAAATAAAACTGCTAAATAACTGGTGAATAAAATAAGACGGCTAAATGATTGAAAGCGGTCTAATCCTTGATTTAACAAGGGCCACTGAGCGCAAGAGCTCCACAATCGCAGAGCTCATCGTCAACACACACAAATAAAACACATTTTGTCTAAGCGGATGCAGAACATTAGCTACGTGCTTTCTACGAAAATTTCCCCTCTTTTTTGCTCCACACGTGGACTCGACCTTAGTTCCTGCGTCAGAGTTAAAATCTCTCTGTGCCCAGTTTTTTGGAATTACTTTCTCCGTTTTTTGGGTTTCCCCCAATACTTTTTAGTAGGAGTCTCACTGGTTTAAACCTCTTTAACACCTATGATGTAATAGCAATTTAATTGGTGGGGGGGGGGGAGATACAATGCAGTAACAGTGCGTGAATTAGAAAATGATAGTGAACCCATGATCACCGAAATTGCGACATAACTCGGAAAACGAGTCCAATGTAAATTGACAACATTTTAAAAATGAATAGCACTTTCCAAAGGGTCAGATTTCAGCGCAATATAAGCTGTCACCAACCAAACTTGTTTCCGCTGAGGCCACTTGCCATTTCCAAACGAGACGGGTAGAGGCTGTTTTTACATTCAGTCGTAGGCGCAGAGGTAAAGGCAAGCGGTAAAGATGCAGCACTGCAATTAATTATTGACACTGCTGGTAAAAGTGCCTCTATACCGATAGGTCAGTTCAGTTTATTTTGAAATAACCTGTGAGCCAAGAAGCTCTTAAATTGGGTTTAAACAACAGGAACAACACCGTCGCTTCTCTGAAAGTCGCAGTAAAATAAATAAATAATAAGCAATAAGAGAAATAAAAAAATTTGCGAGAAAATCGTAATCGCAATATACAAATTATCTCTTGACTTCAAGCTTTCGTGACTGCAGGAATTCATATTCTTTGGGTCTTTCGGTAAAGTCACGTAGATAGGTTGGAGTTAATAATTTTTGTTTCTTTTATTTGTATTAATTTGAACCTATCTACGTGACTTTACCGAAAGACCCAAAGAATATTCAAATTATCTTTAAAAAATGTTTATAGATGATCATCAAATACCACATTGTGTCTAGAAAAAAATACTAATTTACATCTGCTTCGAGAGGGTATCTTGATTGCTCTTCCACGCTGACCAAATATCTTGGAAGAGCTGAGAGTACCCACGCTTTACCCTACCACACATGACCTGCCTGCAATCATGCAAATTTAAATTGACGGCCTTCGTAGTTACGGATTAGCGGTTACCTGAATGTCTCTGCGAACTCTATTGGTGGGTCAACAAAAACACTTTATTTTACCAGGTAAGCCCCACTGAGCTGTCTGCAGTGGCCGACTGGGACTATAAATCAGCCCAAGCATTTGTAAAAACACCGCCCAAAATTCGGGCCTTAGAGTAGCTAGGTTTGCAATATGACGACGTGTTCGCATGATTTTGCCGTGAGATCTCATTGGACCTATTTGGGGCTGGGTCCAAAAAAACAAATGGGCTGGTGAGGAAGAATCTTTGGGGATGCCGAATATGGGAACTTCATTGAAACTGAAAGCGTAAATAAGCAATGAAGCGTACACAATAGAGTTAAAATGTGTTTTTACTCTGATCACATTTGCAATTTCCTTACACAGACCGGCCCACAAGCTCTTAGAATGGACCGGCCCACCAGGCATTTGTCCGCACTGCCCTATGGTAATGCAGTGGCGTAACCAAGTCATTTCACGGCTGCACCTTCACCTGTATCCCTGTTTACACACAGGTCCCTCCCGACGAGTGATGGCCACCCAAGCTCTGATCCGCAGACAGAAGCCGAAGCTGAAAGTCTGGCTGTCGCGTAATCCGAGCTTCCTGCTGGATGCGCTCGACAGCAAGGAGATTATCCCACGTGACTTCTACCACTCGGCGAATGACATCCAGAATCGCGGCGAGAGGGCTGGCTACATGCTGGACTTCTTCATCGACACGGGTCGGGCGCACAAGCTTTTGGAGGTGCTCAATGACGTCAAAGACGAGTATCCGCAGCTGCTCACGTGGCCGCCACTCTGTAAGCGATGGGCTCGAGTCCTGGGTGTAACTGTGATTTTCCTAGAGATGTTCACATATCCGCCTATGCATCAGTCACCGTGTGACGTGGTATTGTAATAAAGTGATAAGTACAACTTTTTGTTACTCCAATACTGCATGAAGGCTTCTACACGCCATTGTCAGTCTATGGGGTGGTTTCACCGTTCATTACCTCCCTTTGTAAGTCACCATGGATTAGTGACCGTAAATGCACGTAAAGTTCGTGTTGTAGTATGTAATGTACATTAACATCAACAGGTTAACAGGAGTAAGCACAAAGAGGCAGGCCTACATAAGAAGGGGTGGGCCCTGAAAGGAAAGGCATGGAGCTGAAAGAGAAAGAGTAGACCAAGGTTTAATCAGATCAGGTGGGGTATAAAGAGTTGTGGGGCAGGGCATAAAGAGGAAAGAGACAGAGCCTAAACAGGAAGGACAGGTTCCTAAGGCGGGATAGGGCCTACAGAGGTTGATTTGAGGTCATAAACACATAAAATCAATTACATGTGTAATGTAATAGCGCCGGCTGGTGGACAGCAGTGGCAACTGTGGTGGACAGACAGTGCACACGCCAGTGAGGGGTTGTTGGCAGAGCAGAGGAACTGGGGCAAGGGTCATGGAGGACCCCATCTGGAGGCCCTTGGAACCTGCTAGTGGGTTCAAGAAGGGAGGCGCAGTAGCATAACAGGAGCCGAGAGCGGGAGCTCGAGGCTGCCGGTTCTGAGAGTGGACTTGTCTCGTCGTTGCTGTTGTCTCGTCACTGTCGTCGCTGCCATCTCCGCTAGATATTGCGCTATGAAAGATAGTAGTTGGGTATTTCAGTCAGTGCCGTCAGTGTCAAACGGCTAGTGTTGTGTACAGACTAGGCTAAGCTACTGTGGAGAGTGTGTGGACGAGACCGTGGACGTTGCATTTAATAAAGAAGGTGCCTCCTATAAACTCTGTCTCCGAATTGTTGACACTACACATGCACCAGCTAGCAAACCATGAGTGCCGCAGATGCGGCCACAGGCCAAATAGTGTGCATTGAATGTCATGCCAGGCAATGACCCGAAAACACGTTTGGCCAATATCCTTCATCTGCACCTTCTTCAAACAGATGTAGTGAATGCTCCTATTGCGGCTGTGACCCTTAAGGAACAGGCAGAATTTTAGCTAAATTTTAATGTTTTTTTCTCTCTTCAGTCTTCTGCTCGCCGACCATCAACCGCAACTCGGTGAACCCGTGGCTAGAATGCAACGCGGACGGGAGGACGTTGACGGCCACCGAGCTGCACCAGGGCTACCCTGATCACAGCGAACGCTTCGCCGAGTGGAAGGTCGCTCTGTGCTCCGAGAACTTCTCATCGGGCCGCCACTACTGGGAGGTGTGCGTGAAGCAGGCAGAGATTTTCCGCGTGGGCATCGCGTACGCCATCATATCGCGAAGGGGCTCGCAATGTGAGACCTGGCTGGGCCAGAACAGAGCATCGTGGTGTTTGTGCCGGAGGCCCAATGGTTATTTCATGGCGCACGATGGCATTGAGACCCCGCTGAACATTTCGCAGCTGGAGAAGGACAAGATCGGGGTGCTTGTGGACGTGGACCAGGGCTTGTTAAATTTTTACGACGGTAATACCGAGAGTGTGCTGTACATGTTCCGCATCGACCACTCTGCGGGCAGCGTGCACGCCGCGTTCATGGTTGGCCAAGGTTCGATCACGATCGTCGCGTAGCAGGGAGCACTTCCAGAGTGGCCACTGTGAGTTGTGCATCGCATTCACTTTCCGATACTACCATATTCCCAAGGTGATAAGACCCTCCGGAAAGTAAGACGTAACCCCAAAGTTGTGCTTGGTGTCAAGACTATAAGATGCACAGCGACTTATTCTTTGAAATGTGCATCTTTCTCTTTATGATGCAGAACTCTGTGTAATTATGGGCAACTAAAACTCAAGATTCGAACCCATGATCACGGCGGTGCTGGCGCAGTGTTTTGACCCATGAGACACTCGATCACGACAATTTACGCTTGTGAAACGGTCAGCCAAAGTCGTCGCACTTGTTACGACATCCTCTTCGTGCTTATTGACTGCCCAGCGTTGGTGTCAATAAGTGGGCGTGGTAACATCAGCTGAGAATTTAAATATCTTAGGTGGGCTATGGAGAGTTTAAATTAAACTGGCGCCGGTGATCTATGAATATATGAATGGAATGTGGACTATCAGGTTTATTTTGTTAACACAGGTGGCTGGGATTACCACGAAATGTGGGTTATAAATGAATGGTGTCCTGGTAAAAAAAAAAGATTTTCCACAAAATGTGTTTGTCCAGTAAATAGACTTTTGTTGAGGGAAAGCTTTCCATTAAGTGGATGAAAAAGTAAATGGCTAACTTAATTGTGCGGCCATCTGTGGGAGATTATACAGTAAAACTAATCGCCATCATCATAATGCACAAACATCTAAAGAAGGTGATCCCGAAATAAAGACAACTTGGTGTAAAAATATCAATATTACATAGGCATAGCGTACATGCATACACAGCAAACAGATGGCCTCCGCAACAAATAGGCACTCTTAAGACAATACAAGTGACAAAAAACAAATAAACATAGTCCACACACAGCCGCAAACACTGCCTGAGTGTGCGCACGCACACACTGCACGCACACACAGCATACAGCCATAGAGCCCACACAGCACACACAGACCCAGTAAACACAGAACGTTGGTCCAAGTTCCGACCACATGCCCAACGTTGGCATGTCGACGTTGAGCTTTATAATGTCACGGGGTGACCAATAAGGTCTGCATTGGTCTAATAAGGTAGGCACTGATAAGGGGTTGATTCGCGCTCATGGCCAACACCAGTAATGATTTTCTAGACTGGTCCTGGGCCTCCCCTAGGTCGACTCAGCCTCAAATGAGTACAAAGGCGGCCGGCGTGGTGCTGGCCACCTACCCGCTCGTGTGCCGTAGGTGCTACTCGCTAACAGCACTTGCCCCTACAGTCTGCTAAGGCTATACGGGGGACTATTTGGCGTAGTGTGACTGACATCGGCCCTGGTGCAAGTGAATGCAGGTGTGGAGTGATGTGCGATTAATTGCACGGATGATATTTTACCTGTCTCAATGTACTAGACGGGACTGGTATAGATTGAAGTATGGCTCCTCCACTCACGGTGCATCAAGGGGTGGGGCGGGAGGAGGGAGCTGCTCTTCGTCTGATGTTACTAATGTGAGATTAAATAGAACACTGCCTTTCGTAGCAGATAAGTGATTGCACTATGAAGAAGGGCCGTTGCCCGAACCGTCCCCTATTATGTTTCCTTTTAAAGCAGCTAATGACTAAAGTTTTTTTTATTTGTGCTTCTGAACCACTGCCATTACACAGCGTCACCAACTTATTTGTTTTATTGTGAGATAGGTGGTCATAGTCCGATGTTAAGATCGGGATCGTGGTGATTCGCGTTGGGAAATGTGTTTATGTTCGATGGCGTTCAACTTATCAGTGGCTGCGTGAGCCGCATGGCTAAAATTGCTGCGGTTCGTGTTACAATTTATTCATATCTCACTTTTATTTCTCGCGTTTCGCCTCTCCTTCAACTCCACTGGCTTCCCGTTTACAACACCGCTCTCGTTTTAAATACCTGACGGTCGTCTTTAAATACATCTCCATGGCCTTGCCCGACCTCATCTTTCCACTCATCCCCTTCCATGTCCCCTCCATTCGTACTCTTCATTCCCAATTTTCTCTGCCTCTCTCTGTCCCACCTTTTCCCCTGTGCCCAATCCCGTGTTCGGTCCTTCTCCCTCATTGCACTGCTCCATTGGAATGCATTTCTCTTGTACATTAAACAGCCGCCCTCATTAACCTCATTCCGCTCTTCTCTATTGAAAAAATTTCTTCCTTTTCCCTCCACTCGCCCCTCCACGCCTTCACGTCCATTCACGACCCTTTCGTGACCCCTAAGTACCCCTCTATCGCTCTCACTCATTCCTCAATCTTTTTACGCTCCTGCCATCTAAATCATTCCATTATGTTACCGTTTTGTCAAGCGTCTTGAGTGAAGCCGCTCTATAAATATAATATAGATTAAATATTCGTTGCGGCGGTTGTGATCCCACTCGTATGTGTCGTTATGTGGACTTTGCAGTTTTGAACAGAAAACCCAAGACTTCGTGAATCGGTTGTAAAATAAACTTTTTTTATTGTTTCATAGCTCCGTCTCACTGAGTTGTCTTTGCAATGTGGTCTCGTTGCTGGGCCGGATTGAGTTTTATGGGGGGCTGGCTCTCTTTGTATATTTGTATATTCAGTTTCTTCCCTGAACTGTTTTACTACCATCCATGCCTGATGCAAAACACTAATTTATTTTTACCTTGTTTATTCCAGTTTTAGATTTGTCTATATTAAATACGAATCAATATAGAACGAATTTAATTTTGGCACTTAGCCAGCATTAATACACAGTGATGTTTGTGTGTGTCTCAAGGGCCGTCCATAAATGACGTCACGCACCTAGGGGGGGGGTCAGACATTTGTGACGATGTGTGACGATGGAGGGGGGGGGGTTGAGAAATGTGACGTCACATCAAAATGCGCAACTTTAAATAAATATAGACAACACGTTCTACTTAATTAAATAGACTTTTTGATAAATGTTTTCTCCTACAATATCAGAGTGCAGCGCCACATTAAATACGCACTACAATGACAATAGTTTAAAGCGATTTGAAGCATGTTTTATTTTAAAAATGGAAATATAGTTTTTTGGGGGGGCGGGACAGAGCTTTGTGACGTCATATTCGAGGGGGGTCTGACTTTTTGTGACGCCGTGTGACGAGGGGGGGAGGGGTGGTCAAAAATCGGCCAAAATCGCGTGACGTCATTTATGGACGGCCCCTTTTGTGTGGTAATGTCTCTATGTGCGTTCGTGTGTATGTCTAGTGACATATGACGTCACTACTGTGTCGGGTCTGTACGAGCGTAGTGACATGACGTCACTACCGTGTTGGGTCTGTACCGGTACTGTAGGCGGGGTGTCACTGAGGTCACGTCAGGCCGTGACACTCCGCGTGAACCCGACAGGACACGTGACCGGACGAAGGGGGGCTCGGGGCCCCAGGGGGGAGCTTGGTGGTCACGTGGTAAGGGGCCCGAACCTTCCCGAAGGATCGCGAAGGGGGGCGTGGCCGAGGGCGGGGCCAGGGGCCCCAGGGGGGAGCTTGGTGGTCACGTGGTAAGGGGCCCGGACCTTCCCGAAGGATCGCGAAGGGGGGCGTGGCCGAGGGCGGGGCCAGGGGCCCCAGGGGGGAGCTTGGTGGTCACGTGGTAAGGGGCCCGGACCTTCCCGAAGGATCGCGAATGGGGGCGTGGCCAGGGGCCCCAGGGGGGAGCTTGGTGGTCACGTGGTAAGGGGCCCGGACCTTCTCGAAGGATCGCGAAGGGGGGCGTGGCCGAGGGCGGGGCCAGGGGCCCCAGGGGGGAGCTTGGTGGTCACGTGGTAAGGGGCCCGGACCTTCTCGAAGGATCGCGAAGGGGGGCGTGGCCGAGGGCGGGGCCAGGGGCCCCAGGGGGGAGCTTGGTGGTCACGTGGTAAGGGGCCCGGACCTTCTCGAAGGATCGCGAAGGGGGGCGTGGCCGAGGGCGGGGCCAGCCACGCCACGGCGGTTATAAGCGGGGTGTGAACAGAGCGCGTGGCTGTTCAAATCCGGGATGAAGACGCCATCAGCGGTCCTCGAGTCTCCAATCTTCGTCCGTGACCAGGCAGCCTGTTAACCTGCCCTGGTCACGTTATGTAGTATTCCCTCGAGTGTTAGTGAGATCAGGAACGGTGGTCACCACCTTAAATATAGTGTTCAAGTTGTTTGTTACATTGTTAATAAATAATGTTGCCTCCAAGTTGAGTATGTGCCTTAATCGAATCCATTACATATGTATCTGTTGTGTGCTTTGTCGGCCATAATAGGCAGTGGCAGGCCGTGTATTTTACACCTCGGCCTTCGCCTTCAGTGCTATCCTCCCGCAATTAAACCGCCTTTGAATAACCTCACCATGACACACGGCTATAGAATATTGTCATTCGATGTAACCACCCCATATTCACAGTAACTTTTATCGAGTGGACTAAAGTGATTTAACACGAGGCTCAACACCTATGAGAGTTACAATACACTAATTGCAGAGGTCATGAATACATGGTGACTGAAACCATCAAGGATGTACCACTATTATGCAGCATGACAGGATGCTGCATCACAAATCGACATCGCATAGCCCAAATCAATGTCATTACCAAAGAAACAAGAACAAACTCACAACAGTCACATTTACTCATACGACCACCATGCAAGCAAAAATTCCGTAAAACACAACACAAGGATTCAACAGGCTTCCCCACAGAAAAAAAAATCTAAAGCACTACATCTAAAAATCTAAACGCCATGAAAAAAAGTTTAAATAAATCTTAAGATGATGCTGCATTACGTGCTAGTTAGTTTTACTTCAGTTAGCTAAGTGGCCCTCCGATTACGCCACACGAGAAATGCTAATAGTGGCGGCGAGGCCAGCTAGAAGGCTCCGGCGTGTCAAAGAACATGCCCAACACGGCAAACTCGACATCTGATTGGTTAAAGAATATGACAACAACATCGTCCCCATTTGCTTCAACAGCAGAGGGGATTCACTCGACATCCTGAAGGCCTCGGGGTACATTTTTCACCCGGGAGAGGTGGAGACAGCACAGGTGGAAAATCTGATTGAATAAAAGCTCGAATTTATTTGCGGCACTGGAAGCAGCACAACTGAGGGAGAGAGTAGCAATGAAATTACATTAATAGACTGATGGGAACGAACTTTGTAAAATACATATAGCATTAATGAAAATATATTAAATTATAAACGTATAATTTTCTGATTCTGACAATCTCTAGGGCAGCAGAGAAGGCCTTGCTGGTCCTGACGGCCCGCCTCTGATAATTATAATAGGTGCTCGCTAACAGTATGTTGTTTAAAAGGCCATGTGGGGGATATTTGTCGTTGTCTATTTGTGACTGCATCTTTGTGGAGGAGAGTATTTGCATGTGATTGTACACGCGTGTTTTTGGTGTGTTGATACGTGTGGAACAGGTTTGCAGATTTTTCTGAGCATTTCTGTGAGTTCTTGGGGGGAGGGGAATCCCTCAGCCCAGAAAACATAATGGGGCAAAGTGAGGATGACCCTGCTGAGGTTGTGGTGCCTCACATATTGGAAGAAGTAGTCACCCCCTGTGAGTGGCTGGCTGAATTTCTATCTGTTGAGGAAATACGGAAGGCGATCCAGCGTCTGAGATAAGGAAAAGCACCGGGCAGAGATGCTCTCCCACACGAATTGCTGAGGGGAGGGTGGCGTTGGTGTGCAGACTGTCCTACATGACATCATAACAGTCTGGACCACTGGACGGGTTCTGCAGGATTGGAAGGATGCCCTGGTGGTCCCCCTCTCAGATGGGGGACCGAACAGACTGTAGAATCAGCCGGACATTTACACAATCCCCATGCGTAACTTCCCTTACAGAATTGGAAATGCAACGAATCTTTGGCTACGAAATCTATAGAATTGCGTCGGTCTGGTACTCGCATACCTGTCAACCCATACGGGTTACCTGTATTATTGTACAGGGAAATTGAGTTTTCAGCTCCATACGGCATACAGCCGTTTCTGTTTATCCCTTGTGATGGGACTTTGTCGGATGAACGTTGAGATTTATAAGGCCCCGGGTTAACCAATAATGTCTGAATTGGACTGTAATAAAGTAGGCACTGATAAGGGGTTGACAGGCATGTACTCGGTACCCTGGTCTTGTTTGCCATGGCGTTCTTTATTTTATTACAAGGCTGTCCATACACAAGAGCTTTAGTACATTAGATTGCACTATATATAGCCGAAGTGACCGATCGGCATCACATCAGTTTTAAAATAACGCACAGCACACATTACAATGACAGCATTCCTTTTATTATAAGCAATTTTATTTATTTTAAAAATAAAGGTGACTTTTTTTTACAAGCCAAAATTGTAAACTTCATCGACATGCAGTTATTACGTGAATGAACTTTGTTTTCACCCAAATCAAGCAGAATTTCATCAGAAGGTAGTCGCAGTGATAAGTAGAACCGGGTTTAAGATGGTCAACCCACAAAACAGTTTCCTTTTAACAACACGTTACATTGCACCGCCTTAATAACTAAGCAGTCGTATACTTGCGTACAGCTGTTTGGCAGATGCAAAATATGGCTCTCTGATGGTATGTGCTTAGACCGCCATGGTTATGGCATGAGCTCCCAGCAAACAGGAAAATGTCAGAAAATTCAGTTCCTGAAGAAGATCCCAGCACGTGGAGCGACATGTCGGACATCATTCCAAACAAGTCGGAGAGCTATAAAGCAAGCAAAACCGCAGAAAGCTTTGCAGCAGAAGGAAAACTCGAAGCACCCAGAGGTTTGGACTGTAAGTGGCAGGGAATGGGAGGAAATAAATGCAAAAGGGCACGTGTGCCGCTGTGGTTAAAGATGAACAATTCGAAGGTCGTGAGTTAAAAATCAAGACAGGGGTCGACTTGGCCCTTCATCCCTTGACGATCGATGAAATGAGTACCACTTGGGTGAGAAATTATGTGGTCGTCTCTTGAACGAATTTGTCCTGTACGCAGGAATGTGGGGATTTATACCACTGGCTCGGGACCGGCAGTGGTGATACCGCAATGCCTTATTCTCAGTTAAGTGTGGGAACATGATAACCGACTTAATGATCTGCTCATATATTCAGGTGCAAACAAACGATAGTTAAATTACAGCAGAAACCGCAATAATTTGCAATCCAACAATCTGTGAATCCCTTTAATATGGTCACGAACAGATTATTGAAGTGGGTGGGGCTAACGTCTGCAGAACAGAGCCGCAAGGAAATCGTGACGTATATTAGCTCCCCCAGGGGGTTGGGAGTGGGCCGCCCCCAAGTATGACATGGCTTGTGAAGGGGCTGGGGGAGCCTCGGTCGGTGTGCTACTCTACATTCCTGGGGCCGCCCACCGTCAAATCTGGAAACAAGCATCATTCGGTCAACTAAAACATAACAGATATAAAACTGTTTTTGCATTGCCAAATATTACCAAACAATTAAAACACATAATTAATCCTGCATAATAGGTAAACATGCACAGAACATACGCTAAAGATGTATTCGCAATATAGGGCCAAGGTTATTGGTCTTAAAAGCAAAACACTTAATAAAGAGTTCAGGAAAACAAGAAAAATATAAAAAATAAACCCAGTTGGAAATGTTTGTGCTTTATTAAAGCACAACGGGAATATCGCGACACCTAAGGTGTCTTCTACTCTGACTATAATGCACACCAGGTTTATGTTACAGCATTTTAAATGTACTGGATATTGCGTGCATCCTCTACACAAAGCGTGCACAATTAATAAACTACTGTACACCATATAACTCGGTGTTTACAAAAAATCTCTTATAAAATAGATATTTTGCTGTACATCAATATAAATAATGTTGCGGTCTCTTTGGGCATCACTGTAATCCAGTAAGGCCACAAAGCGGAGGGCACACAGCTTGTGGGATGTTTGGTACTGGGTCCCACCAGGGCAGTTTTGCCACCACGGGAACTTTCTACCCACGATGCCGTAATGGAAGTGGTATCTCTACCCAATCACTTCACATTAGAAATCTTGTAGTTATTGCAAGTTAAAGGCACTCCCCCTGCTCAAAAGGGAGTAAGGTGGTGCTTATTTCAACTACCAGAACTGAGCCAGTGGTGGAAATGTTGCTTTGTAAAGGCGGTTGCTATGTCTCTCCAAAGGATGACTACTACCGACTGCCTTCCCACAAAGTGGTACCTATTTTTATCAAACCCATCAGGATGATTGGTTGAGTCGACCCACAACTAGGGAATTTAACTCGTAATAAATTTGATTGCGAGTCAAATTACTCTACCACAGCACTACCCGGCTGATTTAAAATGTCAACGCTACCACAACTCATCGACACGATGAGCATTCTTAAAATGTGGGACATCATAATAAATAGGCAATGAATGATAAACTTTCAGCAAGTTATACATAATGCTAATGAGCTACTCTTGGTCAAATACAAGTTATGCATGATGAGATGGTTGTATTTTTGTTGATCCATGAAGAGCACACACTTGGCACCACAATATCAACATAAAACTATCAACTGTTTAAAAATACCACTGGTGTAAAGTGCCGATGTGTGTGTGTGTATTCATATATACCGATTATAACAACCATGTTCACCACTAAAAAATCAACATCACATTTGATCAAAAAACACACGCATTTACAGCCAGATGACCTTTACAGCCCGTGGGAGTTGCGCGCACACCATGCTTTGAATCGGACGCTAACAAAACCCCTCGGTTCATTGCGTGAAAATCGGCATCTGAGCCTGGTTCGATTTGCCTGGGCTTACGCGGTAGAAGGGAGGGGTGGGAGAAAGCGCAGAGTGAACATCTGCTTCCCAACTTCACGAGTCTCCCATCACAACGCCCACCACCGCCATGGGGGGGTGGGGGGAGGTGTACAATGTCCGTGCTCAGAGTCGGAGAGCAGGCGAGCTTCCGCCATCACTCGCGGGAGGCTGCCCGGGTAGTCGCGAGACCCTCAGTGGTCAGTCCGCGACGATGGTCACGATCGCCATGACGCCGATGCCACACAGGATGAACAGCAGCTGCCACAGGGAGTCCCTGCGGAGCATCGAATGGGGTGGGGGGCAGGGGAGACCGTTGGAGGTGGTGATGCATGGGGAGGTAGAACAGCAGAAGTGAATGTCGCGAGGATGGTAAATTCCCAACACAAACTCAAAAAAGTCGAAGCGTCTCCCCTTGCTCAAGTGAGCATTGGAATGGTGCTCATCTCTACTTGTGGCCCGGGGCAAGTGGTGTAAATTCCACATTCTAATGGCAGGGACCAGTTTACCAAGAGACTGTCTATTACTCTTTGGTGCTTTTGGTAAAGTCACGTAGATAGAGAAATAGCTAATGGATCACGACGTTTCAATAGCAAAACACAAGCCATCATCTTCAGGTGAAACAATACAGCAGGTGGACTGCTGAGGCAGGAGGAAATGTAGCGAGAGAGCTACTGCAACCAGAGGTTATATAGGTTTGTGGTGGGTACAACCCAAGGGTAAGTGGTCGGGGCCAGGGTTGCGATTTCCGCATGGAAAATGCGGAAGGAGGGTTCAAATTTTCCCGCATTTTTGCTAAAGTCAACCGCAAACGGTGGAAAGACTACTCCTATGACCGCGCGCTTTTAACAACACGTTAATGCGTTCTATTGGAAAGGATACATGCAAGGCCCAGCATCACGTAGGGCTTTGAGTTACTGATTGGAATGAATATATGATTTCCGCATTTCCGCACAAGAACCACATACTTTATTCAAATGCGGAGCCGTGATTACGAGCACATGTACATGATGTATCCTTTCCAATATAACGCATTAACGTGTTGTTAAAAGCGCGCGGTCATAGGAGTAGTCTTTCCACCGTTTGCGGTTGACTTTAGCAAAAATGCGGGAAAATTTGAACCCTCCTTCCGCATTTTCCATGCGGAAATCGCAACCCTGGTCGGGGCTAGGGATGGAATTTGCAAGTAAATGTAAGGCGAGCAAATGTAAGGCTAGTAAACGTCAGCTAATTAAATTTACAAACGGAACAAGGTGATAGAAAGAAAAAAAGATATCAAGGTCGACTCAGCCTCAAATGAATACCTGGTACAGTGTGTAAACATGAGCATTGGAGAGACAAAGGCGGCGGGGCACGTGTGGTGCTGGCCTCCCACCCCCCCTGGTGTGCTGTGCCGGCCTTACAAGGTCCTCGCTAACAACACTTGCCCCAAAATTCTGTTGAAGTCTATCAGGGGTACCTTTGTGCTCTTCCTATGGATGGACAGGCAGTGTGTCAAGGTGTGTGCATCACGGTGTGCGTGGGTGGCATCAGTGCACGCACCACGGGTTTTTTTCCTGCAGCAACTCCGGCATGACCCCGACGAGGGCGATGTAGAGGAAGCCGCCCGCTGTGAACGGGAGGATCCAGGCGGTGCTGTCTCCTGTGCAGGCGACATGGGAATGCCACTCGCTGTCAGTGCAACAGGGCGACGGGTGCATGGTGACCTCGAAGGTCAACGGCAAGAGGTCACCACATATTGCAATCTTTTCGTTTTGCTAAATCCCACAGCTGTTGCAAAATGTAAAGGGGAGAGACAGAAGAATGAGATTATAGGGGAGAGGTAGGGGTGTGCACGGAGGGGAGTAGAGCGAGGTAAGCGGGGATTGGTAGGAGAGTGCGCGGAGGGAAGTAGCCACAATAAGACAACCACGACTCGCCCCATGTTACAAAGACAAACCCACACACGCACAACCGACCTGCTCCCTGTGCGGACTGGGCGGTGAGTGTGAACACGGCTCCACAGATGCCCCCGAAAGCGGTGATGAGCTGCAGCTTGGCCGCCTGCCATCGGTCAAACCCGGCCCTCAGTAGAATGGCGAAGTCTCCGACCTTCACAGACATACAGTCGCCATAAACACAGTTACAACAACATGGATCAAGTTGTTTCCCGTCGGTTGCATGCCCTGTCAACATACACGTCAGACAAAATATCCCATGCCTGTAAACGGAAAATAGGATGGCGATCATATCAATTAATGTCCTTCAGCCAGTGGTGAAAATCCATTGGACGTAGAAAAATCCACATCGCCATGATGTAGGAGATGCATTTCACAGGACAACCAATCTTGGTTGCCAAAAAAGGTGTACATATTTTCTTGACAGGATATTTCACAGACATCAGAAGTTTCTAATCTAAAACTATAAACTTTTATTTTACCAGGTCAGGCCCACTTGCTAAACAGCTCTTTTTCAGAAGCGACCTGGCCACAAATGATAGACCAATGAAGTGGCTTGTCATGTGGAAATTTATAGGACCAAAATACTCTAAACGCATTGTTTCTAAATGTGGAGGTTAAAACCAGAGAACCTGGAGAAAAATCCAAGCGACAACGGGGAGAACACACAGGTGTTAGGTGTTGGGCTCGAACCCACGACCTCCTGTATACCACGCGAGGTAGTTAACATCTCGCCACTACAGCGCCATATAGATGAGGAGATTTACCTCATATTTGATTGGTACGCGTGGAACTGTCTCAACCTAACCGCTGCGGCCACTAGAGGCTCCACAACGACAGCAGATGAGCTTCCACCGTCACTCATGGAGGCTGCATGGGTCAACCGAGATGCTCGGTCAGTCCACAATGAACAGCAGAGGCTCTTTTGCCACCATGGAAAAAATGCAATAATTGCCTCTTGCATTGAACTTAGACCCTGAATGGTAAGAATGTATTGAGTTGCGAGGTGAGGAGTGGGTGGGGGAGAGAATCATTGTGCTTGTGCACTAGTGCACTAGTGCACAAGCACAATTAACAATACAATTTGAACACATTCGTGATAAACACTGTGGCCTTAAAAGCAAATATATATCATAGGTGACGTTTTGGAAACTGCACTCTACGCCATGGATGGACCACGAAGCACGGTGGTCCATCCTGGTGAATCTCAACAGGTTCCGCAATCCACCAAAAAAGCTACGACCAACCATTACCCGATTGAACCCTGTATTATATATGGACATAAAGTACGCGCACGTGTGTATGTTGAACTCTTTCGCACCGTACGTAGCAAACCGTGCTCATTGGATACGGTCATAGCGCCACCTATTGGTAGACGTTATGAGAGCCCGTGTTAAACAGAAGTTACGTTGTTAACGAATTCTTAGGGATTATTTGCCGTTAAGCCATAACAAAAATTGGCGTCTGCTTATATTAGCGTTTAAAAAATAAAATCCTGAGATAGACAAAGAATATTTTGCGATGCATCTGTGGATGGCGAGTCACTTGTTGGTCACCAATGGCGGAGCCAGGATATTCAGGTCGGGGGGGCAACCCCTCCAGCAATGAAAAATGATAGGAGTTGTTAATAAGTAAGGACTTGTCCCTTGCTTTTTATTCGACGCGTGTGCGGCGATGGCACAGCCATCAATCGAGGGTCGAATTTGAATCGTGTGTGATCAGCATCACACTCGCTGAAGGTGTTTGCCTTCAGGGAAGTCGTGTACTGTGTACGCAACTGCGCAGAATTCTGTGAGTCACTTATAACTGATTTGCCATTACTTATTGCCAATTATGGACTCAGACCATTGTCCTATCATCTCACAGAGTCTCTGGCATGTAATAATATGCTACACAGTGGCAGTGGGGGTCGCAAAATGCCGATTTATTACTAATAAATCCCAATGATCCGATCGAAATTAGGGATTTCGATCAGATCATTGGGGGGGCACGTGTCACCCCACCCCCCTCACTGGCTCCGCTAGTGTTGGCCACCACCGTCTTAGTAGATATTGAATGACAGACTAAACCCTTCGATGACCAGAACGTTTAAATGCATAAACTCATTTGTATTTAAAGCCAATTTTAAAAATATAAACGCTCACTATTAGATGACTTACCTCGTGCGGGATCTCGTGCAGAAGAATTGCAAGCGTCGTAAGATATCCAACCTGGAGAGACAACCACAACGTAAATACCAACACATTCACCACACGTGTCATATTGGTGACAAGGCTGCTGTGCCACATTGACTGGCATTGCAGGTGTCTTGGGACCTGGTCAAGACATCCGTGTGGAATTTTATTTGTTGGTGAGATACATTAGAATCTACACAGAGAGACCAACGATGAAGTTGCAGCCAAAAAAAAAAACATGCCCAAGAGTACATCCATCGCGAAGATGGAGTTAATGAGATGAACTCATGTGCAGCAGCTGGACAAATTGTTGCATTGCAAGACAGCGAGAGATGACAACCGCCTTGGGGGAGGCCTTCATCCAGCAGCGGATTGACCATGGTCGGCAACAGTGGTTAAGAAGACAGGGTTGCGCAGGCAGGCATGTGCGGCACACACAGAGGGCCTCTGTGGGCAAAGCCACAGCAGCTAAAAGCTCTTTTCACTTCATTCATGTTAATAGTCAAATGAAAACATGTTTTAAGAGTCTGCACCGGTAGCAGTTAAACATTTTTTTCGCAACTTCATAATTAACGGAGATATATATATATAAACAGTCTGATATTTTAGGCAAACGTTGCCCTACAATATATATATTTTTTCGTAATTATTCTGAATGAATAGATTTTCTTTCGTAAGACGACAGCATGAATGATGAAGGTAGCGAATTATCGTCATGCTTCTTGTCTGAGCGTTCCTGGGTTAGCGTTACGTGAACACTCAAATAGTCTGACTGAAAAGTCCTAGTTCTCATTGCACTTGATTCATAATCAGAATGGTTGGGGGTCAACTTCGCCTATACTTTCTCTGGGGAAGTAAAATGAGCACCACTTTCTGGCAAGTCAACAGTGATCATTCTATGGTTAAACCAGACCCCACAATAAGAATGTGGAATTTCCAACACTTGCCTCAGTCCACCTATGACCAAATCCCTCAGAATGTGCCCTATCTCTTCAGATATTGTAAGCTGAAGCAGGGTTAATCCCGAATAGTGCTCGGATGGACGACCACCATGCACACAACATCTTGCTAGCTGCTGCTGCTGCAAGGCTACGTTGTCAGCAGAAGGTAATGCAGCAAATCCACTGTGGCACTGTACTATACTATGTTATCGGCGTCATCACCAACTCGCACCAATCAATGTGAAGTATGGTCCAATAACCCCGTTGACCTACTCAGTGTGGTGAGGCCCTCATCTGTCAGTTGATTGACCAAACGGCTGTGCATGCTTAGGGTCAAAGGAGAAGAGGACCACTGCATTGCTCAGTTAATCTGGGAGAGACTTAGATTGAGCACGAGTGCAGTGTTGTGCAAATCCAAGAAGTGCGAGTGGACTGGTCATACACTGTCCCTAGAGTTTCAAACATTGTGCTGCAGGGGACATGAGATTCTTACCTTGTGGCTCACCAGGAAGCTCCCTGCTACCGCCAGGCCGTGTGTGAAGTTGTCCACGCAGTTCGCAAAGAGATTCAGGTAACCGCTAATCTGTAACCCAGACAGTGAAAAGGTAAAGCTGCAGCCCTTCAACTGCGTGCTCACGCGACTGCTGCTGGAAGGGCTCCGCTAGAGAAAGCTCTCGGCAGCCCTTATATACAGGGACGAGTCTTACGAACATTCGACTTGCAAAGTTTCAGAGATACGAACAAACCTGTCTGTATGTCCAGTTGCCTGTTGGGACCGAGAGTCGTAAGTTCAACCACCACGCAATAGATGGCGGTAGTGGCATCTACATCTGCAGAAAATGAATAACCAGTGGTATCCACATCTACAGGCGATTATACAACTTTTAAAGCCATTTCCCATGTTAAGTGTACATGCCGTATAACATATTTGGAATCGACAGGAGTAAAGTTGGACTTATGAAAAAATCGACTTATGAACAGACCTCTGGAACCTAACTCGTTTGTAAGTAGAGGAGGGTGTTTGGCTTATTCTTCCATGCTGGACAGACGTCTTTGAATAGGTGGGAGTACTCGCACTTTAGCCCAAGATACGCGACCTGCCGATCGACTGACTGTGGTGTAACCATTAAAACTGCTGGGTGGACAGAAGTGGTGGACCATATACGAAAGTTGCACCGTTGTTTCAACTTTCCCACTGAGATCGAATGGAACTGGCAACCTCGAGATTGCTAGTCCAGTGTGCTAACCTTTACACCACGGCAGCATACCTAAGCAACATAGTAAAGGAACCAAGACAGTAAGCAAAAGTGGTTCATTTAAAATTCAGATAATTACAAGCTGTGGAAGTGGCCATTGCATTGTTAGAGATTAGCATGTCAATGTAAAAAAAAAGAACAACACGAAAATCACCGCCACATCGAGGAAAACGAGCAACGGTGGCTGTGTTAGTGAGACATTTAGCCTGTTAATGTAAAGACATTTAACCTGGTAATGTAACTCAGAGAGTCGAAAATAACTGCTAACATCGGCAGGTAGGATGGAAACATCACAGCCAGTTATGACTTAAACTGGTTAATAACGTCCTTCCAGCGATTGCTCAGTTTGCACCCATCTTCTAGGTTGAAATTGTGTTTATATATCTGGAGGGCTTCATGAACGAATCTTTGCTGATAGCCAGTAGGTTTGCAGAGTACCTTCGTCTTGGAAACATCTATTTCGTGTGAGCCCACGGCGTTAAAACAATGATCAGCCACGGCCGAGGAATTGGTCCTACCGTGTTTCAGATCTGCTTTATGTTCACGAACACGGTCCAAAACATGTCGCTTTGTTTCCCCAATGTAACTACTGCCGCAGACACAGCTTAGTTTGTAGAGACCGGGGTATTGCATGTCAGGGATCACATCCTTCACAGATAGGATCAGATCACAAATTGTATGTACTGTGTTGAATCGAACCTGGATCTTGTGTTTGCTCATGATTTTGGTAAGTAAAATGTGACTCAACATCTCAGCCTATTGGCTGAGATGTTGAGCAGACTTTTTGATAAGTAAAATGTGACATTAAATTTTCCAAATAGTTTTTTTTTGCGGTTTATAAACCTAGCTAGAGAAGCAAGAAGAACTCTAAGACACACACGGATTCATGGACAAGGTCATACCTGCCAAAACATATACAAGTTACTGTTTAACCACCACCTTTGGCATCCACACACAACCTCCGTAAAGCAGTGTGCAAACAGATGGAAGGAATAACAAGTGAATAAAAGCCATCAAGAGTGACTGTAAAGTCTCTCCCTGGTTTAAAAAAAAAACACCTTCATGACGTCTATGACCAGATCAACCAGAATGTTGCCCAATCTCTTCAGATCTCAGAAGCCAAGCAGGATTTTGGGCCTGGATGGTGCTGCATAGTGCTTGTGAGGGCGAGCACCATGCATAAAGATAGGTGTCATGGACTGATGCAGTGTGAAGTACGCAACAACCCGCACAGCGTCAGGAGGGCCTCCTCCAGCAATGGAGGGACAAAACGGCTGGACATGTACAATTGCCAATTTACATGACATTACGTTACAACTGCTTTTTGTGTTCAGTTAGTCGTCCTTCACCTGCACCTTCGATAAGCACGGTTGGCTACGTACGGTGCGAGAATAAGTTCAACCTACATATATAGATACATGAGATATACCGTAAAAAAAGGACATCTCAATTACGATTTGACACCCATGCTTTCCTGCACCTACACTTCAACGTTTCATCAGTAACTTTTCCAGCTGCAATTCCTATCCTTTCTGTGGAGTCCTTCCACATTTCCTGGCTTAGATTTGTAACTGTAGACTCTGACCACCTCTTAACGCTGTTAAAACATTTGCTTCAAATGTACATGCTTGTAATGTCCTCACCGATATGGATTCAACCCCCAACAAAAAAAAAACATTTTAGAATTCGTAAACATTTTCATTGACTGAGCGTGTAAATATGTGCATTTGTTTACTTATTAAAGGACAACAAAAATAGTGAGGCACTTTGCAATGAATCTGGTAAAAAAAATCAATATTAATAAACACGCCGCCTTGCTGCGATCGAATATCATCATAACCGTGAATTATATCATCCTTCTTGGGCACTTAAAGTGAGTACCACTGTGGGTAAACAGACCACTGCCATGGGAATATGAACTTTTCATCAATGGCTCGAGGAAACCAATGGACATGAGCATCACCCATTGCTCATTTGAGCGAGTGACACCTTGGCTTTGAAATATGCGGTTTCTAAAAGACACATGAAGGAAAAAAAATAACACGTGAATTAAATCCAAAACCACGATTTTTGTTTTACCAGGTAAGGCCCACTGAGCTAAATGGATTCTTTTCAGAAGCGACCTGGCCACAAATGATAGCTCGACAAAGTGGCTTATCACGTGGAAATGTAGATCACCAGATATTCTCAACGCATGTTGATTCTAAATGTGGAGGGAAAAACAAAGAGGACCCGGAGAAAAATCCACGTGACTATGGGGAGGACATGCAAACTCCAAATATACAGACATCTCGCCACCGTGGCGCCCCGTAAATAAATCTACACCAGGCATGGGAAACCTTTTCCATAATCAGGACTGACTACAACTCTTAAATACCATAACGTGAAAAATAACGCGGGTGTTGACCAAGTATAGAGAGGCCCTTGAAGCCACAGAAATTATTTGAGTACAAAAAGTAAAAAACACAGTGTTGTTGCCAGGTCGGACATATTTCCCTCTAAGCAACCCGATTAGTGTGGCTAAGATGCTTGAAGTAGCGGATAAATGTCGTTTAAAGGCCGTTTCGTAGTGAGAAATAATGGGCCGGGCCATATGTTCACAATCCCTGATCTACACAAACAAACATCGTCACCTTGATGTGCTCAGATGTCGCCTTGCCGGTGGGTGACAGCTCCCTTTTACTGGCACTCTTGCTTTGGCCATTGGAGATCGCCGATCCATTCCCGATGGTGCCGTTCCCTTCTCTTGAATCGACGCCATTCCCTTTTGAAGCGACGCCATTCTGACAAAGGGAAAAAATAATGAAACACTTAATTTCTTAAGCACCAAGGTCACTGCTTGCGATTTATCACCATCGCACATGGCAATGCATGCGAGTGTTCACTGTGCGCGACAATCGAACTGCACTTTGTGCTGGTAAGTATACAGTCAATACGTGTCAATATATGGTGTGTACGTGTAGGTGTTTGCAGCATGCCTGTATAACATACGTGTATGCACAACTCAAATTACGTGTGTAAACTGTGTATGTGCTGCGTCCTGTATAATACATGTGTACATGGATCATGTGTGTAATTTATAGGTGCTTGTGCACCTTGCCTATTAAAATAAATAATGTGTATGGTAATGTGTATATGCATAGAGGAGCGGTGGTGCAGTGGTTAGCACACTGCACTTCGAACCCAGCCACCCGAGTTAATTTCTTGCTCACGACTAATAACAGTGGAGAATATTTGAACCATTCCTGCTCCTCCCCTAGGTCGCCTCAGCCTTAAATTAGTACCTTAAATGAGTGCCTGGTGTGGTGTGTAAACATTAGGACTGGGAAGATACCGCGCCCGACAGCCGGGCGTGGTGTTTTCCACACACACACCTCATGTCCTGTGCCAGTCTTGCCAATAGCAGTTTCCCCATGCATCTGTCAAAGGTTATACGGGGTATTTTGTCTTTGTTGTACTGCATGTGCATAATGCCTGAATGAGGTACGTGTGTATGCATGCATATATGTACACACGTTGGCTGAGTGCATGTTTGTTATGTGTGTAATCACCACACCTGTAAGGTCAGTAAATGTGTACGTAACTTGCCAGTGTGGAAGGGTGCACGTGTGCCGGTGGATTCATAGCGTGTTTTGAGTGTAAATCGACACATGCTGTTGTGTATTACAATTATGTGGAATAAATGTGTAGAGGAATATTGTGAGCAACCATGAGGGAGCGAACATAGAGAGGGGTGAGCGAGTTGACAGCCGAGGGCTGCAAGGGGTCGTTGCGGGGAGCCAGGGCAAGAATCGGCTGGAAGAGGGCTCTCCCTCCTCGTCACCGGGCGGTGTTGGATGAACCCCCGTCCCGTGCAGACGAGTGGGAGAGCCAAGGGATAGCTGGGAGCAGGGCCCCGAGTAATCAGTAAGAATCGGCTGGAAGAGGGCTCTCCCTCCTGGAGATGGTCTTGGCGGGACTACAGTGGGAATCTTGTTTAATATATTTGGACGATGCCATCGTTTTCAGCCGCACGTTTGACGAACACTTGCAACGTCTTGAGTCGGTCTTCGTCAAAGTGCGTGCTGCTGGTCTGGAATTTAAACCCCAAAAGTGCCATTTGCTGCGCCATCGGGTCATTCGTCCGTGCGTGGCCAACCCTCACATCTGTCGCAGAGGTTCGCAGTTTCATTGCCTTTGCCTCATATTACCGTCGCTTTGTGCGGAATTTTGCGACTATCGCGAAACCACTCTACACGTTGTCCGCTAAAGGCCAAACGTTTCATTGGGGTAAAGAGGAGGAGGCAGCGTTCGTCGCGCTTCGAGTGTCCCTGGCGGATGCGCCCCCCCTGGGGTATCCCGACTTCTGCCTGCACTCTGTGCTTGACACCGATGCCAGCGACACGGGCATAGGGGCTGTACTTGCCCAGGTGGTTGATGGCGCTGAAAGGGTCGTGGCGTATGGCAGTCGCGTGTTGTCCCCCGCGGAACAACGTTACTGTGTGACCCGTAGGGAGCTGCTTGCCATCGTGTTTTTCATCCAGGTGTATAGGTCCTACTTGTATGGCAGGCGGTGACCTCCTCGGCACAAACAAAATCCGGACCTCGCCCTATCACCCTCAAACCGACGGGATGGTGGAGCGGTTAAATTGTACCCTCACATCCATGCTGTGCCACTGGGTGAGCGCATCTCAGGCTGACTGGGACCTGTTTATTCCGGGTGCCCTTGCCGCGTACAGGTTGGCCCCTCACTCCTCAACGGGGTTTTCACCCTTTAATCTGATGTATGGAAGGGAGCCCGAACCTCCGATGCACGTGCAGATGGGCCTGGGCCCGTCTAAAGAGGGATCCGTGGTGTCCGCTTCAATGAAGGTCACGCTCGACAGGCTGCGTGAAGAACGGGAAGCGGCTGCGGACAATTCGGCTAGCCGACAAGTGGCTCACGAGCGCTCACAGAAACATCAGGGTTCCGGGCTTCCGTGGAAGAAGGGGGGAAAAGCAGGGCCCAGTTGAGGTCGTGGAGGTCTGCCGGCCACAGTGCGTGCGCACTGGATTGTTCATCAGTCTAGATCAAAAAGATATGTGTTGCCTTGTCCTGTAGATTCATCCCAAATTCCGGAGCGACTGGTGCCTGATGCATCCGACGAGCCGGGCCGCCATGGCCGGGATGCTATGCAGTGCAAGCCGTCTGTCTGTCCACCCACAGAACCCCTCCGAGTAGCTCCCGAGGCGCCGCCTAATGCCCCGTCGGTGGTGAAGCCGACATCAACAGACGCTGCCCGGGGGGAGCGGACCAGCAGCACATACGCGGTCCAGAGGCGCTCTTTTCTGCTGAGCACCTCCCTTTGGACCCGTTATCGTCGAACGCCAACCATCGCCAACGTGTGGTCGGCACCTTGCGCTGAGTGATGAAGGCCTTCTTGCACTTGCCGTTCTGCCTTACACTCCCTTGTTGTTCCCCGCAGAAGGCCCTGCCTTCACACCTCCATTCACATTGTTATTGTTGATGTTGTTATGTTGTTGTTCCAATTGTTCCTGTTGACGGGTCTCTGGCTGTTTGCTGTCGACCCCGATGCGGGTTGGTTTCGGTATAGTTAACAGCCGGGACGGCTGAATTTTTTGTTTATGGGGGGGGGGGGGTGATGTAGAGGAGTAGTGTGAGCAACCATGAAGAAGCGAACAGAGGGAGGTGCGAGCGAATTGACAGCCGAGGATGACGTCATGTCACGGGGGCTGTAAGGGGGTACCTTCGGGAACCAAGGCGGGTCCCGAGCTAGGGGGAGGAGCCGCCAAAGGGGTACTTAAGGGGGACCCCGTGACAAATGCGGGGTCGTTGTGGGGAGCCAGGGCAAGAATCGGCTGGAAGAGGGCTCTCCCTCCTCGTCGCCGGGCGGTGTTGGATGAACGCCCGTTCTGGTCAGACAAGTGAGAGAGCCCCAAGGAATAGCCGAGGGTAGGACAATACAGAGTTTGGGCGTCCAGGGTACGGACCAAGAATAGAGAACACCTACCTCTGGTGTGAGTTACAGTATTGTGTGAAACAGTGTTAATAAACGGCAACAGCCCTTATAGTAAATCCCGTCTCCGCGTGGTCGTACAAATGTACTGACGTCACACTACAGAATTAACGCACACGGTTTAACCAAAATATAACACTGTGGGTTATTCTTGGGTTTATTAACTGCATGCCCTCTTTGCAGCTTCGATAACAAGACAGGTAGCATATATATGTTGATATAACAGCAACTTGTTTGTTGTTGATGACTATGTTCAAAGGTGCTGATTAGAGCACTTAAGATTGCTCAATAAAGTATTGAGAGTCAGGAAAAGTTGCATCAGCTGTTTGTTTGCAGAACATGAAGAGAATTTGAGCAGAATGCTGAATTCATAACGAGGACGGCTCATTTAGCCGAAAAATCCCTTCTGCATTTCTGGTTCCCCTACGGAAGGCGCGTTATGATACAAAGGTCTAGTCGTGCTGACTGGGCATGTGACAACAAATGAAATAATCAACTAAAATGACATGCTGACAAAGCTCACCGCCGTCCCCCCCCCCCCCACCCCCCCCATGCATGTTAGCCCGTTAACAACTCATGACACAATAGTGTGCAATATTAAAGCTGAAAGAGTATATGGTATTAAGGTGCACAGTAATTAAACAAAGTATTGCTTGATCTTGAGGTTGCTTGATCTCGAGGTAAAGTGGGAAATCGGTGCTATGAGGGACTTGGTTACTGTACGGGAACTAGTAACTCTTACTGAACAGTACTAAACTGGAATAGTCTGGCCCAGGCAGCATTGCTTTGCGCGTTCTCAGGATCTTACGATTCTTATATTTAAAAATTTTGTTGAGTCATTCTCTCAAAACTCCCTTGGGGGTGGTCTGGGCCAGAGCACCAGCGCACAATGCCCGGCCCCCTTTGCATCTTCACAGTGCTGATGTTTGCGCATGCACGTTAGGCCGAGTACACCACGGGGACGTCCTGCACGCGGGTCGAGATACCACGTGGCCACGTTATTTTGAGGATAAACCGTGCGTGTACTGTGGTGACGTCACCGCCACGCAGTGGCGGATGGCGGATGTTGTTGTTGTACCGTGGTGGGCGGTTCATCTTCATTGACGTCAGGAAACACCTTCTCCAACACCAGGAAAGTGAGCAGCCCCACTGTGACCCACAGCCCCGCACCTACGCACACAATGCACATGTGGGCACACAAAGCAAACACACACACAAAACAAAGATAAAGATCTCCCGTTATAGCCTTCTAGCACCTAAGAATGCCGGCGCACCACGCCCGGCTCTCCCCAGTGCTGATGTTTACACATCGCACCGGGTACTCATTTAAGGCCGAGTTGGCCTAGGGGAGACCCTGCACCGGTTCAGATAATCATCACTGATGATGGCTGTCAGTGGGAATCGAACTCAAGTCGCCGGGTTCGTAGCACAGCGTGCTAACCACTGCGCGACCATTCCCCACGCAGACAAAGACACAGATTCCTCTGTTTAGCCGAACAGATTGTCTATGCAAATACTGTTAGTGAGCATCTACTTAAACGGACACGACACATTTAAGAAGTGGTCTGGCCGGCACAATTCTTGGCCACCTTTGTTTCCTCACAGGGCTGCTGTTAAGCAGGGCTGAGTCAAGCAGGCAAGGTTCAGCACAGGTTCAGATACCACTTGCCATTGATGTTATCTTTGGCCAGGAATCAAACTCAAATCATTGGGATCATAGAGCATTATGAACACCGAGACTCAAAAGTGACTTGAATGCTACAGAAGGACCTGACGAGGTTAGGGTCAGGGGTAGAGCTATTACAAGAGGATGGCTGGCGAGTTGGCTAGGGTTAAGAAGTAGGGCTAATACTCGTGGCTTTTCTACTAGTTAGGGTTATGCAAAGTGGGCTAACTTTTGAGTGGCTCGTGTGCTCAGCCCAAAAACTATTTGCTCTTCCTCCCCATTGCAATGTCATTTTGAGTTTATGGCCACTTTTAACACGCAAACATTTCGAAGCACACATCCACACACACATTCAAACAAAGTAAAAGACCCCCCAATATAGCCTGAACAGACTGTAGGAGCAAGTGCTGTTAGTGAGCACCTATGAAGGCCGGCACGGCACATGAGGGGTGGGGTAGCCAACACCACGCCTTTGTCTCACCAGTGGTGATGCTTTTACACACCGCACCAGGTATTTATATGAGGCTGAGTTGACCTAGTGGAGGCCCAGGACCAGTTCAGATACGTGTCACTGGTGTTGGCTGCGAGCGAGAATCGAACTTGGGTCGCCGGGTTCATAGCGCAGCGTGCTAACTGCTACACTACCACACACACATACATAAAATCATGCACGCACACAGACGCAATGTCGGGAGCATGCAGAGGCCTGCAGTGGTGTCTGGGACTTGCCTTGGGTGCAGCCATGTTGCCAGGTCTCAGGCAGCAGGTGCAGAAACACATCTCCAAGAAGCCCGCCAACCGCAAAGCTCAGAAGGAACCTCAGCCGCCGCCCGCCCTCTAGAGAGAGAACACACACGCACGAGGTTCACAACGTCAATCTTCATCAACAAAGATGAAACCCAGTGAACTAATTTATGAGACGTTAATTCGTTACCAAAACAATGAATGAACTAAATTAAAATTGTAGTTGAAATAACAATGATTTACCTCCTGAATCTCCGTCAAACCAAAGTCTGGCTCAAATGCAGTCGTTATGAGTTGAAAGTTCCCCGACATTCGCCACCCTCCATCTGTTTAATATGGCCACCTCCCACAATGCACTGCATGGCACAATGGAGTTGGAGTACAGTCTCCCACAATGCATTTCACGTGATAACATTGATGTCATAAAAGGGCATCATACTCCAGTCACCGATAGAGAGTGCTTCCAAAAACCACGTTACTGAAACTTTTCATGATGTAATTTTCACTCATTTTATTTCTTTAGTGTGTGTATTTGCATCTATCCAGGCAGCAGCTTCATCATTCGGAGAGTGCAGCGGTGTCGTCTATAGACCACTGATAAGCTTGGTTCATGGTAACAGCCATCAACAATGTGCATCATCGTCTTGTCTTGCACCACAGTTACAGTTCAGTTCAGACTGCAGCTATTGTGGTCAATGCAAACATGACTCCTTGTAAAAAATGTGTCAGTTTTGTTGCCAGATAAAAGGGTAAAAAACCAATTATCATATTTTGCTACTGGCAAATGAGGTTCCAATGGTATAAATGCTTACCCCGAGCTCTCATACTCTGATGGTGCATTGTCTTTGAGTTGTGCGCCTTTTGGCGTCATCTGGTCCAACACCATGTGAGACTAGGCTCTAAGGAAAGCTATCTCGGGTGTGGACCAATCAACTTCAAGGACAGTGCATACATTATCAGAGTTATGTTTTTTGTTTGCATTCTGACTGCAGCTATTGTGGTCAATGCAAACATGACTCCTTGTAAAAAAGGTGTCAGTTTTGTTGCCAGATAAAAGGGTAAAAAAACAATTATCATATTTTGCTACTGGCAAATGAAGTTCCAATGGTGGTACAGTTCAGTTTTTCGCATAAGCCCCACCCATGCAGGCTTGCTGCAACTATTGTCACGAATGAAACTTCAAACTTGCCTCAAGACACCTTGGGATTAAAGGCCCAGGAATGTGTTTACATAACCAAAATCCCATTTATTCAAACCTCAACCGATGGTCCAGATCCAAGTGTTCCAAAGAAAAACAAATGATGCCATGTTTCCATGACCAGTACAAAATCATTCCCAAGGTGTGCCAGTCAATTCCAGGAACAGTCCGGCAAAGCTCGTTTATTGTACGAATGCTTCAAGAGAAGCACGCCTCTGTGGACTCAACCCTTCCCCTCCATCCCCCCCACCCATTTCTTCTCTCTGTCACTGAATAAAATAGCTCATATTTCATTTTCTAAATGGTTTTTCCATATTTTTTCCATATTTTGAATTTTTATGCTTATTACTTTAACATAAACACATCCCGTAATTTTACCTAAGGGAAAGACGCCAAAGACCACACACGTCCGTTCTCTGCTAAAAATTATGTGGCTCTCTTAGTAAAGAAAGCCACTGGACCCACTACAAGACCCAGTTGTATCTGGCTTGGCCCAGCAATGTGGATGTGTGAATCTGGGCTGAGGCGACTAGCCCAATGTGTGAACTGTGGTGGTGGGAATGCTGCCAAAGTGTTTCAGCAAAACTTTTGCCAAACTCATATTAGCAATGAACCACATTCTCACAAGTGTAATTCATAGACATGGGGTTGAAGTGTCTCTTCGGTCAAACGAGCAAATGTTCTGAAGGACATCTCCACTGGTACCCATGAATAGGTGGCGGAAATTCCACATTCCCATAGCAGAGGCCACTCTACCTACAGGAGAACCAGAGTTTACTGCCTATAAGTTGGTGCTCATTTTATTGACTTGGAAAAATAATGGGCCACGTTGAACTCAAACCAGGATTTGAACGAGCAACCTTTCGACAGTGGGCTGTTTTCACCACCGCATCACCCGGGCAGATACTTACTACCCTATTATCTAACGATATATCAATCAGTGACAGGAAGTGGCACAGTGCTTTGTGCACCACGCTATGAGTCTGGAAACGGAGTTTGATTCCAGAGCATTGCTAATGTGAGCGTAGAGTGACATTTAAAACAGTTATTGGCTTCCTTTGCTTTCACCAACCCGCACTGACTACTCGCAACAGCAGATTGACCCAAATGGCTGTACAATGAAATCGTGACAAATGCTGTTACGCATTGTAAATCAAAAATTTTATATATAACGTGTCAATGTATTTTTCTCATTAAAATTCTTCTCGACTACTCCGTGGCTGACCGGGAGATTGCAGGTGGGCGCCGGTGTTCTCGGGGATGATCAGGATCGGCAGCACTCCGCTGAGGCCCACGAGGCAGGCCCCGCCCAACCCGAGCACCCACGCTCCGAGCCGCCCATCCCAGTCCAGACCCAGCCACCAAGCGGGGGACGACGGTGGCTCGCCATCGTCATCGTCATCGCCATCGCCGCCGACGGGAGCCACGTGCGACCTAGATCTCGTCTCGTCGCGGCCCCCCTGGTATCCGGGAGCAGCGCCCGAGAAACCCCGCTTGTGGTACGCCTGACTGGAATCGTCACGTTCGCAAGCTTGGTGGGCGGCATCGTGGCTCGGACAGGAGTAGCCAGAGTCTTTGTGGCCTCCGGAAATTCCGTCGGACGACGTACGGGCGGGCGCCTTAACCGAGCCGGGCGAGAGGCTTGAGGAGGGCTGGGGAACTTGGCTAGCGGAGGGGAGTGACGCGTCAGAGCTGTCGGGAGGAGGCAGGGAGTGGGGGGAGCTGGCGGCCGAGGGCTCTCTGCGGGAGAGGCGTCTCGCGTTCGCCCGGTGGATGTTGCCTTCTGCTGCCGTGAAGAGCAGCGCGAGAAGAACCAAGTGACACCAGACCCAGTGAATTGGCGCCATCTTTGATTTGATTTAAAATATTTTACTGATAAATGCCTGTGGCCTAATTTCGACGTAGTAGTGAAAGTTGCAAGTTGTTAAATGTTGGCATAATTATTCATTAAGTGAGATTGCTTATTGAGTGCCATTCTTCAGCTTCTGTTGTAGACACCTCTGCTTCCATGTGTCAAAACATCTGTAAAAAAAATATAGATTTTAAATTGCAGCCATACTCTGACAAAGCCTACATTCACCAATCACAATTATGTTGCACACTGCCACTAGCACCGTGAATTGTAAACACTTTACATTTCATTTTCATAATTTGTTTCCAAAGTGCAGCGTTACCATACCAACTACCTCATGTGTCACACAACAACGTGGAACGTTGACTGTGGGGAATTAACAGATTCACGGACAAGTGCACGGAAGGAGGCCAGATGGGATGAGGGGTCTAATAAAGCATCACAGCACTGAGCCGGCGTTGCTGAGATCCCAGATTCAAATCTAGGTTTCAGCCATCCATAATAAAACAAAAATGTTGTGAAGTTGACAGTTGTTGTTGTTGGTCTCATCCAAGTCCTAAATGAGTGCTCAAAAAAAACATTGCATTGTATTATGTTTGTCATTTAATTTGTTGTTGAAAGTTGAAGCTTTACATTTCACAAACGGTCTTAACAGGGCGAAAAAAACCTGCGTGCTACCCAACGTGGACAATCGGCTGACTAAAGGGACTCACAGTGATACTCTGTGATTTACCGCTCTCTTAAACTAGGTGACGTTTTATTGCTCACTGTGAGAGGTGCATACAAAAATGTCTTCGTCTAATGACTTAACTTTTGAGGGCACAACTGTAGAATAATTGAGAAAAAAAAACCACAAAACAGTTTAACTCGCGCAAAGTTCCTTTACGAGCCATTTTTCTTGATGAATAAGTTCATTATTCTTGAAGAAGCAGTTGCTTCCTAAAGAAGAAGTTCCTTCTTCTTCAGGCAAAAGGGTCTCATCATAGAGCAACTTGGTTATTTGTCACTGAAAATTGCACTGCACCAGGGCAGACGCAACCTGAAAAAACTCACATGCAGCTGCATAAAAAAGCAACAAAAAACATATGGATGGAAAGTACAAATGGGGGTTTGAAAATACCGCACCAATAGACGTATGGAAAATTGTCCCAATGGCCAGTTTTTCTGGGTGACGTCAAGTCAAGAATGTTAATCTCTGCTGGTTGTTGTGGAGGTAATTGTTCAGATGTCACCAATGACATTTTTGTACCGATCTCACTTCTAGATGGACGTACAGAGCTGGGGGGGAGGGGGGAATATCATCAGTCGCCCAACGTGCGAGACATTTGCATCGAACAAAAGAGATTACAGCACAGTCATCCAGGAGCCTAAAATGTTCTACATTCGTCCTGGCCTTAAGTAGGCATCACCAAGTGGGGTGGACATTAATGAATACAGCTCAATTCACAATCTGAACTGTCTACATATTATTTTATTATTCAGGTGGGGGTGCAGGGAGAGGTGAGATGGGGATTGTTGAGGGGTTTTTAGGGGAGGGGTAAGATTGGGAGGGGGCGGATGTGGATTGATAGGCAGGAATGATGAATGTTTAAACGACAGCGTGTTGCGTGTATCGTTTGCGTTAACGGCATCTCAGCTTGTTGTAATGTTCATGACGATAACGCTGCAGTCAACAAGCCATTACCTAAGATATGGGATATTTTTTTACAAAAGTGAACACGTGCCAAATGATAGCAAATTATAAAAAAAACCGATAAATACACAAATAATGGTAAAATATACATGAAACTATGGAAGAGAGATTGATGCAATGTTTTGACGATACTACTAGTGGACCTTCACACATTCATTTCCAGTATTAAGCAGATGTTTCAACAAAAGAAATATGTTTTAGAAACATTCATTGTAAGTCTCCCACATTTTTTAACTCTTCCATATAAAAGGTCATGTGATCAGCGTACTGTACTTAATAACGTGAATTTTGGACTTTGGTCTGAAAGAGTTTGCATTTTTAATAGTGGCGGATATCATTACTACATTTTACAATGCTGCCATTCGAATTGGTGATTAAAAATGTTTTTAAAAACCACTGCTTTAATCATAGCTGAGGCTGGGCACAATGCCCTGAACTCGATGATCACACATGGCCGAGAGGGTGGAGGTGCCCATTCTCATCTCGCCTGCATTCTTTATCACCCTCCCTTCCAACCACCACCACAGAACTCTTTACCACAGATGGAAAAAAATAGCACGTGGTGCCCTTTAGTACACAAATCCAATCTTCCTCGCGGTTTCATAGACTGGCTGGCCAGCTGGATAAGTTTACATTTCCTATGTACAGTACACCAATGCATTCCATTATGCTAGATTATTGTTTCGATGTAAAGCTTTCGTGACTGCAGTGATTCATATTCTTGTGTTGCAATCGAAACGTCGTGAGAATTTTATTGTTTTATTTTTATTATTTCCCTTCTACGTGACTTTACCGAAAGAACCAAGACTATAGAGTATTGTTCTATTATTTCTCCTGGTTACATTTCAATTGCGCTAGGAGTGTCAGGTTAGAATATGAAGAAAATATCCGTTTGAAACTTTTTGCGGCAAGCAGCGGACAACGTTGTGTCAGAGAAGAATGGCCCCCGAAGGTGACACCACAGAACCTACTTCTTAACTTCCTTCAAAAGGCTTATTATTTACCCACGCTCGAGCCAGAACTTTTAAATGCCCCGCAGGGCGCGCCTGTCACATGCCAATGAAATCATACAAATATCGAGTGCCGCATGAGCAAATCAATACAAATACTGTGTGTTGATATATTCCATTGTCAACGTGACACTTTTTTTACTGATTGGCCGTGTCGGGTGGTGGAGGGTTACGACACATTTATAAATGACGCGATCTAAACCCAAAAACGTTGATTATGAATAACATTGGTCGCGAAAGCCTACGTGTTAAACTGATATTCCATTTTGTTAAACAGCCAGTGTGAGAAGCAAGTTTAATCGAATGTGTATTAGGCCCCACGGGACACGCAGACACCTCAACTGACGTTGCAGATGACAACAACCGCATTATTTTAATAAGGGAGCTCGGTTTCCAACACAATGCAACCGTGACTTTCCATTCTACCCATGTTCAAATGCAAGTCGAGAAAACGTACAGGAGGAAAGATCATTTGCAGATGCATCGTTGGGGAGGGGTATGGCGCGGAAGAGGATGGGGAATAAGGATTTACACGCAACAAGCACCTGCAAGGAGGATTAAGGGTGATTATCGACAGATTTGCAAGGGGTAGGTATGAGAATAACAGCAACAAAAAACCGTGAAAACTATAAAAGGTCTTGCCAGTCGGATTGGGAAACAATTAGCTGCAGGAATAAGAGGTAGACATTTACCCTTGCCTTGAACGAGATTCATATGAATGGATGGCCACTGGATGTACATATACGTACTGTACCTCTTTTTCAATACACTGCTGAAAATCACCCCTTTAAATTGACAAAACAACAAACATTGTCGTGTACAGCATACTGAAAAAGGGCGGAGGGCCAGAAAAGGACAAAAAGCAACCAGAACCAGCTACCAGAAACACAATAGCATGTTTAAAAAGAAAGATAAGGGATGGAAATGTGAGACTAAAATGTTTTGCCACACAATAGAATTTGCAGAGTAGAGAACAGAGAACAGACGCAAAGACAAATTAAGGAGTTGTAACAAGAAACGGAGGAATGAAAGCAGAAAAAAGGAAGTTGACGTTGACAAACCACAAAAATAGATCTTGGTGACGAAAATGAAAACAATGCACGACAGGCTGGATCGTTTGTATGCGTGTCAAACTTATTTCGCACCGTACGTAGCCAACCGTGCTATCATACACGTGGTGGAAGAATGGTGGGCAGGTGACCACTGCAATTATTTACATTTATAGATGTCTTGAGGATATTTGTTTTAAATAACTCTGGAAACAAATGACGTTTAAGATGAGGAGGTTGTCCAGATGTTACAGCATACGTGGCCACTGCTCTTTGCAGCGTGAAACAGGGAACCCTCCTGGAATAGATTTTAAAAAATATGGACATCAAAAATAAGGCCGGCTTTTTGATCTAAATGAGTGCACTATTGAGGGAAGGTCTACACACCACTGCCTGAAAGGTCACCTATTATATACAGGCTCCCCTCGCTTTATTCTTTATCATCAGCCACCATCCCTTCTAGAGACTTGTCCTGCCCAATCCCACTCACTTTCCTTAATAGTTCTAATGTTGTCATCAAACTGCACACGTTCTCTCTATTCCACGTGCTCATCTCTTTGTCTCTCGACGTAACTCCAAGCGTACATCTTTTCAGGTTTTGCAGACTTTACAGTTTTTGTGCGAAAGATATATATTTTTTGTTATTGACCATGTGAACCATGCGTCAGACAAGACAGGACACGCTGATTAAAAATAAAATAGCAAAAACACGAAATGCTTGGGTTTAAGCTGCACCTCCATGCATGCATGCATGCAAGTCTATGCATGCATAATAGTCATTCCACCAAGACAAATGGGTGTGTTCCTGCAGGCAGCGTTGGTTTGGGTTGACTGCATACTTAACATTCAGTGACTATGCCTGGCTTTTGGCAAGCTATCCAGTACGGGCGTCTCGCATACCATGGTTACAAGCCCCAGCTGTATTATAGGATGGTGGAGCCACACACTAATCCAACAAGACAGACCCCCCCCCCCATTTACAATGATTCAATATCAATTTCGATTTAAAGCTTTCGTGACTGCAGGGATTCATCTTCTCGGTTCTTTTGGTAAAGTCACGTAGAAGGGAAATAATAAAATAATAAAAATAAAACATTATTTTATGTTTTATTTGTATTATTTTATTATTTCCCTTCTATGTGACTTTACCGAAAGAACCAAGAAGATTAAATATCAAGTCAAAGTGTCTACCTGCCTGGTCAATCGGGCAATGGCATGGAACTCATCTCCATTTGGTCGCCTTAAAACTTGCGGTGGAATTTCCACTGTTCTATGGTGGGGGGCAGTCTCTCCGTAGGATGACCAATGTTGACTTCTCACTGCTGTAGATATTTGATTGACTCTATAAAGGAAGATGGGCTGAGTGGCCTCACAACTGGGATTTCAACTTTGAAATACATTCGAATTGTGATTCCAGCACTCTGACCACTGAGCCATCTGGACATGTGTATGCAAGTCATTAAAAATGCCGAGCCGTTGGATTTAATAACACATGGGTTTTGTTTATAGATCAAACGTTTGTCGCACGCGAGGCAAAGAGCCCAGTTCCGTAGTCACAACAACTCAGTTGTTATACCGCCACTCCTCTCAATAAGCATTCCAATGCAAATGTCACATTTTGTTACAAAACACAGCGATAGTGTAAGAACACTTGAAATATATCACGTAAGACTACAAGACTGTTGAGTCGACTATTAAATAGCATTTTAAAAGTTGTTCAGAATCTACAGGACCAAATCTGACGATGACTCAAGCTTTTACGCCTTTGCTCCGTTCACTTTTAACGCCAATTCATTTTTGCTCACCATCATTCCCGTGAAAAACCTCGTAATCTATTTAAATACAGACTGATCATGCCAACTCAAATGCTGCTGACCTTTTCTCCAGACAGACTTTTCAGTAAAATACACAGAACAGACATGTAAAATACCTCGGCTGTCACTGACGACGTTGCAGAAGCCTCCACGCTTTGCTCGCTTCAGCCGAGACACTGCTCTTTACAACAGAGCCCAAATCATCAGTGGGCGCTCGCTTGAGCCTGTGTGTTTGGTTCTGCAGTAACCAGCTAAGCGCCACGCAGATGATGATGATGATGGGGAGGTGGCCAGGTGGCTCAGGGTGCTAATACTGTCAAAGCACTGAGCCAACACGCCCCTCGGACCTGGGCTGGACTCCCAGTTCAGCCACCTGTGATGAATCTGATATTTTTCTTACGATTAAACAGCTTTTCATCTAAATGTATTTAAATTGTGCTTTCGGCATAATTTCATGACATGAAGTAACGGTTCGGATCTCTCTCAAAGCAGCGCAACTCTGCATGCCAGAGAACAGCCTGCAGATTAACGTAACTTGTCGATTGTCTCAGCCCAGTTACCAATTATTGCATAAAAATTCCCACAATTATCAAATAGGTGTTTTCAATAAACTTGGGTTTATTCAAGTTATGAACATTAACAAAAGTGTTTGGTTTCATTGTTAACAATTATTGTATTTAAAACATCCACAATTATAAAATAGGTGTTTTCAATAAATTTGGTTTATTCAAGTTATGAACATTAACAAAAGTGTTTGGTTTTATTGTTAACAATTATTGTATATAAAAAATCCACAATTATAAAATAGGTGCTTTCAATAAATTAGGGTTTATTCAAGTTATGAACATTAACAAAAGTGTTTGGTTTTATTGTTAACAATTATTGTATTTAAAAAATCCACAATTATAAAATAGGTGTTTTCAATAAATTTGGTTTATTCAAGTTATGAACATTAACAAAAGTCTTTGGTTTTATTGAGGTGTGTCAAACACTCTGTAGAGGGCATTTTAAAGGTGTGCCCCGATGGTGGATAAAGAGGGCTAATGTAGTTCCACGGCTTCATCTTGGGCCTTGTTGTTGCTCTGGACACCGGGAGATCAATGATCCATATTCGATGTTCGGTCGCCGATTTGAAAGAATTTGTCGTAATTTCTCTAACAGAGTTCTCCGCGTGAAGGCTGCCATCTTCCACCTCATATACGACATAGAATGACGCAATACCCGATCCACAAATACGAAGGAGTTATCACAGCTATCTGGCTTGACCAGCTGAATGTGAAATGACAGTTGTTCCTCTGCATCTACAACATCAGCCGTACGAAAGAAGAGTCTTAGGCATTACCCGAAATAAACTGATTTTACTTCCAGGGCTATCTATATATATAAAAGGGAAATTTGTGAAAAGGTGTGTCTGTTCGAAATGTTTAGCATACTTCCGACATGCAATAAACTTGAAATTTGGCATGTGGGTAGCTTCCAGACTGTACACAATGCAAAACGTATAAAAATAGACTTTTGTATTGGGGGGGGGGGGGGGGGGGGGGGCGCAATAGTGCATATATTTTGCACGCCAAGTGAGCGTTGACGTCACATCTGTGATGTCACCCGCATGCGGCAGCGTTACGCAGCGTGCCTGCAGACGTCACACATCCCCCACACCCTCCGCGTACGTGTCTTTACCGAAAGAACCAACAAAGAGTATACATTCCTGCAGTCACGAAAGCTTCAAATCAAGAAAGAATCCAAGTCTCGGGCGAAGCCAGGTCGTAAAGCTCGTTGTTTCATAAACAGTTGTCCACTACTAGCTGTGACTTTGAGAGCCCAAAATGGATTTTGTTCTTATTACATGACACAATTTCAACATAAGAATAATGGTAAAAAATGGTAGTAAACCAACATTAATATCTGCTTCCAACTGCTAATAACTCTGTGGTATAATGTCTCTATGACTATAAATGCTACAAATGGAAACGTGTGAAAAGCTAGCTACTCTGTTCGTGACATTTTTAATCAAAACAGCTGCACTATTTCCACACTTAACTATTGTTTATTTACCAATGCCTTTCACTGCACCACACAATGTTCCTGCTATTGCTGCCAGTACTGTTGAAAGGACGCCAAATGAGGACATTTAATGGACCTTTTCACGTGAGCAAAAACTGCACAATAACCAGAAATGCGGATGATTTCATGAATTGGCAAATGTAGTTTTAAAAATGTGCGTGCGTTCTACGTCTATGCAACCAAGTGATGAAGGTTAACATTTAAATGTCGAGAGAAATGTCAGCCCTCTATACGCAAAATCGTGTTACATTCTTACACGGAATAACTGAAGCATGGGTGCTTGTGATCTTATTAAGGATTTTTTCCCGAATTTTCTGACAGGACTGTGGCGTGCACACACACAGACAGGAGCTTTTGGCTTGTGTACAGAATGTGAGGAATGTCACGCCAGTAGAGAGAAAGTAAGTTGAAAGTTAGAGGAAAACTTGTCAGGACAGCGTTGTAGACATAATCAGGAAGAGGTTGTGATGGGTGGGATGTTTGCGCAGGATCGAGGATGACATGTTCCCAAGGCAGACATTGGAGTGGAAACCAGAGGTCAGTGACCGTCGTGAAGACCTAAAGCCAGATGGTGAGATGCTCTATGATCAGACTTCAAGGGTTGGGTGAGAGGTGAACAGCAGATGTGTGACGTGACAGAAGAAAGCAATTTGGTGCTGTGGCAGAATAAGCAGTACTAGCTGTGATGACTCACAACGACAATGTCCTTAAATCCTCCTGTTAACGAAATAATAATGCTACTCAGGTAGCAATCGCAGAAGGTGGCGTGACATAAAATTCTCAGGGTGGGCCCGGGATGGATAATACTCTTAATAAGTCACGTAGCAAGTGTGGTGGGCACAGGACATCTGATATGTGTGAAGCGCAGCTTGCTTGATTAGGGAATTTCTCACAACCTGGTTAGATGCCACGTGGTACGAACGTGACCCAACAAAAGAACAGTGCACTGATGAACCCAACTTGAAATTTAAAACCCTATGAGGGGCTATTCAAATATTATAGGAATATCACATATAATGTCTGCTCCTGTTGCCTTTCCACTTCGTCTACATCCACTTTTTTGCTGAGTAATTGTCTCAAATACCCTTTTTGCTTTGGTGCCTTGAGATGTACAGCATGACGAGCTATTTTTTTAAATAACAAATGATGGAGATGTTAAGAACTGACCACCACTGAAATGTGAAATTTGCAACACCAGCTCAGATACTCAAATTGAGATGTGTCACCCTATTTTCTCAATTGAAAACAAAGAGACCACGTTATATTTTACTTGTGAAGGTTATTTTGTCACTACATCTCCATGCCATGTCGATCACGGGGTTGTTTCACAATGCGTCATCACGCACATCAATGCACGTTGTTAAAACGGTTGAGGGGAGGGGTACCAAGACCCATTTATCGATCACTCACCACTAATGTTAGCCACGGCCTGGAATCTAACTCAGTTCGGTAGATTCAGGGCATCACCCTACCCACTGTGCCACCCTACCCACTGTGCCACCCCACTCAAGCAAAAATTATAAAATGACTCAAGTTACTGCAAACACAAACAAACCACTTTATTTCAACATCAGTGTGTGTGTGAGCCAGGGTTCCCTTCTGAACCACACCTCCACTAAGCGCGGTTGGCTACGTACGCTGCGAAATAAGTTCAACATACAGACCCTCTTTATCCAATTCAGAGTGAGACCCCTTCACCTAAAGCTGGGGTCACTTAGGCCCCCCTTGTCTGGACCCCTCTGTGGGCCCCTTTATTCCTTTCTCAGGCCAAGCCACCAAAAACCACAAGCCCCCAAACTCAGGCCCCCTGGCATCTCACTCCACCCCGGCTATAAACGCAGCTCCCACCCACCCTCCCTCCCCGCCCAGGAATGAATGTGCCACGAAAAGGCTCCCTATGCACAACTGGTGGTTCAGGCTCCCGTGTCTGGTGTGCGTGAACAATTCCCCAAGTTGATTTCTTTCTTACCCTACCTTAGCTTGTGCCGAATTATTAAACGAGAAGGGGGGGGGGGAATCTCAAACATTCCGTGGACTGCGATATTGGTTCGCATGGTGGTTAAATTAACGCTAGCGCCATACTTACATATATGTTACAATTATTTTAACATGCGTGAACAAAAACGACGCAACTGCTCAATTTAGCCTTTGAAAAATGATTGAAATTAACATGTTGTACTATTTTGCTTGTATTTAATGTCGATGTAGTTTTTCTTGTAATTTATTTTTGCTAGGTATTTAAACTAAACGCCGTATTTTTATCCCCCCGGCTACAGTTAATATTAGTGACCGGTGATATCTAAATCGTTCCCCCCATCAGGAACCAGCACTGACCAGCGAGGTGAAGTATGGTCAAACAAACCCCACGACGGACGCGACGTGGGAAGGCAGTGGAATGAGTAATGGCTGGTACACGTCTGTGAAAGAGCTTTATAGCTCATCGGATTCCTTCAGTATATTCCGACGATTCTGATTCTGATATAGAGTGATCCGTTTACAGAAACATCACAGATGTCTAACGCGCCTTTAGAAGGGTTTGTGAATAAACGTAAATACGTGTTTGAGATTGGTGGGCGACGTAGAGGCTTCGGAATAAATTATTTTAGCTGTGATTTACCCCCTATCGTGTTCGTGGGGAATCTGTTAAAATATTAGTTCTGTATCCCATACATCACCAATCCGTGTGTGGTTGTTATTAGGGCAAGTGGACTGACAATCACATCACTGCGACATGGCACAATCATCACTCCCTCCGTGAAAATTGTGGAAAGTAAACAGTGACCGTCAGACGGACGTACTGGCCCCGACGTGCTAACGTGTAATTTACACCAAAAATATAAAAAAAAGCATTAATGCACCTCCCATTAGCCAGGTCGTCTACGTACGGTGCGAAAAAAGTTCAACACATACGTACACACGCATCTCTCTACCAACAAGCCACAAACTCTGTAAGATAACATCCCCATGGTCAATAAAACGAGCACCACTTTGCGGTAAGCCAACAGTGGTGGTCCTGTGTAACAGACTTCCCTCTGCCATAGTAATGTGGAATTTCCACGACTTATCTCTGCGCCCGGGGACAGTTGGGCCATCACCGGTCTCGCCTGATATTTCTCGCGGGAAGCCTGCGGCTAGGCCGCCGGTCAACAGACGGCCAAGTGCGTCCATCGACCACGCAAACTCCGCGCCACAACCAAGACGC